CAGGGGATACCCCGAATGGGATGCCGGACCATCGCAGGGTACGAGGCAGGGGATACCCCGAATGGGATGCCGGACCATCGCAGGGCACGAGGCAGCGGATACCCCGAATGGGATGCCGGACCATCGCAGGGCACGAGGCAGCGGATACCCCGAATGGGATGCCGGACCATCGCAGGGCACGTGCTCGCTTGCTCGACCCAGCTAGCATTTCGAGTTACGCTAATGCTTTTCAGCAGAGATGTGAATGACTGCTGCAGCTAGTGTGTAATTGTTTATACAGTGTACATGGATGACAGAAACAAGCAGATATCACATTTGTCATGTATGCATTTCACCTCTTCCTCTGGAACTGTGTCCTTCTGTGTTCTGGAAGAGGACGAGGCTTGTAGGCGAGGGATTTCTAAATGAATGCACTCCAAGGAAAACGCTTAGCTCTTTGAGGCATGCTATAGCTAAATATACCCTGCTACTCTCCTAAGGCATGATTTGTACTGTGTGAGAGCCGCCGTTTTTGTAAACGTATCTCAGCTGCTTTTACAGCTGCTTTCAGTCACACTAAATCATTGTCGTGGGTGGTATGTGTGCCTGTGACCTGTCTGCCTTATCTTATGAATTCTGAAAATATGCCTCGTTGTCGCACAACTGGCCGCCATGCGGAGGGCATTAAGTAAGGCTGAGTGGTTTTGGCTTGCTGGCACAACGATATAACTCAATGAGACTGATGGAGGCGGCTGGCCATCGTGTCGGGGACAATTATTTCACACTTATTTTACTAGTGTGCTTATCTGGATCATATCTACAAGAGGATATTTATGGAAAAAGGTTCAGGTTAAAGACTTTGCTCGGTCTTTTATTCCCCTCACCGAACAATCGACTTAGTACATCAGTTGCTATCTTCACGTTAGGTTACAAGATAAGGTCATTCCTGCCTGAACCATTTCCAGTATCTCCAGTGCTGGTTTTATGGTTGTTTTTTCTTTTCTTATTTGCTGATTAAGTGATTTTCCATAATTAGAGGCAAACTAAGAGCCAGCTGCTTTCTGGCAGTAGCACCAATAGCAACAGAGAAGACAACAATAACTAATATGGTTTAGTAGGGTAACAAAATCTAAGCCAAAGACTGAGAGTTTGGAGTTCCTGTTGCCAGCAGGTTCCAGAATGTTCTCATTACAAGTGTTCTAGCTCATTATGTAGGTCGCAAAGATCAGTCAATATTGCGTGACACTCGTCTGCCCTGCTGATTCTGCCGCCAGGCCCGGTTCCTGTACTGTACACTGCAGTGTGTCGGGTATTATTGGCTGCTCCTACGAGTTTGAGGAATATAATACTGCTTAATGCTAATACAAATAATGAATGAAGGTTCTCTCTGGATTAAGTTCAATATATCCTGTATTTCTTGAGTGGGCAATATAGTTTTTGGCCCTGGTGTGGCTCTCCTCTGCTGTGAAACATATTGTGATGTAGTATAAACTGATGCCCATTTGGCAGACACCATATTCTACTAACTGTCGTCTTAACAGCCTTCAGCTGTCAAAAGGCTTGGAAATAGCATTAACATGATCAGTGCTGTGACGGAGCGTGTTTTGGGACAATAGACATGTATTATACTGCTTTTCAGCATCCTTTGTTTCACTGAGGGTGGGAAGAGAATGGGAAGGTGAAACCCCATAATGCTCTCTGTTGGCACTGTATAGATGACAGCTGGAGAGGGTGGGATTAGGCACGTGTGAGTCCTCTGTTGAAAGCCCAACAGGATTATTGCGGTGTGCAGAGGATTAAGTGGGCTTTGGTGTGAACATGGGTATGGTGCCATTTCTGTTTCATATCAAGGGAAAAAGTTCTGCTTCATGGACCCCCGATAGGCTGATTAAACATCTGTTTCATTTCTATTTGTCCTCATCATTTGTCAATCTCTTGTCTTGCCTTTTTAAGAGTCTCCTTTAAAGGGATACTATTATACTCATTTTCACTGTTCATAATTTTATTTTTGGGGCCTCCTAGAATAGATTTGCATGCTTCAATGTTCCAAAAACACATTATATTTCTCGTACTGTACATCCCTGTTCATTCTGTCTGTAATTCTGTCTATCATGCTCTGTTAGAGCTTTAAGCCCCACCCCCAACGAGTCCAATGTGCTCTGATTGGTCAGCTTGCCCTATACAGCAGATCCTTGCAGGTAGGTGGCCAATAAGGATTGTGTTACGAGGTGACCTCACCATGTCTCGGAAGTAAGAGCTTGAATTCCAACAAGGAGTATGGGCAGATTGAGGAAGATTGGTTTCTGTATTGCGAGTTACTCCCTTTTGCGTGGACTTTGGGGCTTAAGACTTTGCAGACCGTTTACATGCACATAAAGCTATATAAGGCACTAAAGGAAAGGGGAAAGCTGGAAAATCATAATAGGGGCCCTTTAAGCCTTGTATGGCCTTATCTTACCAATTTAAAATGAAAGGAGGAGCGGTAAACATTCTGAGGGGCGAGACAAGCAGGAGTGTGAAACCACTCTGGTTTGTATTCCCTTCTCCTAGGCTCTGGCTGGCCTTTGAGTACCTCCCCTGCTCTGCTCCGTCACACAGACACTCATGTGAACGTTATACAGGTTTTTTGGGGACGGGCTCCTTTGTCTGCAGGGTAAACAGCACATCTTGTTTCAGTAATTAGAGCCCCTTCTCAGATCTTTCCCACAGTTAGTAGTAATATTTATGTACATCACGTCTCAGTTTGTGAAATAAGCATACCACTTTTTCGCTTTTAGAATCTTAGGGATAACCAAATGCTTAAATACCTTAATCAAATGTGTGGTAGAATACTCTCCTTGTAAGGTTATTCTCACTGTTTGTTAGTTTTTCATTTGTAATTCAGCTAGTAACTTCCATCCATTCATACGATCAGCTTCTAACAACTTATCCTGGTTAGGGGATGGGGGCTGGGTCCTACCCCAGGCAGCTCAGGGCACAAGGCTGGGATGCACACTGGATGGGATGGTTAGTAGGCCTAACTTCAATCTCTTAACTAGTTTGTGGAAGCTTAAGGGTTTGCGAGCGCCAGTCTCATCAGCCCTCTTGATCTGGATCCTCTTTAAGAGCTCCATCTCCATGGGGCTGCGTGATCTGCATTGAGATGATGTGGATGTTGGGATCAGGATGGCCATTGTTGACTTTACACGTATGAGTGGCTCTGAGAAGCTCCCCAGGCACGACATACTCTCCATCTTCCCTGTAGGAGCAGAGGTCATCTGGGGAGGCAAAAACATGGAGTCACGCCAGCTGTAGGCCGTCTCTGGGCCTTGTGGAGCCTGTGTCTCTGTGGGGGTGACCTCCTCCGTGGGGGTGATCTCCTCTGTGGGGGTGATCTCCTCCCTGACCTCTTTCCCTGCATTTCCTTCTCTGTCTCGTGTGAGGGATTACCTCTGCTTGGCTTTTTGCCCCTTGGTAGCCTGAGCTAATTTTACCATAAAAAAAAATTAAAGCATGGACCTACTCGTGATCTGATATTTAAGGTTGTATATGATTAGTGCAGCTTCCCAGAGCCATTTATCCAGTGTGTGGTCACAGAGAGCATAGAGCTTATCGTGGGCATGAGTGCATCTTGGACAAGATGCCTTTCCAACATGGGACATATTCGCTCACATTTAGGGATCCATCCACCGAAATGACATGTATGGACTCTGGGACAAACCTTGAGTAGTGGAAGTACTTTGTGTGTGTTTTGGTCTGTGTGTTTTGTGGTGATTTGGTCCGTGTGTCTTGGTCCGTGTATTTTGTGGTGATTTGGTCCATGTGTTCTGGTTCGTGTATTTTGTGGTGATTCGGTCCATGTGTTCTGGTCCGTGTATTTTGTGGTGATTTGATCAGTGTGTTTTGTGGTGATTTGGTCCGTGTGTTTTGGTCCGTGTGTTTTGTGGTGATTTGGTCCGTGTGTTTTGTGGTGATTTCTTGGTTTCATTAGAAGTTCAAATCTCATCCTGTGCCTGTTATAATGCTGCGATGCCCGCCTCCATTTCTCCTGCTTTCCTTCTTTCCAGGGTATGTAAAGGCCAAGGACACCTCTCGGAAGGCCAAATCTTCTGACCAGGATGATTCCCGGTGGATATTCATCAACCAGCCCCAGTCCACAAGATTCTGTAGCAATAGTATCAGGTAATGTCAAAGTAGCTTCAAAAGTTTATATAACCATCAGCTATGAACTAGATTAGTAGATGCTGCACATTTACCATTTGTAAGATAATGTGGTTAATTTTGAGTTTATTTTAGAACGGTGTTGAGGTGAACAAAGTCAAATGAGCCCTGATCTGGGAAAATTTAACATTAAGAGCAACTTTTTGCCTCATACGCCATTCATGTTTTCCTCCTTAATGTTCATTTTAGATGGATTTTGTTTAAACTGATATTCTTTGAGGAAATAAAACCCTCTGTAGTTCATACATATTAGCCAGGAGGTAAACCGTTAATTTTATTCCCAATCAGAAGATGAACTCGATGCTTCTTATTGTTCTCCTCTCGTGATTAGTAGACTGTTGTGCTTAGTAGACTTGGTAGACTATGGAGCAGATATACCAACAAAAACAGTGAAATTGTTGTGGGTGGGGTGGGGTGGGGAAACTAGCTGGTCAGAGTGAATTTGTTCGTAATGCTTTAGCATGCTAATGGTACCATAGCTGTTGTTCAGCTCTGGTAGCTAATTGCCTCTTTTTGAAGTGGTTGATAGGTAGTGTCCTCTTTAAGAAAACCAGCTGTACAACGGAGTCATTAAGGAGATTATGATCGCTCAGGTATCTGCACGTCAGGCGCGGTCTGAGAACAGCTTAAATGACACTCCCTGTAGCTGGCAGTGTATCTGGAGTGATAAGACTGGATTGGCTGTATCAACAGGAACACTTGGTCTCGGTCCCAGGGCCTTTTGGTTTGCGTCGGGCGAAGTTTGCTGCTGGCTGGGAACACCCACCACGTCTGTCGTCATCTCAGGATGGCTTCTCTGGTATTTTAGATCTGAACGCCACTTAATGGTAATATTAATTTTACAGTTCTATGCCTTTAGCTAACTTTCCAGCTGGATGTAAAGTGGTTCAATGTCGAGAACCTTCTCCAGGGTACAACAGAAAACACTGTCTGGATTATTTAACTGGTGGCTCTTTGCTCACATCCCTTTTCCTGGCCGGTGGGCAGCCCTGCCCAACTCTGCATACATCAGTGTTTTAAGTATCGCCTAGCACATGCTAATGTTATTAGCCAGTTTGCTGAATAGATGATTTTGTAAGGTAGGAGCCACACACAGACAGGGACACACGCACACACAGGCGCCTTGGGTTGACGCACTGCAGAGCTCCACACAACACTGACCCCCAGTTCTGACCGGCTTTTGTTGAGAGACGTTCATAAAAACATGATCGGTTCCTTGGTGATGACTGAGATGTCAAAGGCCCCAGTGCGACACGGTGCCCTTCCCCGAAATAAACACTGGTGATGTTGGAGAGAACAAAATTACTGCAGTGGTCTGACTTGTGAGAGGGAGTGGGTGGGGGTGGGGGGATACTGCAGACATGCTCTCCTAGTGAATCCAGCAGCCCCTCCGCAGTGTCCCGCACTGCACTGCACTGCACAACCGAACCATTAACACAACAGCCAGCAACTCCCAGCAGGCTTCAGGCTGACGGAAACCTTTCCTGGGCTGAATCTTCAGTTACGTTTTTCAGTCGGAATTGGATTGGAGGGTAGATGAAACCAGAAGATGAGAAGACTCTGGACTCAGGTGCGAGTAATGATCGTGAAAAAGAGAAGATGACAGTTACCGGAGAGGATTTTGTTTCTTCCAGAAACACAGTCAACAAAAGGCAAATCGTCATCATGCCAGTTTAAGTTGCGTGCAATATTTCATTAGTTCTGCTCTGTTTAGGCTGTAGACTTTGCTATATGCACATTACATCTGCTTTTTGACCTTTTCATAAAGAACAATACTCTGAAGATATGCATGTCCTTTTTTCTTTGGGCTACAGAAAAACAGTCTTTAGTTCGGATCAGTTTCCTCGAAGTGGTTTCACTTGCATTTTAGGTGTGTCATTTCCCTCTGTTGGTTTGGGTTTGATATATTATACCATGATTGTTGCATCTGAAACATCTTTTTTAAACACGATGCCCCCCCTGTACTGAACAGCCTGGTGTTATTCCGGAGAATTCCTAATAGTCTTAAATTAATTTCATTACACACAAGGTTTCCGACTCGTTGTACTTCTCACATCTCATAAATTTCCCCTGAATCCTATTAACGATGTAGCCGCAACACTGACCAGATCACCGCGTCGGCCTTGGCCCCCAAATAGGAGGTGTCACCTCTGTTCACTGCACCCTGGGGGTGCGATGATAGAGGCTGCCGACTCGAATTGCGTGAAATGAGGTAATGTTTAAGAAATGGCCCGAGGAACCTTGGAGAACCCAGCGGGACAGTGGAGTTGGACCCCGTGTCAGAAGAGGCTACCTAGCATACTTTTTGGGATATTTAAGACGGCGTTCTAGAAATGATTTAGATTCTGGTCAGCAGTGGATAGCACAGTGCTGTTGATGAATTGTAGATGGCTGTGAAGTACTGGGGTACCAGAGGACAACAGCGTCATGTGACACAAGGAACAGGCAGGGATGGTTAGGGTTGTTGTGGGTTGGGGTCTTTCTGTTCCCAGAGCGATGTCGGGTCAGGGATTGACCCCAGAAATAAAGAGGCCATCTCAGGCAAGGCAAAAACGGCAAAAATCGAACTCCATCGTGTCCGATGAAGTATGGGCAGGCGTTTCCTGGGGTTCAGTAGGGTTAGGGTTAGGGTTAGGGTTAGCTGGATGATAACACGGGAGGTGGAGTGGGTCAGCACCACAGTCTGCAGGCACCTGACTTCCACTTTCGAGTCTGACGTGTGTCGTCCCACCACCCTGGCATAAATGTCTCCGGTCAGCTTAACAGGTTTGTGACTTCATTTTTTGTCTGGGTTCAAACAATTGAATTTCTCTTCACAAATTCAGAGAGCAGCCCCCATATCTACCTGCCAGCACGGTGGTTCTCCTGCCTTGTTTATTACTTACTGTCGGATCCCTCCATGTGGAGCCTATCCCCTACATTCTAACCCTTACATTTTAATTTCTCTCACTATCCTTCCCCAAGCCTTCAGCCTATTTCCTGCCTCCACAGAGGCTGTGACCCGCCCCCTGCCTGCGGCCTCCTGCCATATTTATTGCTGTGAAGATGGGGGTGTGTGCTGCTACAAGCCCTGCCCCCCCTTTGATTCTGGATCGAATGATCATTCCTCTCCCTGATGGAGCAGTAGCCTAAAGTAAACAAGCCAGATCTTTAATCTCGTCATATATCTCCGGCGGAAGGGCTCTGCTGCCAAGCTCTAATGGGCCAGTGAATCACGGCAAGGGGCAGCCGGTAACATCGGCCCCGGGGGCCTGGGGCCCGGGGTGCCCCTCCGTCCTCTCCTATTAAACTTTACTACATTGAAATGCCATTTGTCCATTTCACAGAGAGGACCTAGCTCGCTGGGGGTGGGGTGTGGTTCTGTTTAGTGCTGTAGTCAGCAGGCCACTCTGCTGTATGCGTGCCGGGTGAAATGGACCCGGTTCTACGTAACTCGCGTATCTGTTTCTGGGACAGTGTGACTGCTTCTGTGTGGGAGTAAGTGGCTGCGTTCGAAACTGATCACTCACTCACTACTCCCTATATAGAAAAATCGATGTGGTTCGCTATGTGGGGAATTATTCTGTAAAACAAGACAATGGTTTCGGATGCTACATTCCAAAATGCTCTACGTTGGTATCCTAGTAACCATTGACAGCTGACATTTGAGAAAAAGTGAATATGGATGTGTAAACCTATCATTTATAATTTTTTTTATTATTATTTATATTGAATTGACAACTAAAGTCTTTGAAGAGATCTCTAGTATTATTGTTACTTAAAATTAAAAAAAATGTATTACATTTGTATACGAAGCAGCCATCTTGTTTGTAATATGAACATTCAGGTCAGAAACTTCTCATTGAATTATGATCTGTGTCGTGCATCGTAATGTACATCATGTCTACCATACAATGTGCAGTGCATTGTGGGTATTTTTTAGTGCACTATATAGAGTCAAGAATTGTTACAACCTTACAAAATAGCACTAGATGCTTAGGGAGGGAAGATTCTGAACACAGCCTGTATCTACCTGTCCCTGGGTGTTTGTAGTTAGGGATAGTGGCAGAATTCAGAGGGATGAGGCTCATCAAGATGAAAAGACAGACCATCCTAAGCTAAACATCAGCGGCTTTGGCGGTAAATTAACAAAATCTATGTTGACTCCTACTACGTTTCTTTGAAAGTCCTTTGTCAAATCAGTATGTCTTAGTGTAGTGTTAAGTAACTTCTGAAAGGTGTGTTGGCTAGGACAGACTTCCCTGCTTATCTTTAAAACTTGCTGTTGGTTATTTATTGTTTCCAGGCAGTTTTTATGGCTCTGCATATGGACTTTGAGACAGAGACGCTTGGAAGGTGATTGTTATTGAGGATGTGTGGAATGATAGACGGAGAGACGGGTCGTACAGCTACGAATTCGCGAAACTGTCACTATGAATTGCTGTTTTGCTGAGGTGCTCTGAGCATGTCTCTGTCTCTCTGCCCCCCCCTCCACCTCCCCCCTCCCTTACGCCCTCCAGCACTGCGAAGTACAACGTCCTCACATTCCTGCCCCGGTTCCTCTTCTCCCAGTTCAGGAGGGCAGCCAACTCCTTCTTCCTTTTCATCGCACTCCTGCAGGTAGGTTAGTCATTCGGAGAAGTTTTGATCTGGACCTGAGCCGGGTTTCTATATGCCACCGTCGTCGCCGTGGGAAGTGGCTGCTGTGCAGAGCGGAGGCGATATGCTTGTTTGGGTATTTCAGGAGAGGGGGGCTTATTAGCTCTGCACTCCCGATAGGGTATCTGAACAAGGAGAACTTATGGCTGACAAGATTGAATTATAAGTGGAGAGAGAACACATGACATTTGGCCCCGGACTGTAACAGGGATGTACTGGGATTGTTTGTTTCACAAACATGACACAGACAGAAGACCAACACATACTAGCATGAAAAGATCCTCTGCTGAAGACACCGAATAAGGCAACAAGCCTCTTAGTTCATCTATAAACTTGCTTCGATGATGCCATATTTGCAGCTGGGTGGAAGTCAGCTATTTTTGTTCAGGTGTTTCTGATTTCTGATGTTTATCTGCCAGAGGATGGACACATCTGTGGGGCGGGGGTCAAAAATCAATGTCAGGCCGAAATGTTAAATCCATTCATTTTTATGGCGATAACCACCCCCACTGAAAATTCCAATGAATCTCCATCCCGCCCCCATCCCTGTTCCAATACTTGCTGTCCAGCTATACATCTTGGAGAAGCAACATGACCCCTGACCTATGGTATAACAAATGGGAATCTGTGCTGTCCAAGGACAGTCATGTGTAAATGATATAGACCAGCAGTACCCAATTATTTTCTCCTGAGATACAAACTTCATCAGCCACACAGACTCCGCAGGACATGGGGTGCCCTACGGTTTCTTGGTGTAAATTTCGTCCACTGGGTGTTTCGGCCCGGATGTGGACCAGAGTCTGCATTTGAGTACCCCTGACATAGACCACCTTCATTCCAGGTGAACCCAACCCATATCAACTAATTCGATATGTGCAGGTCCTGTTTGGTACTTAGGCAACATGGATTACAACCTCTATCTTTTGGTATCATCCATTGATAAGTAATATAACAATTAGTCCATTGATGTGGCTGTGGTTCATGAGTGGCACGATTATAAATAACATGTGCTCTGCTGTGCCCTAGCAAATTCCGGATGTTTCACCAACTGGGAGGTGGACAACCTTGGTTCCTCTTCTCTTCATCCTTATAGTGGCAGCTGTAAAGGAGGTCATTGAGGATCTGGTAAGAAATCAGCACTTATTTTATGTCAGTTCTTACTTGTGCTTGTATCCAGTAACTTCCTGTTCTTTCATATTTTTATCTTGATTGACAACATATCCTGGCCATGAGGCTTAGGGCACTTTGGGTGAGACTGTCTGCTGTCCGTGTCTGGTGACTGGTCTGTGGCCCTCAAAAAAAACATCACAACAAAGTAAACTTTGATTATGCAAGGGCCTCTCTACCGGTTACTTCGTGTTTGAGTTCATAACATCAGTCAAGGATTTTATAGGTATTAGCAAAGCAGGGCCTGTTCTGGTTCAGGATTAATTGTGTTATTACCACTCAGAGAGGCTGTCCAGTGACGTTTGATCTATTTCTCTCTGTTAGTTGCATCTTCAAAGCCTCTTCAGACTACATTTAAATCTGGGTGGTGACATTTTTTCCAATTTCTTTGTGTCAGGAGGCAAAATTTACATTCGGTTTAATGGTAAAGTGTACTCAGCAGACTTGACATGAAATATTTCTCTCTCTACCTCTCTTTCTCTCTCGTGCTGCATATGTATCGTGTCTGAGAATGGGGGGGTTGGGTGGTTTAGCTAAAATATCTTGTCCTCCATCACCTCTGCGGGTTGGTGGAGCACCTGAGCTTGTTGGTGTCTGAGAGGCTACAGCTGTTTCCCCCAGGAGGGACCAGGGCTGTAGAAGTCACTCGAAGGATAGGATTTGTGACCAAAAAGCTTAAGGTTTAAATACCAGGAGGGATGTGTGCCTGTATGGAGAAGGTATCCCCCAGTGTGTAAAAGCTTTTAAGGGAATCTGAAGTAGCACAATTGCAGGGGGAATATACATATGTAATTAACCACATGGCTCGTTCTGCTCTTCACTGGTGCAATTTGGATGATAAAAATGGTCGCCTAAAGATTCCGCGGATCTCAATGTCATAGAGAAATTTAACGGTGCGGGGCGATCGATCAGCGATTTCACAAGTTTAATCGTGTCAATGTTTTTTTCGGGTGCGAATGCGAGGGGTTTTAAAGAACTGAAATATGTATAATTTTTTGAAACCCAGTCGTAGACGAAACAGTTATAGGATTGATCACTGAGGTTTGTTTTATAGACCTACATTTCTTTTGTACGTGAGTGCTTTTAACTTGAATTTATGCGAATGTATATCAGTTTCCACGTGTACTAGTTGTTTGTAGTTTTACTTCCTGGATGCTCAGTAATTTGTCTTTGACTAGAATGGTATAGTGGGTACGAAATCCACGTTAACGTGGACGGTGACGTCACTCTCTGTCGCGAGCAGCTGAGCGAGACTCGCGTGCAGTACTGCAGTTGTCAAAGCGCTACCAAAATTAGACAGTTGGTTGTAAAAAACGTTAAAGAGATTGACTATAAAGTAAGTGAATCGGGTCTGAGTAAGTGAGTTCTTCCTTTACTTATCAAATGAGTGTTTAATTAGAATAAATTTTTATTCGACAAGAAGCTGAACGTTAAATCACATGAATCCACGAACGTTTATTTAAGTGTTTATGATACGTAACCATTTCACCTTAGTGATAGAAACGTAACTAACAAAATTATACCAATATCTGTCGACTTAAGGTACTGTCAATTCAATTGAAATGGAGTAGCTTCATACAACGTTAATGGTGTAGCCTGATTCTCTTTAAGTGGAGGTGTTATTCTCATTTACCTTAGTTATTTAGATAGTTATAAGTCCCTGCCTGGCTTCACGTAAATGAAGGAGAGAATGGAGCTCCATTCTTTTCGAGACCGCTAACGGCATTCGGAGTTGGCTTTAAAACCGCCAGAACCAGTTCAATGTCTTCCCGTGTTTCTCTATCCGCTAAACAAATATACACGTACGATGCTATAATTCATTTACGGCATTTGGCATTTGTAAATCTTTGTGAACAAAGAGATTTCACTTAATTAAAAAAATTAACTGAGTCCTAGTCCCACTCAGGTGCTGTATTTGAATCAGTTCTGGTAGCCTTTCTTAGAACTTACAGCATTTTAACTCAGTTCTTTGTTGAGTAGTTAGTAGAGTAGATAGCAGATGTATAAGCAGCATTTTGAGTCTTGGTTTGACACTGGTTGTCTTCTCGCCCTGTTATGTCTCTCTGTCAGCCTTCGGTAAGGCTTGGGGAGGTGGGCTCCATCACTGGCCAGCAGATTCCGAAGATTAACCCCCACGGTGGCTGTGTGATTATTTTGTCATTTACTGTCTGAAGTAACAGTGCAGAGCAGCTTTCCTGTCCTTCCTGTGCATTTTACCTCTTGAGATCACCAACATGGGTGACCAACATAACATTTCAGTTCAAGGGTCCATCATCCATCACTAATTTTGATATTACTCTGTTGGGTTAAATAAGTTTTGATTTATTTACTCGGGCATGGCACAGTGGCTCTGTGGGTAGCAGTACTGGTCTCATACCTCTGGAATTGTGGGGTCAGGTCCTGCTGTAGTTCTGTGTGCTAGCATATTTACACAGTGTATTTCCTCCTGGTTCTCCTGTTTCTTTCCCCCCCCCAAGTCCAAAGACTCATAGCATGGGTTTGTTAGTTTTCCTAAAACGCACTTGGATTATGACTGGACTCTGTGGTGGACTGGTTTTCCACCCAGGCTTTACTGGGGCTCATGCCTTACACTTTGTGAGAGGATTCATTCTTGCCATATGCCTGCATTGGACAAGCGGCTGCTGTTGCTTATGAGCTCCGACTTTTTGAGCTGTCCGTTTTAAGTGCTGAAACCAGCAAGGAAAAGGACTGCCGGTCTGGATTTGGAGTGAGTGCTGCTCACTTAGCTCTTAGATGTTAGCTGTTAGCTGTTACCCGGACGCCCTCCTGGTTCTACCTTGTAGCGGCTCTTGGCTCATTTCCTGTTACTCTGCGTCGAATTACACCCTGTGAAACTTCCAGTCAGTGTAATGTAAAAGTGGGGGTCTGCCTCCTGTATGTTTGGTGTGCTGTTAGCACTGAGCTGTCTAAACTGTTCAGTCTGGGACTATGAACATGTTCATAATGATAGCATTGTGTAAATATGGGCATACTACATGTTCCCAGTATGGTATTTTTTATCACCATGAACTGTCATGTTGTTGTAAAATGTTGATTTACTGTAGAATAAATGTTTACAGTGTGGAGTATATAGTCATTTATTGGCATATTTTATTGGTCTGTTTTATTTTTTTCTTCTTCCATTTCCTAAATCTCAGCACTATTTATCTTGGCAGTGCATTACCTGGATTCTGTTTTATTTCCTGTAGTTTGGTTACATATTTGCATAACCCTCTAAGTGGGAGAGTGTCTGGCATGTATCCCGTGCACACCTCATGGATTCTTTTGTTCCTTGGATGCAGGAATACTAACCGTTGGCTTGCCAGGAGGAGGTTGACACTGGTTACACCCGCTGTTATATATTGATCTACTCACGGTCGTGACACAGACAGGGCAGGGACAATGTGAAATCACGTGTTCCACAGCCAGTTCCCAGGCTTTTGTTTTTTTCCCCCAGCATCCTACGAGAACGGGATGTAAATGTCGGGTTCCATAAGGTCACCAGTGATCTAGTCGGTTGAGATGTTATAGGGCCGGTTTTCTTCTTTTTGTCACTTAGTCTGAATGAAACCCTGCTGCTTTTTCGCAGAAATGCAGTTTTCACAGACACCTTTATGACGGGAATCCAGGAAGAGATGCCTGATTAACTGCTCCTGTGGAGTACAAAGACTTGGGCTGCATACTGGAGATCCTGTAGTTCACACATGAGTAGTTTACTGCATTGAAGTACCATACACAAGCTACTGGTGTATTTAATTCCCCGGATCACTATCTTCTTGTTAGAGGTAGAGAAGACCAGTGGACCTCATTACCTGGCTCAGAACCCAACCCCCTCCCCCCGAATTCGGCAAAACAGAAGGCGCAGATGCACGCTCTGCCCCGGGAGGATGGAGCCTGTTCCCTCCACCTTGTGCTCTCTGAGGTGTAAATCAGGTTTTTCTCCGGGTGCAGATTGATGGATTTTCATTTAAGAAGTTTAATTTGAAGTTGCAGTTGTTTGATGGTGCCCAGAGAGAAATCTGTAGGCATGTTGGATTTTTTTTAATGCAGTTTAGAATGATCAATGAAGGGGTGAACTAGGCCAAGACAGAAACGTGTCATGAGGCATGCCATCATTCTGCCTGTTACACTCTGACCCATTTTCACACTTAGGTTTAAATATGAGATGTCCGACTTGGTCCACCATTTTGTTGTCTGGGAGCATTGATATTATCCTGACCTTTGTTTTCTGCATTTCAGAAGCGTCATAACGCAGACAATGTAGTGAATAAGAAGAAAACCCAAGGTAAGGGATTTTCCAAATGATGTGCTTTTATTTAAAACAATTATGATTATTCTGGTGTTTGACTTTAATATTATTATTTTTATGCCCAGCATGAGAGCTCTCAGCCTAAAGTTTTCTACATAGCCTATAGTATAACCTGAAAAGTACAGTAAGTAGGATTTGCCGTTCAGGAAGTCACATGTGGGTCACTAGTGCACTGTAACTCTAGTCCTGTTGTGGTGGTTCATCCAGCATGGTAAAATAGGTTATGAAGTAACTAGGTTTCCACTGGTGACAGATGTCGCATATGAAGCATTTAAATGCGGCTTTAATTTCTGGTGGTCTCTGAGAAGATGCCAAAACAATGCTGCCTGCCTAAATTAGACTGGGCTACACTTCATAAATAACCCTACCAATAGAAGTATCTGCAGTTCCCTGTGGTGTTCCTCATTAACAGAACTTCCTGTTAATATGTGTAACAGTGATCTGAATATTCCTTTAGGGGTCTCTTAGGAAGCATAATTTCCTGCATGGCTAAAAATAGACCCATATCTGCTTTCCCATGCCATTCCTTTGAGACATGATTGATTAACTTGTAATAAATAAGCTAAAAGGACCATGCTGATATATTTATTTGTTGAATTTATTAAAGAACACTGGTATTGTGATTTGAGTGTAGAGCAGTACCAGCATGGATGCTGGGCCTAAAGCAGATCAGAGCACATATCCTGTGTATCTCCAGCGTTTATGTTGTGACAGACGTGTTTGTTTATACTGAAATAACTCTTTCTGACTTCATTAGTGCTGAGAAATGGTGCCTGGGAGATAGTCCACTGGGAGAAGGTGAGTTGTTGGGTTTCGCCCATAACTGGCAGCAATGGTGTGGTGTGGCCTAGTCGTGATCATGTCACCTATAGGCGTCACTATAACCTGCTTTCAAGGTAGCTTTGCGTTTCATTTAACGTTGGTTTTCGAACCTTGTGCACACACAAACGCACAAAGCAGAGCTGGTCCCCGGTCCGCCACACTCTCACTGGGAGCTCCAGTGCTGAGCTATAATTAAATTCACCACTTGCACATTCCTGGGAAGACACTCGGCAAAGCAGCCGACTGGGACTGTGCCGGCCTTTTATCTGGGCTTTTTTGAGCAGACAGTTAATTACCTTCTGTAGGGTGTCAACCCACTAATTAGAAGGTACAAAAGGAAGGGCTGACTGTTAGCTGTGGAGCTCCCGTCTACGTGGCCGGTTAATCTGAGCGTAGTTTGGTAACATCGCATCCAGCTCTTGCCTCTTGTGTCCTGCCTGTCAGCCCAAGGGAGTCCTCAGGAGGTACTAATAGCCCTGAGGCTTGACTGTCTGTCCACTGCAGGTCACAAGGATGCCGGTTTATGCAGCAATCGTTATATGTTGCCAGCTGATATCATAATTTTTTTTTCTCATTTGGATTACTGCTGCTTGCAATGTATGTAATGGTCCATAGTAACTAGTGAATTTCTTGCAGGTAGTGGTGGGAGATATAATTAGAATAAATGGCAACGAGTTCGTACCTGCAGACACAATCCTACTGTCGTCCAGGTAGAGGAGCTCACATTTAGGGAGTCTGTTTCGGGGTCCTTCTGCACTCTGGCATGTTCTGAAAAGGTGATGGTTATGGAAAGGCAAAAAACTCAAACACATTTACGTTACAGGATTTTTGATTTGCAGTATCACCCCACCCCACCCCCCCAAAAAAAATCCATATACCCTAATGAAATTACAAATTTTTGCCTTTCATAATTGTCACTTTTGTCAGAGCAAATTCTTTCAAAGCTGCGTTACTTATACCGTGTTTGTGCTGATTCTCCCCTCCTTTTTCAGAATCCATCCTCAAATCAGGTCCTCTTATTAAGTCGACTTTCCAAAGCATATCTCTAACCTTGCCTGAGGAAATTAAAACAGCACATTTTACGTTTTCTAGTGGTAGAATCTTTTTTCTTCCATATTACTAACCTCTCAGACTCCCAGGCCTTATGTTCACCAGAGTGACGGCTTGGATAAGCAGGATCCCTTCTCAGACGAGGCCTGACTAGACTCTTCCTGCTAACAAGTTAGATGGCTTCTGAAAATAAAGTTGCTAAAAATAAAATGGGTGTTCTCTGTCTTCCAGAGGAGAATTCGGTCTTTGTGTCATGTTTGTTTACATGCTGCATGTCTCCATTCCTTCAGCTTCTTGTGCTGCTTAACCTCTCCTCTTCTTCTTGGCCACGGTCCCCTTCCTCTCTCTCCTGGTGTGTTTACTAAAATAAGGTGGCGGTCGGGGAGATAGTCCGAGCCACCAATGGCGATCACCTGCCTGCCGACCTCATCATCCTGTCGTCCAGGTCAGGAGCTCAAACTTCTGGCAATCCCGTGGGTTCAGTTCAGGTTGGGGCTGACATGACTGACGAGTGATCATCTACTGTACACATAGTTATTTAAGTTAGTGACATGACTGCCGTTCCACAGCGTGCCCCACCTGATGCAGAGACTCCTTAAAGCACACTCTTTAGCACGGATTACTGTTTCTCAGTGTACTCTTTTGCATAAATCAATTAATTTACTACCGCCCTGTACTGCCATCTTGTCCACACTCCAAAGCCCACTCTTTTACCCTTGTTAACTCCTTTATCTTTCTGCAATGTTATCTGCTGCCTCAAATTCTTTTTGTTAAAGGACAATTAAATGTTTAGCACTCTAATCAAAAGTTGATCCATCTGCCATAATTGTTACTGAAAGACGGAAATCAGTTCATCTATCAAGATGATGGCAAAACTTGTTTCAGTGCTTTTCGGCCTTCTCTTGTCCTTTTCAGACTAGCTATTCAATAAAACACTGAATAAAAATGATAGATTGAGTGAGTAATGTTAGTTTTTAATAGCACATTTGCTAAAATGTTACATTTCCCATAACTGTGATCTAACAGTTACCAATTTCATTTTAACACAAAATAATCAGCACAGTTTGAGTACTGCCATCATGTCACAAGATAACTGACGGATTGGTCAGTTGCTGAATTCCTGTCTTTCCGTGTCTTTGTGCCCATGATGCTTCTTCATGAGCTTCCCACGTCTAACCTGCCATATTGCATTTAATCACTTCTTTTCTCGACCAGTGAGCCGCATGCCATGAGCTATATCGAGACATCCAATCTAGATGGAGAGACCAACCTTAAAATCCGACAAGTGAGTTTTTGAAATCCATTCTCCCGTTTATTAACTGTCTTTGCCACTCTCTCTTTCTCTCTGTCTCTATTTATATATTTGTGTGTGTGTGTGTAATATATAAATGCAACTGTGGCACTGCTAGTGGCTCCAACATTGTTTATTACAACAATCTGTGACACTGTTGACACACCAGTACAGTGGCGCCCCCCCTCAGTGGAATATATCAGTGTATACCACGGCTTTGGTGAATAATATTTTCTTATTGGTCCAGAGATGTTGCGTGGGTGTTGATTTTTTTACTTGTAACTGCACAGATAGTTCCGGCATCCTAGTAAAAGTTTTATAATATATGTTAATATAAAAACCGGTGTGACTTTTTACTCACAAATAAGCAGTCATTCTTATCGGCATAGATTTCCCTGATCTTCAAAACGTAAGCACCTGTCTGTTGATGGTTTCTATGGAAACTTAATGGACTTGCTGCTTCCAGTGAGTAGCCTGACCAGGTGTTCTTTCCTTATGGAGAGCACATTGAAACATTATTAAATGGTAATTGAAATAATGTCCTTCTGGAAAATTAACTGAGACAAGTTTTTTTCTGTTTTTTTGTTCATTTGCCTGGTATAAATGGGATAAACCACTTCGAGGTGTAAGGTTCTACAAAATTAATCAACTTTGCGCATTATACCAAGTTGTCATTGATTTATTTTCATAGAATCACACACCTCATCGTGGTTTCTCTCTTGTGTACGTATGTAAGTAATGAACTCACTAATAATTAACATGTTAATTTGTCATGTGACCTAGAGTCTGATTTTCTGAGAGTTCCTTCCAAGGTTAGTTTGGCCTCTGCATCCGGAGGAGGATGGTGATGTATGACCCATGCCAGGCTTACACAGGAGCAGGTAGTCATGCTGCCACGCTATCGCCCCCCCCCCCCACACCCACCCCCGGTGCTCACACAGGGCCTGCAGCTGACTGCGGAGTTTAAGGACACAGAGAGCCTGGCGAGGTTGACCGGCCGTATGGAGTGCGAGAGCCCCAACCGGCACCTCTATGAATTCGTGGGGAACATCCGTCTCGAAGGTCACAGGTATGGGGGCCTGTTTGGTTTAGTTTTTTGACAGGTCACAGCCGGTGCACTTCAGCTCTGAGAGAGTCGGAGATCTTCAGAACTGTTTATTGCCTCCCCCTCCTCCTGCTGCTCCAGGGTTTCAAAACAGCTTAAAAACAGTCTATCAAGCAGACCTTGAGATCTTATTCATGTGCTTCACTCATGCTAGTACGAAACAACAGCCTTATTATAGTCAGGGTTTTTTAGCAGATGTGTTGTCCAAGGTGTTCCCCGCCTTGTGTCCTGAGTTTCCTGTGATAAACACCAGGGGACGGTCGCACAAAACACCTTAAGTTAAGATTTTCCTTAATGTCTGAGTCAAGGTTTCCTTAAAATATAGTCAGTTGTACAAAACACCCTTAAGGCTTCTTCTTAAGGTTTCCTTAAAATGTTCACGTAAGTATTTCAGTTTTCCCATATCTTGGTTTATCCTTAAGGAATCGCTTAAAGTTCCCTTAATGGTTGCACAAAAGACCTTAACAATGAAGGTAAGGAAAAAAATTAAGGTTCCTCCAACTGTATCTGAACTGCAACATGGCTGGGTTTACGGTGATAAATGAAGAAAACGAACACATCCTGAGAAGCATCCTGTGACTGGGAGTACCTAATGAAAATTATCAATGGTGATCAAATGATTTTACCTGACCGACAGTCAATTTATGATTTTATTTATATGACCCACGATATGTTTATAATTCATTATTAAATCTGGTTAGCAGATTGACCTTTCAGTTTCACAGAATAAAAAATGGTGTAACATCCCACTGATAAGTGCTGGCAAGTTTCACCCTGGGCACTGGCCATATTAGACAGAATTACATCAGTTATGGAACAAATTTTCCAATTCAGAAATATGGAGACACATGCAAAAATGCATTTAATGTAACTGAGAACCATAATTCTGTCTGCTCAGTTTTTCTTCCACTACTTCTCTTTTCATGGTACTTCCATATCTTCATCAAAGCAATTAAACTGGAGCTGATAATAGGTATCATGAACGTCAAGGCGTGAGTGCACACAAGCAAATGGTCTCTATGGAAACTGCACAAATTTACTGCCGGAAAATGTCTTTCAATGCTGTAAATTTGTTAAGGTTTTTCCTTAACTAAGGAAAACTTTTAAGGGATTTTGTGCAACACCTTTAAATAAATCCCTCAGCTAAGGAGAAATTAAACCTTAAGTGTCATACTTAAGGTGTTTTGTGCAACCGGTCACAGGCTTGCAGTGGATAAGCAGTTATGGATGGATGGATGGATGGATGGAAAGAAAGAAATTTAACAATGTAGCAAATATTAATTCATTATTGCTGCAACCTTGTAATACATCTAAAACAGATAGTATTTGCCAGTATTGCTAGGAAAACGGGTATTGAACAAGCTTAAGCTTAATGGCATGTTGCTGCAGCAGAAGGGATGGGATGCTCCATCAGGAATTCCCCCAGGTTGGCTTTCTGAAAGGTAATAAATGAAAACTGTGCCTTTTCAGTCCCAGGTGCAGGTTCTGCTGCCTTATCATGTGCACTGTCAGCCAAATACAAAATCGGATACCCTAACGATCGCACTATGGATCCTCCTTATGGACTTGGATTGCGTCCATGAATCAAGGAAGCCCTCAAAGCCTGCGCACTAGTGACTGCAGTGCTCTGCTCCGTCCTCGTTTTATCATTTTTCTAGTTCTAGATTATTTCTATTTAGTTTCATTAGTTTGCATGCTCTCCCCATCTCGCGTGGGTTTCCCCTGGGTGTTGCTGTTTCCTCCTGCAAACAGCTTGGCTTACTGGCAGATTGCCCATAGTGTATGACGGTGTGTCCGTACACGTGGCCTGTGAATGACTGGCATCCCATCCAGGGTGTACCCCAGCCCCGTAAGCTCCCTGGGATAGGCTACAAGCCCCCTGCAACCCTGATCAAAATAAGCGGATGGAAGATGGATGGTAGTCTATAATTATCACAGGTCTGTTTTGTTTCTGTTACTTTAGAACATATTGTGGCTTAGAGGTGAGCCAGGGGACCCACTATATTCAGCAGCAGAGTGGAGTCAGTGCATCTGCTTGAATAATACCGGTGCTGCAGTAATGGCCTATGGCCTATGACAAGGTCAGAAGGACCTGCTTGTTTAGTGTCCTGAAGGGAATGCTTTAGGGAGGCTTGCTAGAGAAGGACTTTGGAGTTTTGGTTTCAGCAGAAAGATGAGTAAATGAGGTGCTGGCAGGGAAGCGTCTGTCCCTCTGACGTGCATCTGCGCCTCGCTGCGGTTTTTTGGCACTGCTCTCGGCTCATTTCATGGGATGCCTGAGCGTTCGGTTCCCCGCCTCGTCTCTCATTTGTAGGCTGTGTGTATATCAGTCTCCCAGCTTCTGCCCGGATGTTCTGCTCACTTTGACAACTTGCTGGCCGAAAGCCAAATTCAAAACTTTGACTCACCCAGCATTGCATCCTTATATCTAAATAATTTTTTCCCCCTTTAGCAACTGATGTTCAGCCTTGATATACAGTAGCTTAAATAGTGACCTCCTGTAAGCAATAAGCTATAATGTTCCCCCAGGGTTGCAGCGTTGAAAGGCATTCCATTGATTGAGGAGAGTGTAGTAATAACTATATCTTTCTGTGTTGGAGTAAGCGTTTCCCCATCTGCACTGTTCTGAATGATCACTTACGTGTGCCCCTTTTTTGCTTCAGTCCGGTGCCTTTAGGTCCAGACCAAATTCTGCTGAGAGGTGCCCAGCTGAGGAACACGCAGTGGGTTCATGGCATTGTGGTCTATACCGGACATGACACCAAACTCATGCAGGTAAAACCCCGGCTTCACAGGGGTCGGAGGGATTCTACCTCTGGCTGAAACTGAAGTTAAAACGTCATCCACAAAGTGGTGTTTGTCAGAGATTTACCTGCGTTTGAGTATCAAATGGAGCCTCTTGTTATTAAAATGTTAACAGACTGTGCATTATAAACAGAGGTGCAGAGGTATTAATATTAAAGGGGACAATTCCTGCAAATTTTTAAGATGCTTTTTGGTTAAACTTAAAACATCCAGCTCTGTTATCCTTGGATGGAGAAAAAATGACCACCTTTTGAAACATTTTGATTTGGATGACAGTTGTCGTGAGGTATAGCTCTTTTGTCCATGCTGTAACCAGGTTTAGGCTATTACTCTCTAACTTTCCTTGGCTGCTCCTCCCACCTCCCAGAATTCCACCCGGCCACCCTTAAAGTTGTCGAATGTGGAGCGCATCACCAACTTCCAGATCCTGGCTCTTTTTGGCTGTCTGCTGGCTATCTCCCTGGTATGCTCTGTCGGCCAAACCATCTGGAAGAGCCAGTATGGCCATGGTGCCTGGTACATGAATCTGAACTGTAAGTGACTGGGCCACACATTATTCGCTAAAAAGCCCAAATGTCCCCTGTACGCCTACCCCTTGTTTTGCATAATGTCTCCCTACTTTTGGTTTATTCAGTTCCTCAGTGTTCATTTTTGCTGCTGCTGATGTTGTCCCTATGTTGCGTTATTATGACGTATTACCATTCCGGTAAACACACGTAGGAAATGCTGCCAGCTTCGGTCGAAGGGCACATTTCCCGCGGGAGATAAACGTGCACAACATCGAATGAAACCGTTGAACGTTTTGGCATCACTGTGGTCTCGTTTCATTCTAATGTTTGGTCTTTGTTTTCTTTGTTGTGTGTGGTTTTTGTCCCCCATCTAACAGCTCCAGGTAATGGTGGTTTTTAAAGCTTTGGGCCCCCCCAACCCCGAATGCTGTTTGATTCCCTTAGCCCCCTTGTTAACCCCCTACCCTTCTGTTGTGCAATCAAACCTCCTTATTTTGCTGCCCCACTTTGGAAAAAACTGGCACTGTTGACCACATTCATTGGCAACTATAAAATATCACCTCAAGGTATCATACTTTGCAAAACCATTTTTTCGCATTCAGTTAATTTCTTCTGTTTTTGTTCTTTGTCCCTGGATTTTTTTTCCCAAACGTACAAGTGACGTAACCCAAGGGACCAGTATTGACATTTTTCCAATGTCTCCTCTGCCTTGCTTCCTTGACTCTGTTGTTTTTCTCTGGTGCTGTGGATTGTGGATCAAATCCATTGAGCAAATCCCAGTTAATACTGGAAAGCCATTTCTCTCTAAGAAACTGAAGAGAAATACTTATTATAGCAGTGTTTCTCAAACTGGTCCTCGGGGACCCACAGGCGGTCACATTTTTGCTCCCTCCCAGCCCCCTGCCAGACAGTCCACATTTTTGCTTCCTGGGAGGGAGCAAAAATATGGACAGTCTGCGGTTCCCCAAGGACCGGGTTGGGAAACACTAATGTAAAGAATCAAGCTTTTAAAAAACAGCAGCTGAAAACAATGGTTTTCAGTGTTGCCCTGATTTTTCCCTATTTAAGAAAAGGAAGACTGTGCCAGTTAGGATACTCTCTGCGCTGATTACAAAAGATATTTTGTCGAATGTTTACATACGCGCTGTTCCCTTTCAAACAGGTCGGTCTTGATTGTCTGCATTGAATCAGTCGCCACTTGTTTTGTGACCTATGGAGCTCCCCATTAAAAATAATAAACTCTGAGCACCACACGGTCTCAAATTAGTACTTGGTTCATTTAACAGGAATTCCCCAACACACAGTGAAAAATAAATACCCCAAACACTGGGGAGTCAATGCATTGCACGGTGGGGAACAGTATGGTCACAAAGCAGGTTTTCTGTCTCCATGTTGATCAGACACTTTTAACAGAGGGGCCATTCAGTCCATTGCGTGTTGCTGTCTTGCTAAAGCAGTGGCATGGTGTACGTTTGCCATGTCCCTTCCCTTAACAAGCATGAGCCGCTTTTATCATTCATGGTAAAGTAGATAGACAGCTGGCAGTGTGAAATGCGATGCCAGGGTAATCTGTAAGTCTAATGCATTATAATCGTCCAAAGGACACCTCAGGTATAATACTGTATGACGACGTTAGTTACTGCTACCTGTGAGCCAAACTGACTTGCATTTTAGTCCCTTATCAGCAATGACAGCCCTGTATGGCACGTATGTATAGCACATTCATGCAAATTCACCCTAATCCTTCGGTCAAGCTGGCAGAAATGGTGATTCTCTGTGTCTGGTGGAGAGCTACCTGTCACTGCTCTGTCGGCTAAATATCGAGCGGCTTAGAATGTTGTTGCATTTCTTTTTTCTGCTGACTGATGGAGAAGGAATTGCTGACCCCGCTTTGCGCCCGTATAACTCGTAGTGCAGCATTTTTACTTTGGTGTTGTCCTCCAGGCAGCTGAAGGTGACTGCTTATGTTAAGGGCACCGTGACAGGCTTTGAGAACACTGTACAGGCCCCCGCACACTTTGCTGGTGCTGGATTCCCCACCTGGTTTGATGACCTGTCCATGTTTACAGGGCAAGAGATCTTACATTCAAGGAGGGGGAAGTTCCTCCATCTAACCCTCTGACACCGCAACAGTATTCTCAGAAACTGCAATGGACTGAATCTCCCACCATTGTCTTAACGAATGCAAACGTGAATCATTTTTTCCACTCATGAATCAGCCTCCTCTTTCTGTCTGTCTGCTGTAAGTTTCATTTGTTGTGAGAAGAACTCTGGAGTCAGAGTTGCTCTCCCAGCCAATGTAACGAGCTCTGGTGTTGATGTATAACACCCTGGTGGCTCGACGTTGCCTTAATAGGTAAATATTTCTGAATTGTTTAATCAATATTCCACCATCGGGGCGGCATGGTGGTGCAGTGGTTAGCACTGTTGCCTCACACCTCTGGGCCCTAGGTTCAAGTCTCCGCCTGGGTTACATGTGTGTGGAGTTTGCATGTTCTCCCCGTGTCGTCGTGGGGTTTCCTCTGGGCACTCCGGTTTCCCCCCACAGTCCAAAGACGTGCTGAGGCTAATTGGAGTTACTCACTTGCCCATAGGTGTGCTTGTGTGAGTGAATGGTGTGTGAGTGTGCCCAGTGATGGGCTGGCCCCCTGTCCAGGGTTGTTCCCTGCCTCGTGCCCATTGCTTCCGGGATAGGCTCCGGACCCCCCGCGACCCAGTAGGATAAGCGGGTTGGAAAATGGATGGATGCATGGATATTCCAACATTGGTTGCTGTCATTTTATAAGAAATTGGATGCTAGTACTGACAAACAATCATTGCTATACTTAAGGAGTATCCTTGGATTTTTTTAGATGTTGTTTTACAGAGGAATTATATCAGAAAGCTTTATAAATACCAGTTCACAAGCAAGCATTCTGTGGGTTACTGATACCTGTAATGAACATTGTTTTAATGTTGTGAGAGATGCTTTGAGAATTAGTATAGCACCTCAGTTTAAATCTTTTCAAATTCCCATTAGTTCAAAGGCTATGTGCATACTGATGGTCTCTCTTGTACCCCCCACAGATGGAGGTGCTGCTAACTTTGGCCTCAATTTTTTGACCTTCATTATCCTCTTCAACAACCTGATTCCTATTAGCCTTTTGGTCACCCTGGAGGTCATTAAGTTTGTCCAGGCCTTTTTCATCAGCTGGGTGAGTGCTGAACAATGAGGACAATCCACCATCCCCAAAAATGCTGCTTCCTCTCGATGTTGTGAGTGTTGCTTGTTTCCATCGGTCTGACTTTGTTGTCAGGACATGGACATGCACTACGAAGCCACCAACACGTCTGCCATGGCTCGTACCTCCAACCTGAACGAGGAGCTGGGACAGGTGAGCTAATGTTCTCTTTAAATCCCTTATGTGTTGCACCAGTCTTTGTGTAGGACCTAGTGTGGTAACACTTTACATTATCTGCACTTTCATAATGCCTTTATAATGCATTCATAGAACATTAAGTGCACCTTCATAATGCATGCATTGAACATTCATAAGCAGCATGTAAGTGTACTTTAACAGTTTTAATATATATTAATAACAAACATTGTATGATTATAATATTTGTTACAATGTTTGTCATTAATGTATATTAAAGCTGTTAAGGTATTTTAGGATGTTAAGGTACAGTTACATGCTGCTTATGAATGTTCTGTGAATGCATTATGAAGGTGCAGCTAATATAAAGCGCTATCCCCAGTGTTTTGTTGGAGCATATGGAGAAACTTGATAATGTTTCTTTAGACTGCACATCACTTCAGGGGACATTTATCAGAGGTGCACATTTCATTTCCATCCCCCACGTAAATTGTCGTGCTGAAAGTGTAAAGTGCACATGTGCTTTATGCTACATTCTACTGTTCAAAACCAAGCTAACGTCTCTGTCAAACTCCTTTAAGGGGCCTGATATGACTCGGCAGCAAGTCAAGGCAGGAAACCCTCAGGGTACCAATAGATGTAGTACTGTGCTGGCTTTTCCCGGTTGTCATTAATCCCTGTGGACATGCTCTGAAATGGGTTGAATGCAGAAGAAAAAGTTATACTGACATCGTAGTGTTAGAATTATTTGAATTTAGTTTCTCACCTAGAATTTCTCATCTGTCAGCTTTTAATGACACATTTATGGGTCATTCATAACAGATTATACATGTATGGCGTTTCAATTGCAGTTGTGCATTCTGTTATACGGTTATGTTTATTAGGCAAATGTACAATCAGTTACCAAAGATAATCAGTTATAAGCATTTGTTAAATTAAAAGAAAAAGTAATGATGGTGAAACTAGTCGGCTACTTCTGTGAAACCTCTATTTTTATACTTTGATGTAATTATTCCCATTATGGTTTTTTGTTGTACAGCACCAGCTGTTTGTAGACCTCCAGCTGGATGTAATTTTTAATGTGCCTGCCTTCCCTCTTCTAGGTGAAGTACATCTTCTCAGACAAAACCGGGACCCTAACCTGCAACGTGATGCAGTTCCTGAAGTGCACCATCGCAGGAGTGACCTATGGGTGGGTATGGACTGAATAGCCAGAGCCCATCTGGCTCCCCTTTCCTTCTTCCCCAGCTACTGTACCTCATAGCATCTACATTGCTGCTTTCTGGAAACCTTTACTGTAGATATTTGAAAGTTGAGGTTCTTGCAGAATGACGTCCATCTGTAATTATGGAGTTTTTTTTTTTATCCCTCCTGGCTTGAGCTTGAAAGTGGGTTTTACATTAGATCCATTCAATAAATGTGTGTTTTGTAATTAGCAGCGACTTCTAGTAGATGGCTTTGATCGCGTGTTATGAGGTTTGGAGTCCAGCCTCCAGCAGTGAGGGCCAGACCATGTTCACCTCCCTTCATCCCAGCGTTTAGCTCTGCTTGGATTGATAGTTGTGTTCCTCAGGTTAAACGTGAAAAACAGGACCCACCCCTCAAAGAGGTGGTCATTAGTCCTGGACTGGTGTAGCAGGCCTGATGTGTGACAAAACAGAGGAATGTGTTTGTAAGCTGGCTGCTGGTTTCTCCTATACAGAAAAAACTCACTTATCTTCTCAGGCCAGTTCAATTCAGTTAAATTCTGCCTTATTGTCATTATGGTATGCAGAGGTTCATTTATGATGAGAAGTGCCTTTTGACTCCTAGAGCTGGTGCAAGTTTAAAATATAATTACAGACTAGAATACTACAATAGTAGAATAACAAATAATTAGATAATAGAACAACAGATAGAATAAAGAGTATATAAAACAGGCATTACTGTATGTCCCCAGATATGAAAGTGCAAGCGTGCAATATCTTAATAGTATAAAATGCTCTGTGCCTGAGATCGGTAGGTTGCTGGTTCGAGCCCAGCCTCGGCACAATAGTCAGGTCTGTGGGCCCTTGAGCATAGCCCTTAACCCCCAGCTCCATGGGTGCTGCTGCAGGTGGCTGCCCTACACTGCCCCCGCTTGCTGTCATCCACATGCATGTCTGTGTGTCATGGAGAGCGAGATGGTGTAGGCGAGAAGAGAAATTCCCCATGAGAGGTCAATGAAGTGTCAGTAGTATTATTATTATTATTAGTAGAACAGTAAGGCATAAACATTGAGTTCCTTAAACAGCTGTAATAGGTAATGAGTATATCAGCAGATTTGTGGATGAGTACAGTACAGTATTTAAAGTGCAGTGCAGCATCTGGAGATGGTGGTCAGGAGCAGGAAGGTCGCTGGGGGGTCCAAGGTTGGATTTCACAGTTCATGTGTCTGATAGTGATACTGTAGGTCCAATGCACATGCATGCAGTAAGGATAAGCCTGTTAAAGCCACGCTCTACATGTTTGCACAAGCTGTGCAGGTGCCCTTCAGCTCTGATCCCTCTCATTCACTGGTTAGTTTACTACAGATGGAGTGTACGAGGGAACTGTTTCACTCAGTCGGGCTGGGAGCCAGCAGAACTTTGGAGATTTGTCCTTCTTTTTTTTAAACGAGGAGTTGAAACCTGTGTACTGGCACACTGAGAACTGAGCTTCGCCTAACGAATGATATGAACCCCTCAGAGTATACGCGCCGCCGTACGAGCCATTGATCTGTCCGTTCAAAGGCCTTCACAGAATCCCGGGAGATTGCAGAACCCATTTTTTTTGTGGATGGAGACAGTGAGAATTGGGACGTTCTCTGAAGATAAATGTCCCCCCCTCGCTGCCTTCATGAATATGGATGCCTTGCGTATTCTGTGTGGCAGTTTCGGAGACCAGAATCGGGCCCTGATGGAATTGGGCCAAGGGGTCTTGGCAAGTGTACCAATGTCACTGCCCCCTTCAGAAAATGAAGAAGAAACAAGTCAGATGGACTGCTATTTATAGAGTTTATCACTAGAGGTGCAGAAATACCAGCCAGATGAGCAGCTCCCACAAAGCCCTGCATGCAGAATGTACTATTTTGCCTTCATCTAATGAGGTAACCAAGTATTGTGACTGTCTGAATGTGGATGGGAAGGGAAGGGCTGCAGGGTGGGGGTGCCCAGCCTGTCTATATATAAGCAGGAAGGCCAGTAAGGGTGGGTTTAAAAAAGGCTTCATTAGATTTCACTTCCATTAAATGGATGATGCTAACAGTGCGGCTTTGTGGCAGCTCAGCAGGCAGCACTGTTGCCTCACGTCTCCAGAGTCATCTGTTCATATCATGTGTTCATATCTGGTTTCCTCCTGCTGTCCAAAGACATGTACAGTACTTACTGCCATCTTTAAATTGCTTGTTGTGTGTGTGTTCTGTCTCTGCTATGATGTGTTATCATCTTCAAATGAGACGTCCCTAAGACTGCAGGGGTGTGTTTCATCTTGACTACATTTGACTTGATTGTTTAATTGTTCAGAGTACCATTTGTGGCCAGTACTTCCTGCGCTGAATACGGAGGACAGTGAGAGATGTCCCAATTCCATGCCACATCAGGGATTCCCTTTTCTTTTAATGTGAAGGGAAATATTCTGATGTATCTGCCATAGGTGGCATTATGAGGCAGTGTGGGTGTGAAGCATTTCCAGTTAACTCCGTTTGATTTTTAACTCCAATGCGTACTAGTCCTTCCCAGCATTAAAGACAAACATAATTAGGGAGAATTAATGGTGGGTCCAGTCCAGTTCCAGCTCTATGTAATTATTTGCCTCAGACATGTGGGGCCCCCTGCAGAGAAAGACGCCATGATGACAGATTCTGGGTGACAGTCTTGTCTTGGAGTGCAGAGACGGGCGGCCCCGCTGTACTTCGAGCGAGATAAGCGCCTTCGGTCTGCCAGGGCGGGCAGATAAAAGCTAGCGCCATGACTAATCCAAGCTGAGAGACAAAACAGACGTTTTTTTTTCTTTCCAATCTCTCCACATGCACCCCACCCTCCTTCACACTCACATGTATTTAAGTATGCTGTCAGCGGATTAATTTGTCTTCCCGCCTAAATGCTTAAACTGCAGTTTTTTTTCTGTAAGTGTAATCCACTTTAAGTGCCCTTTTTGGCTTCCCTTTTCTCCCCCGCTGTGCTCTGTATGCTGGTCATCGTTCGCTCTTAGAGCTTTCTCGGTTTTGGCAGAGTGAAGATTCTCCTGTTTTCTGTCAACAGGTGCAGGTTCTGTGCTTTTTTTAGCCTAATCTGTCCCTTTGATCTTTGTTTTTGTACATCCCTTAATTAATGAAGCACATCCAGGAAACACTGAAAGTGTGGAATTTTTGCAATCAAAGTCGCTGTTACTCTGTCATATCACATGGAAAGAGCTTGAGCATAGTCTCTCGCTTTTTACATAGGCACCTGTTTTGACTGGTATTTCAGGAATTTTAATATCTGACAGGCCTGTTTTTTGTAGTCGTGCAGTGTTTCTCAAATTGGTCCTCGAGGTCCCACAGATGGTCCCTGTTCTTGCTCCCTCCCAGCTCCCTGCCAGACCATCCACATTTTTGCTCCCCCCCTCACCTCCCTGCCAGACAGTCCACATTTTTGCTCCCCCCCTTACCTCCCTGCCAGACAGTCCACATTTTTGCTCCCCCCCCACCTCCCTGCCAGACAGTCCACATTATTGCTCCCTCCCAGCTCTCAGTAGCAAAACATGGGCTGCCAGTGGGTCCCTGAATACCGGGTTGGGAAACCCCGAAGTAGAGAGGTGTTTTGGAGTAGTGAATCTGAGACTCCAATATACTGCTTTATTCTTCAGTTGGCTTAATTTCCATTCATTTCCCATAAGCATAAGTGTGTACGTGTGTGTATGTATGTATCTTGCTTTGCATTACACTCTCTCTCCTTTTTATACTCTGCTCTTCAACACAAAGTCATGTTCATGAAGCTGAGGATTATAGTTATTCAGAGGATGTCTGGTAAGATTGCAGGGGTTTTCTGGCCTTCCATTTGGATTTACTTTGCTGCTTTGCATTATGGGAAATGTGATACAAAGCATACCTGCTCTGCAGTGTTGTCTTGGTGTTTGTCACACAGTATCATGCGGTTTCCTATAGTGTAGTGTTTCCTTATGTGTTTGTAGTGCTTTTGTTTACATCAGCAATTGCAGGTGTAGCATGCATTACTGCATAAGAATGGACTGAAAATATTGCATTGTGGGTCTGCATGTATGTTGATATCAACATTTCCTAGATCACAGACGGTGTTTTCTCAAGCACGGCATAAATGCTCTGCATGAATTGAATTCTTTAAATCACTATGACTTTAAAAACTATAAAAATTTTCAAACTATAGACATGTAAGCACCAGCATGTAAGCACCTGCTCTTATAGTTTGGGCAGAAGGGTTGCAATGTATGGGAAATAAAATTAGAAAATATGCTAGAAGTTTCTCCTCATCATTTCTGAATGACGAATGATATGAGGATGAAGGTGCTGTGCTGCAGTTAGAATAGAAACACCTTACAGAGGTATGAATGCTGTTACAGAAACCCAAGGCAAACATTACTGTCCATATGTCTAGAATAACTTTTTTTTTTAGATTCTGGATAGGTACAGTTATAGAATACTCCAGGAATGTTATGGCATTCTTTTCAACGTCAAGAAGACTGCATTCTGTATTGTCAAGTGGAGTGACCGAGATTATCTGCCATAACAGGCTTTGATCTGTATAGCACCGCAACTAGTGTCTGTCTGCATTTTATGTTGGACCTGGGGCCTTAAATAGCACAGCCTGGCAGTCTGTGGAGGGTGGATTTTAATTAGCGTTCAGTTGACCCCTGAAGTACCAGGTGGCTTACTATCCAAGTAATTGCTACAGTGAATCTTTTAAGAGCAGAGGTTCAGTGAAACAGCTCCTCTCTGCCTCTGTCAGTAACGCCCCCCGCTGATGACTTTGGCCGCTGAGCTGCCAATCCTAGTGTGGTGATTACCACCCGGAGTGTGCTGTGACCTCACCAACAGTAATCCCTGCTCAGCTTACCTCCCAGAATCCTCTAGCTCGGTACCTGGTTTTAGGCGCAAGTCACATCACCAACTGTGGCCTAATGTTTGGGGAGATTGAGAAACGCAAAGGTTCTTCTGTCTCCTGAATATCACTGAAAATCCACAAGGTGACCTAGGCGTGTTTTGGATGTCTGGAAGGCCAGTACTAGATCACACATGGTCTGAGTTTGATGAATTTAAAATCCTGAGGAAATGTTCAGTCTGCATATGTATCAGTAGGAGAATGAGTAAGCCTTTTTAAGACACGCTATTGTTATTGCTTAAGAAAACAGTTCAGTTCAGGTTCAAGTTCCCAGCCTCTCCACATGCATAACTAATTGCGTAGTACTTGATCTCAGAATGAGTTCCAGGCACATTTTCAAGGGATAGCTGTGTGAAACCATTGGAGCTTCTGAATTTGCGGTCTGTGTCCCTGCGGGGGCTATGGGGAAACTGCGCATGGAGCTGGGTTCTTTTGTGCTTTGAGCAGTTAACACTCAGTGTATGCTAATATGTCCTTGTCAGTTGTTGGCACGTATCAAACGTTGCAGACCCCACATTTTCTCATGCAGCTTTGCTTTTCCCCCTTGATGGTGAACAGGCCTTCCAGTGTGGGGGATCCTTAAGCCTGTTTATGTGGGGGTTTCCAGTTTTCTGTTAAAGCGCACGAGGCCCCTGAGCTAAGTAGGCCACAATGCATGTGACAAGGAAGAAAACCAACTCTTATGCAAACGTTGGTTTTCGTCAACATTCTGCTGTCCATACTTCAAGAAGCAGCATTTTTCAGTTGGTTGTTTCCAGATCATCATACCAGGGAATCAGATTTTTTATGGGAGACAGCCAGTCTGTTATAATATTTCTGATTTTGAGCATTTGTGTTTTTAGACTGTCCCATTTTTCCATTTATTTACACCGTTGCATGGAAAAGATTCTGAAATCCTGTTGCAAATGCAATCCCCCGTAGCAACACATTTACCTGCCGATGAAAAACGATGACCTTGACGTGGAACAAGCCAGTCTCTTGTGGTCATGATCCAGCTTCTTATTTATTTTTTGCTAATGAGCCCTGAAAAATGGGTTTAGAGCTTTGAGTTCCCATGTGGTGGTGTGACGTTTCTTCACCTCCATGCGTGTTCAGCAGGCACAGTGCCAGCTCTGCTGATGAGATGGGATTCAACGACCCCAGCCTGCTGGAAAACCTCCAGAGCGATCATGTGAGTACCGCCATACAAGTCTGGGCTGCTTGTATCGAGTCCACACACCAGATCCATTTTGGTTTGGTTGACAGGACTTGATCGCATAAAGCAGGATCGTAGTCATTAACATATAATTGTATGTATGAAAGCCCAGCATACCGTCTGTGCTGCATGCGATTGTCATTGTCACTGCCACCTTCATGTTCACCTTCCCAAACATCTGAGGTCTATCCAATTTGCCCTATACTTTCTCACATGCTGTTGTATGGGATTCTGCTTCCTCTGTTTCCACCATCTTCTAAGCAGCCAGTGAGCACCTGAACATGGCTATAAGGTCACAGTCACTGTCGATTTTATATGGAGCATTTACTAAACAATTTTTACATGCATTTGACAACACATACAGACCTTATTGGGACAGTTATTCATGCATTCCTATGCTCAGATCTTAATTTGGGTGCATACCCACGATTCTGAATGAACTGCGGAATGCATGGTCTTCAGCCCTTTTTTGTTGCTTTCCGGGTTTTGCAACAAATCTGAGTCTCTGGGTTATAGAGTCTCTGGGTTACCCTTTTCCTGATAAGCAGCACCCCTACATCCAAAGTTTGTCTTGGTGGTACCCTAAGTTTGGGAGAACAGAGTATTTACCATCTGTCCATTTGTTTATTCCTTATCTGCTCCTAATATAGAGGAGAGAAACGATGTCAATATCGAATTCCACCAGAAGGATCAGCCCAGTCAGAATTGTGTGGGCTGGTCCTCCCCTGGACACCACTTGGCACCATGTCCCTTGTCAGCATATGACAGCGATGTATCCCTAACCACAAGATCTGCCCACAGAGGCCTTGTCAAGATGCTAAGTCGTGTCGATCACTTGTATGCTGTCCACTGTGGTTAGGATTCCGAGTGACGTCTCTGCCTGGGTATTTTTATGTTTCTCTGTTTTGCGTCACACCGTAAATTCTTCATCATCAACATCTGCCCTGGTCACCTGTTGCGACCATATCCCGTTACCATCCACTTCTGTAAACTGCTGTGATCTAAATCAAAGGAACAAACTGCAATCAGCGCAGAAAGACTTAATTAAATTTACCACATCATTTGGATGCAGCACAGCGAAATTCTGCATTGAAACTGAATGTGCTGTTCAGATTCACAAATGAAGTCCTCACAGAAAGTCTTGGGTCGCTTGCTTAATCCTGTAAAAATGTTGCAGGTTTATTGGTTTCATAACAAAAGTACATTGACAAGCAATGTTTAACATGTCTGTATATATCTTTTACACAGACATTTTTTTCAATTGAGCATCATAATTTCTTTTGACTGACTCATTCAGTTCTGTTTATTAATTCCAGTCACTGGCTTCCAAAGGGATACTAAACACAAATGTTTAGTCTTTTGTGTTATTGCAAAGGTGTTACTAATTGAAAAACACCAAATGAAACTGTTTGTCAATTAACTTTTCAACTCGCAGCAGCTCTTTAAGAACTACAATTTGGGTGTCAGTTTATTAATACTTGAATGTTTTCTTGAAACTACTGGTTGTTTGTAATGTAATATATATATAATGTATATGGAGTAAATGAATGAAGTGATGATTTGTGTTAAAACAATACACTTGCAATATTTTTACTGAATTAAGTAAGTGTCCCAAACCTTTATGTGAGACCTGTACGTGGAGCATTAAATGCTTGCTTTATAGGGTCCTTGATATATTTGCTTGTAATCTTTGTACTTTTCCAGTTGTACTATAGATCTGTCCTGGTCTCTCTACAGCCCACTGCCCCTGTCATCCGGGACTTCATGACCATGATGGCTGTGTGCCACACCGCTGTCCCTGAGCGAACCGACGACGGCATCGTCTACCAGGCTGCCTCTCCAGGTGCGTTGGTCCAACGCTCGTACACCATCACAGGCCTCTTCAGCTCACAGATCTTCATCTTGGCTGTGGTCCATGTATGTGAGCCGTAATGACGGCTAAGATTGGGGATTAAATCCGGAGCCAATTAAACTGTCTTTTGGTTCTTGATTGACTGATATAGCTTTTAAGACGTTGACCATTGAAAATGTACCCTAACCTTCATCCTGTTTTTCTTACATTTGTTTTTGTTTTTGTACTACACTGCTTGAGTATATTAGTCAACAAGTTTAAGTTTAAGATCTTCTTGTAACATAATATCATATTTTCCTCAAGAGAAACTGTTCAGCTTATGAAAAGCTGTAAAGGGTGGTACTCATCCCTTGGGTTTAAAGACTGAGGTCAAAGTTGAGTGTTATTGTGCTAAAGGAGAACACACACATTAGCCATGCATATTTCTCTTATCCCTGAGGTGCTCTGGGCATTTCATTAAAACTCTCAAAGCTGATTAATTATGAAAAATGAAATCACTGGCCTAGCTAGTTGGATGGGGTAATTTAATCCATTCAAAATTAAGGAGAAGAATGTCTTATTCTTCTGATTGTCTTTATTTTTTCCATTTTTATCCTGGTTTAATTTGCTTTTACACAGCTATCTTCTATTTCATTACATGTCTCCAGTGCTTTCATGTTTGCATGTGTCTTATTTCAAGGTCCAGGTTCCCAAAATGTAGTAACACAGTGTCTGGTAGTCCAGAGGTGTGTCATTGCCTATAATCTGATAATTGCTTATAGAGGCTGGCAATGCTGCTTTGTGGAACCAAAAGTTGCACAACTGGTTTTTATTGAGATGCACCGATTGTATCAGCCAACTGTCTGTGTCGATTGACACAGCAACAATCGGCCATTGGGCAATGGTTAAAAATGAGCCGATATTTAGCGCCAGTAACTCCCTTTAAAATGGTGCCCATATTGCTTTGCATACCCACGTACTAAACACAAAATAAAGATTGGAATTATTTTCCTGTTTTTAGAAATGCATTTTGCAAACATCCCTCTGCTGATATTTCACGAGAGGAATCTGCTAATACACATTTCAACGCTACAGATTTGGAGAGACAGTGAAGAGTATGAAGAGTTTCTGAAAAACAAATCCATTCCAATAAAGGAAACTGCCATACTGCCGTACAACTGCAGTCCGTCAGTAATGCAAGCCTTTGATAGCAAAAGAAAATTTAGTGTCTGCAATGCAAAATCAAGAGATATTACTAGGAAAATTGCAGAGTTTATCACACTTGATTATCAGCCCTTCTCTGTTATAAATGTTAGAAATATGTAAGATAAATAGTTATGATGTACAGTGCTCTGGGATTCTTGTTGCATGCCAGAGTTGGTGTTTTCTTACCAAAGAATAAATACTTTTTATAATTTTGGAATGTAATTTATTTTTTAATCTATTTGGGTGGAGTGTCCTTTTAAACTTATTTAAGCAGAAGTAATCAATACTTTCAAGTAATCAGTATTTGTTGAATAATCAGCGTTAAGTATTGGCCAGAATTTCCTTATCGGTGCATCAGTAGTATTTTATCCAAAGGAGAAAAACTCAGAATGTTTGAAATAGTGTTTAGGCAGAATATCATCTACTTGTCTCTCATTGTACAAATATAATTACACAGCAGCCAAATATTGGGTTTACCCAAATAGCCTAATTTAAATGTTTAGTTTGCATCCAACAAACCAGGCCGTTTGGTCACTCCAGGGCAACCTGTAGGTTCTTTTTGTCGTTGGCAGCTAATGTCATTAGCTTTCCATGTGGCCATCCTGATTTGTATTTCAATATTGATGGGGGGGGGGAGCTTTCAGTGTTACTAGGAAGGAGTGAGCATCTTGCCCCATCGAATGTGTTAATGTCACAAACCACTTAACGACTCGTCTTGTGCAAGTTCCAGTGATGCAAGGAACGGAACATGTGGAAAGAAGAAGTTCTGACCATAGTGATAATGTATTGCTTAGGTCTTAGATTATCTGGTTTTATTTGGAGACGGCTTTGTGCTGTTCTTGGAAACAGTTTGTGTTGTCTTCTGTGTGAGTCCTCTTCGGATCTGGGCTAATTGTTACATTTATCTGTTTTGACTGGTTCAGCTCAATGTAACCCACAGAAATGCTGAAGACTAATGTTTGCATCACGGAATAAACATCCTCATTGCGTTTCCCTCCCTCTCTCACATGAGCATGCAGACACACAGCTATCTTTGGTAAAGGACAAGGCCCACTCCGCCCCCACGCATGCGAGAGCTGAGTTACGCATGTGAAATACCAGACAGTGGATCTGGGTTAGATGGCCAAGGCCGCAGACAGCAGGTGGCTCACCTCTGTCTCACAAACACTCATAAATGGACCAAACACAGTTTGCCCTGTGCTTCTGTGGGCTGTGATTTTTAACGGATCATTCAAGTGAACAAGATCAAGCCTATTGACAAACGAAAATTAGTTTGTGAAACATAATCCAGGTATAACATATAATGACATGACTAGTATGTAGTACATTAAATTATATGGTCTGTGTAAGTTACACAGTTTAATAAATTTAAAGCACTCTGAATGCCATTTTATTGAATATTTTATGAATAATATTTTAAACATAGGAACCACCAGAAATATCAGTCATGGGGGAGGAAAAAAAACATTTAAGGGTAGAAGTGTATGAATCAGTGAGCGATTTGATTCTGAGGAAATTGTTTCTCTTGCTCCTCACAGACGAAGGAGCGCTGGTGAGGGCAGCAAGGAAGCTGGGTTTCATCTTCTCCGGGAGGACGCCGGACTCTGTCATCATCACGTCGGTGAGTGCACACCCCCCACCCCCCCGGAAAGATGAAGCCGCTACACATCCCCTTCCTCAAATTAATGCTCCTTTTTCCATGAATACGTCCTCCAGGAAGTTGCGATTTTCACACCTCTCAATTGCTTCTTTGTAATACTTAACCATTTATTTCTTTATAAATACTTATTTATTTATATGCTGTCATTTACTGTAACAGCATCAGTTAAATGCTGTTTAATGGGATTATGTGTTCCAATTGAAAAAAATAATTGTCCATTTGCTGAGCAGGGCTGCGATGAAGGATTTGCAAATATACGTGTTATTGTCAGAAAATGTTAGTTGCTTTAAATATGCATGTTTAATTTGTGGTGCTGGGACTCATTGCACCCAAAACTACACCTGTATTTCTGACTAAGTGTTTATTAAATCACTGGCCAAAACAAATGCTCCATTCTGTGAAAACAGCCCAAAGGAAAGGTGACGCATACTCCACCTGAGCAGTTCATGCTGTAATTTACCTATTTATGTATATAAATCCTTGCGCCAAGAGGGAGAGGAAGTTGGCTAGTACATCTGCTACAAGTACTGAACTCAATGTTACTTTGTGACAAGTGAAGCTTTATTATTTTTTATGAAATTCTGCCACCTTCTGGCTTGTACTGGAAATGGCTACATTTTTCTGTCGCTGTCACTGTCACTGGTATTTAACGTGTTGATCACTTTTATGTAATACTTTCACTATTTCAGTTATCCTGTATGCTTTAGAGAAATACCAGTATTTCAGGTAGAGCGGGACAGCTAAGCAGATAAAGACAAAAGCTTGAGACTAGGAAACAGATGGAGTTAAGGCTGTAAATGTATGTCTCTTTGTTCTTTTGTCTTTGTCACAGCTCGGTAAAGAAGAGAAATATGTGCTGCTGAACGTACTGGAGTTCACGAGGTACAGGGTCCGGAAAGTTCTTTTTTCTCTCTCTCTTTTCCATCATGGACAGTATGTATGAATCTGTCTGCCTTGAATCTCTCCTCCACCCTCAGGACACTTTTCCCAGCTGCCTTGTGCTTCAGCTGACCTTGACAGCACGTGATATTGAACCCAAAGCATTTTCTTTTCGAGGTGTAGAGTTTTATTACTGATACAGCTGGAGAAGTGAGTTACCTATTGGTTCGACATTATCAGCCAAAACTTTCCCTTTAATTCATTAAAAGGACTTGGCGCTTCTTTCACTACTTAGGTTTCATTGTAATGTAGCATTAGTTAAAGGTATTTATTGTTGCCATTTATTAAGATAACTTTTTTTAATGAAAAATATATACAATTTCTCCCAGAAATTCAGTTTACAGTTGTAATACAGTTCATAGTGGCAGCACAGTGAAGGGTTAATCCTGACTGTCATTACGTACCCTGGTGTGGGCCTTTGTTGGGAGAGGCCTGGACTGAAAAGGTCTCCAGTTCTTACACTGTGCTTTATGGATCCCAGCTTCACTGGTACACATTATCCCGTCTTTATGAAAGTGATAATTATTGTGATAATTGCAATGGCAGTGATGATGATGATGATGATGATGCCAGCTTGCCTGTTTCATTTGGCAGAACGCCAGAGTGATTTTGGAATTCCACCTACCTTCATCTTCCTTCTTTTTATTAAACCCCCTTCATTTTCATTTTGGGGAAAGAATATACTTGTCAGAAGTTATTTTAGTCTTTTCTTAATTAAGATGAACAGTAGACAATGCTAAAAGATTTTAAAATAGTTTGAATACATGAGCAGTTATCGGTTTTTCTCACCCAGCCCTGGTTTCTTGACTTCTGACCTCTCGTTTTTGTCTCGGCTGCGTAAATGGAATCTGCATGTTGATGCACGTCTGTGCCCAAGATCTTTGGGTAGCCTTGATGCTGAGATGTTACTCCATGCACTATATGCCGTGAGTTTGTGGGTTTCTCTTCTGTTCAGTCACACACTGACACACCCAACCCCCCCCCCCCCAGCTCTAGGAAGAGAATGTCAGTCATCGCGCGGACTCCATCCGGAAGGATCCGGCTGTACTGCAAAGGAGCGGTGAGTATGACCTGGATGTGGCCGTCACGGTCGTCAAAAGTGCATCTTCTTCTGGGTCTCTCTTTTCTGGGCTCCGATTACACCTGACCCCCTACTCATTGTGATCCCTCATGAGTTTGTGCCTTTCTCTCTTCACCTGTCATCACCGTGATTTACACCCATGATTTAATGGCCTACAGCTGGCCAGTCGGCCTCCAGTTGGCTCCTGTGCTTATCTGTCTGCAGTTCCCCTCCGAAACCGCTCTCTCTGGCATGTGGGGGAGACGGAGTGCCGTGTGGCTCTCCGACATATGCCCCTGTCAGCAGATAGTCAGAAGAACTAACATTCAAAATCTCCCCCCTCCCCCACCCCTCCTAGGGAACAGCAACGAAGCAGATGTGCTGTTTCTCTTCTCCCAGTCTTCAGATGACAGTCTCCAAGGGTCTAACCATAAGCAAATAGTCTTATTACACATTATTGCTATCCGCATTAATTATTTGAAATTCATTTGAAGCTGTCTGTTCAAACGTTATAAGTTTCCAAGCAGTCAAACTTAAAGAGTAGATCTGAGAACTAGGTTCTCTCCGCCTCCCCCAGGACACAGTCATCTATGACAGGCTGGCTGACAGCTCCCATTACAAGGACATCACACTCAAGCACCTGGAGCAGTTTGCTACAGAGGGTAAGTGACGGGCATGGTACTACCCCTGATGTAGCCTCTCCTGTGCCAGCCCATCTGCCACCTACCCCTGGGGTCGAGATGCGGCTGCCCTGTATTTTTAGGGTGGACCGACTCCATCCCCAGAGCAGTGAAGGGTCTCTGTGTGTGTGCTGCATGTTACTTTAAGTTCAGCACTTCCTACTGTCAATGAACTTGTCCGGATGTTGGTAAACATTATGCCTGCAAGATGTCCTGTTTTTCATTGTCTAAAAGTCCCACATTGTAAACTCATAACCTTCACAAGAGCAAGTTCACACCAAATTAATATACGCAAATCCTTTCAGGTATGTATGATGGCAACAACCTGACAGATGAGGATGTCACAATCCACTTTTTTCGTACCCAGATCCAATATAATCCAGTCTATTCAATATTTATATCTGCTGACTCCAATCCGAATCAGATTTTTTAATTAATATTTAAATATATGTACACATACAGTAGATGTCAGTGCGTTCTTCATTTGAGTAACTTTGCAATTTCACAGCATTCTTCCTTATGATGTATCTATAATTGCTTAAATATATTTTTTGTATTAAACGACACTCTGATGCTAACTTCTCTAAAAGGATGGCATTGCAATAATTGCAGGTAGCCGTTGGGCTACTTTGAGTTTCCAATTTATAGAATTTCCACACGACTGACATCTCGATAGCTTGTAGTTCCAAGCCGTGTGCCTCAGGCTCGCTGCAGCGTGTGAAGGTACTACACAACCTGTGCAGCCGACGTAAAGTAGATAAACACTGAAAATGAAATGTATCTGGATTTGGATTGGGTTGTGGTAGCCAATACCAATTAAAATTTACATGGGTTGGCCTCAGCTGTGATCTTTGATATCGGCTCGGAACATGACTGATGACAAACTTCTTTAATTTGTGATTGTATAAATAAACAAAGTTACAGTGTCTAAAGGCACTCCATGGGTTTACAGTTAGCTGGATTTAAATGTGTAGAGTAAATAATCCTCCCAGCAGAAGTTCAGGTGATGAAACCTGGGCAGCGGCTGTGTGCCGTCGTTCTCCCCTGTTCAGGCGGCCAGCCAGATCATAACCGGACTCCTCTCGGTCTCCCCACAGGTCTTCGCACTCTGTGCTTCGCCACGGCCGATATCTCGGAAGCCGCCTACAGAGAGTGGCTGCAGACGCACCACCGGGCCGCCACCGCACTCCAGAACCGGGCTGTGAAGCTGGAGGAGAGCTACGATCTCATCGAGAAGGTCAGGAGCACAGTGGGGTGGGCGGATGGTGGCAGGAGGCGCTGAGCAGAACGAGTCAACAAGCGCAAACAAACAGCCGTCAGCGAATGGGTCGGTGGGAAAACAAACAAGTGTCGATGACAAACATCTGTCTTCAAACGAGTCATTTGACAGCAAATGAGGCTGCCGATGGCAACCTGTCAAAAAATGAGTCACTTACCGCCTATCGACACAAAATATTTTATGTATCCGCATGACCAAGGTCAGATTTTCTGGCTGTGCTGTAAAAGCTTTTAGATAACATTTCTATACTCCTCTGACACAAAATCTGCTCTGTCTGTCAGTTTCGGATCGTTAATTGTTAAAGCCTTTTGCCAGAGTCCCTGCTCCTCCGGCAGTAGAGAGCTGTAAGTGGGCCTTAATGGGAAATGCAGGTGCAGGGCTCAGAGGCTGCGGCAAATAACAAATGCAGGAGCTTGTCGGTTCCAGTAACATTATGTGCTTAACTGATTTAATAACCCACTCAATAAATGGATAATCTGTTATACTAGGTCAGAGTGATTGTTAGGTATTGTAGTGTTTAAGGGCATGGAATTCTATAATACCTTAAGCTTCTAAATAAATGCAAAGAAACCCATCGGTTAAAGCCTTACTGGATAGGCGCAGCATGTGCAAAGGAGCCCCTGTATGTACCTTAGGAAACCCCTAAGCGGTTTGTTTATTCTCCCCTGAAGCCCATTTCTCCAGCTGACTAAGCAAAGAGTGCAGATTCACCTAACTCTCTGCACTTAGCATCAGAGGTCCTGAGGTTCAAGGGCTCGGATCTGGTCCAGCGGCGTTTTCCAGGTTCTGTGTGATTAATGTGGGCTACAGGTGGCAAACAGGCTCTGAGTTTGCCCAGTGCCGAGGTTGGGGTAGAATCACTGCCCTGTTAAATACGGTGCTTTTGAAGCACAAGTCAAACAGAGGTGACAGTACTCATAAATCACTCCCCGTCAGAGCATGGCAGTGTGCACAAGCAAATGGATTTAATCAGCCACATAAAACCCTCCTTTATTGCGAATGGCTGTAGTTCTTTACTTTAGCCACTAGGTGGCAGCAAGTTTCCTGAAATGGGTTTTGCAATAAAAGACAAATGAGACTTGTAGTTTACCCGGCATTCTGACAGAAACTGGCAGTTTGATGTATAATGATTGTTGCACTGTAATTTAATTTTTGTTTTTAAACGCTTAAAAGAAAAAAAGATTTGTTGCTCCAAATGGCTGAAAGGTAAGATATGTTTCAAAGAGTATTTTCAGGGATTTTTCAGTTATATCTGACTCTGCAGCTCTTTGACTTTTGTACAGTTGTCTACAGTGCTGCCGGTTTTTTTTTTTGTTTTAAGCACATTTAATTCTCATTGACAGAGCAGTGAATACATGGTTGAAAAATTCCACTGAGCTGACTTTCCCTTGAAGGTGCCTTTCTGCTGGGTGGGGTCTGTTTTCCGATTACAGATGTGACTCAGCTTCTGGAAAACACCTGCTTCACAACTGTGTGCCCATGCATGTGTTCTACGAACCAAACTGCAACTTTCCTTTTTTCTAGTTTTTATATATATATATATATATATATATATATATATATATATATATATATATATATATATACACACACACATACAGTATATACACTCACCTAAAGGATTATTAGGAACACCTGTTAAATTTCTCATTAATGCAATTATCTAATCAACCAATCACATGGCAGTTGCTTCAATGCATTTAGGGGTGTGGCCCTGGTCAAGACAATCTCCTGAACTCCAAACTGAATGTCAGAATGGGAAAGAAAGGTGATTTAAGCAATTTTGAGCGTGGTATGGTTGTTGGTGCCAGACGGGCCGGTCTGAGTATTTCACAATCTGCTCAGTTACTGGGATTTTCACGCACAACCATTTCTAGGGTTTACAAAGAATGGTGTGCAAAGGGAAAAACATCCAGTATGCGGCAGTCCTGTGGGCGAAAATGCCTTGTTGATGCTAGAGGTCAGAGGAGAATGGGCCGACTGATTCAAGCTGATAGAAGAGCAACTTTGACTGAAATAACCACTCGTTACAACCGAGGTATGCAGCAAAGCATTTGTGAAGCCACAACATGCACAACCTTGAGGCAGATGGGCTACAACAGCAGAAGACCCCACCGGGTACTGCTCATCCCACTACAAATAGGAAAAAGAGGCTACAATTTGCACGAGCTCACCAAAATTGGACAGTTGAAGACTGGTAAAATGTTGCCTGGTCTGATGAGTCTCGATTTCTGTTGAGACATTCAAATGGCAGAATTTGGCGTAAACAGAATGAGAACATGGATCCATCATGCCTTGTTACCACTGTGCAGGCTGGTGGTGGTGGTGTAATGGTGTGGGGGATGTTTTCTTGGCACACTTTAGGCCCCTTAGTACCAATTGGGCATCGTTTAAATGCCACGGCCTACCTGAGCATTGTTTCTGACCATGTCCATCCCTTTATGACCACCGTGTACCCATCCTCTGATGGCTACTTCCAGCAGGATAATGCACTATGTCACAAAGCTCGAATCATTTCAAATTGGTTTCTTGAACATGACAATGAGTTCACTGTACTAAAATGGCCCCCACAGTCACCAGATCTCAACCCAATAGAGCATCTTTGGGATGTGGTGGAACGGGAGCTTCGTGCCCTGGATGTGCATCCCACAAATCTCCATCAACTGCAAGATGCTATCCTATCAATATGGGCCAACATTTCTAAAGAATGCTTTCAGCACCTTGTTGAATCAATGCCACGTAGAATTAAGGCAGTTCTGAAGGCGAAAGGGGGTCAAACACCGTATTAGTATGGTGTTCCTAATAATCCTTTAGGTGAGTGTATATACAACTTGCAAATAAGTGCAAAATCCTTCCCATCACATTGTTCTTGCGAGGTGCTAGGATCTAAACATCCTGCTTACATCTGCGCAGAACCTGCACCTGCTAGGTGCCACCGCCATTGAGGACAGGCTCCAGGACGAGGTCCCCGAGACCATCGAGACTCTGGTAAAGGCCGATATCAAGATCTGGGTCCTGACAGGAGACAAGCAGGAGACCGCCATCAACATCGGTAAGAGCGACAGATCCACGTCCCGTGTTCAACCAGTGCGTCACGTCTCTGAAGCCCTACAGGCCATTGGGCCGGAACCAGGTGCATCAAATACAGCAATTTGGGTTTCCATGGTCAAATTACAACCAGGTTATCAACTTACTTAAACCCACATGGATGCCAACACCTGCCCCGCCTCTCCCCACATGCAGCGCATTCCGCATAAGTCGGACATGCGTGCGCGTGTGTACAGCTTGCAGGCAGAACCATACGTCTATGCAAAAACACTCGCATTTGTTAATATCCAGGCTCCAGTGGCACCATCAGCCTAACCAAAAGACAGAGACAGATGTGAATAGATGTGTGAAAACACACACACACACACGTCTGCGCAGATATGGGGGGAGGTGGCTGTTATTACGAGCCCTGACACGAAACATGTGTAGAGAGCGAGTCGAAATCGTCCACCGAGAAGGGGAGAGCTATTAGCCCTCAGATGTGGGGGTATTAGCTAAACGGCTAAAACGTGTCGAGCCGCACCAGAATCCCATTACGGATGGGCAGGAAAGAGCTGTATTAAATGGTCCCCGTTGGCGGCCACCTACCGCCGGGCCTGAATCGCTCCTTTGTGAGCACCTTCCAGCCCGGCGAGGGAAAGTATTTTTACAGGCCTGCGGACCGACTGGGCCGCTCTGTGAAAAGAGTGAATATTTACTTTGTTTCCCACCGTTTCCCCGGTGAAGCATACCCTCTCGGGGGCTCCGGCGCACATTCCCCCCCCACTCCTGGTGATGGATACGCGTGCCTTCGCCCCTACGGTTCCTCTGGCACCTCTACGTCCGGCGTGAGCGGGCAGGTCGTCACGACAACCGTGCAGCGGGAGCTCGCTTAGATCGCTGACCGCGGCCTTTGGGTCAGGGGACCCATCTCCTCCGTCGGCAAGTCGCACAGCTTGGAACGATCAGGGTCCGAGACCCCAGTTGGCGCCACATCTGTTACACGGGGAACCCGGCCCACAGAAAGTTCAGGCCATTTTATAACACGGAACGACTCGTAAAGCTCGTCAGCTGCGGCTCCCCGGTCCCACCCAGCTGTCCGGGCCTCGTCCGCTCAACGGTGTCGGGACTCGGGGAGAGATGCGGAACTCAAGCGTGTCAGCGCCGTGAGGCTGCTAAGCATCTGTAGCCTCAGCCATCGAGAGAGATGGTCTGATGACAGCCGGTCTTCTGGAAAACGAGGAGACGGAGCCGTGCGGTAAACCTCGTGGAAATGTATTCAAGACTAAAAGGCTGCCGTGTCCCAGGGGGCTCCTAGGGAGGTACCTCTGAGTAATTACATCAGTGCATCCCATGATGCTTTGCTTGGTTGGTTCTGTCATCTCCCAAATGCTGCTTCTTAAAGATCTGCAGGGCTAAGCTGACAGAATACTGTCCGTTTAACACGTTGGTGTCTGTGAAATCCCAAGGCAGTGGCATTGGGGCGTAAACACACATAATCATTCCGCAAAACAGGAAACTGCCCTATTTCCCCTCCTTATGTTTATGGGTTGGGCAGTTTCTTCATATTTTATAAGGATAAATATTTTTTGTGCTCAAAATTAGTGCCAACTGGGGAGATACAGGCCGAGGGAGCGTCTGTTTGTCAGATCTATGGGCCTGGTCACATGACTCCAAAAAGGACGGCCTGGGATTTCATGGGGAAAGTCAAAACCCCTGCTGTCTGTTTACCTGCGTGCAAGTTGGGGGCGTCGCTGGTGCTCAAAGCACAGTAGTAATCTGGGGGAGAAGAAGCCTTTTGAAAAAGACCTGTTAACTGAGGCCGGTAAAAAAGTCTGTCCTGTTTTTCTGAGCACGTTGGCTTTTTAACGAGGATGCTGTGCCCCAAGCTTCCTGGGACAGGCTGCGGGGAAAGAGCTTATGGAACATGGATGGATGGATGGATACAAAGTATTCCTTATTTTCCTTATTATATGCAACAGATGTTCTTCTTAGGAAAAAAATACCAATTAAACGTAACATCCTAACTTGATCACAGTGTGAGGACAGCCCAGTGAATATAAGTCAAGCATTTTCAAGGGCCCGCTCTAATAATACAAATAATAAGGGAAGGGGGCTCTGGGAAATTCAGATAGAGCCGTGTGCCAAGGCCTAACTGATAGGCCTGAAGCCTGGAGAGCGCAGAAGGGGCGCCGTGGGGCCGTTGGGCTGCCTGGCCTCCCTCTCCGCTCTTCCGCTCCAGCTGGAAGGCATTTGCAGTTCGCTCAGCTGTGGGATTCCTCCTCTCAGCACCTTTATGTAGAGCTCACGGTCACCCTGGGATTGTCTGATAGGGAGATTTAGTTGGGAAATTAAAAAAAAATCTCCAACGTCTCAACGCCCGGCAGAGCGGCATGGCTACGAGCCCTCATTTCAGATGCTTCCGCACCTTCTCTCTCTGGCTCTGGGCTGTTTTTTTTTTTTCCAAAATTTTATTTATTTTTTGTTAAGTCGGAAGGAATGAGCTCCCGGTAGACTTTATGTATGTCAGCAGGACCCTGTGGATGTCCGTTTATCAACAGAACGTTTGTCAATATGAATCAGATACGGATGCATCCACAACGCAACACCGTTTGACCCTAACGCACCGTGGAAGAGTTTCAGATGTCAGACGGCCAGTTTTCCTTTACCCATATGCTTTATTTTATCTCGGAGCGCTTTTGATTTATGCCTTGTTAGAAAGTGGAGTGCAAGTTTAAAACAAAAAAAAAACAGTAAGAAGAAACGAAACTGTGAGGCCTGTCCTGTTACATAATGCCCAGAAAGACACGAGAGTGCGTGTCAGCTCACGGGAAAGGAATACGATGACGTAGACGTGAAATGAGATGTAGCGTGCCCTCATTGCTGAACTCTGCCTCCTCCCTGCAGGACACTCATGCAAGTTGTTGAGGAAGAACATGGGACTGCTGCTTGTCAACGAGGACACGCTGGATGTGAGTAGATCCTGGAACCGCGCAGAGACCCCCAGCTCGGGTCGGCGCCCAGCCTGCAGCCGCTCAGTCTAAACCTCCGCTTGTGTTGCCTTAATTTCCGTTTCGGGGGATCCCATAATATGCCAATATGGGCTGATTGTTAGTGAAAGGGCCTGGGTTTGTGAGCACTCGGGTGATGGCATGGCTCCTGGCAGTCTGACGTGGGACCAGATGTTGGGTTTTATGGCTTGTTTGCATGCCCGGTTTTAAACACACTTATCGTTTATCTGTGACTGATTCCGTCTGCGTTTGGAGACAGTGCAGGCCACCCATCCCAGTGAGAGCCACCCATCCCAGTGCAGGCCACCCATCCCAGTGAGGGCCACCCATCCCAGTGAGAGCCACCCATCCCAGTGCGGGCCACCCATCCCAGTGCGGGCCACACATCCCAGTGCGGGCCACACATCCCAGTGAGAGCCACCCATCTCAGTGCAGGCCACCCATCCCAGTGAGAGCCACCCATCCCAGTGAGAGCCACCCATCCCAGTGCGGGCCACCCATCCCAGTGCGGGCCACCCATCCCAGTGCGGGCCACCCATCCCAGTGCGGGCCACCCATCCCAGTGAGAGCCACCCATCCCAGTGCGGGCCACCCATCCCTGTGAGAGCCACCCATCCCAGTGCGGGCCGCCCATCCCATTGATTCTTAATGACAGACTGACGCACATTCATGACCGTTCGTGGAGATGGTTCCTCCACGCTTGTCTTCTCCACCCATTTAATTTCCCTTCAGTAGCTCAGCTGATGCTTTTATACAAACCACTGTATCGTTCTGACCTGTTCACATGGCTGGGTGTCTTGATGGAAAACTTCAGATCACGCGCTTTTATTTAAAACATTATTGTGCTGTTCCTCCTCCTCTGGCTTCGGCTGCTGTTGTATTTATTTCATCCAAGCTCCATGTGCTGACTGGCCTGAGTTACGGGAGCTGTAGGAAAATCGGACATGATTATCCAAGCCCCGCCCCTTCCCAGTTTCCCCATTGTCTTTTATCCTTTTACTCTCGCCTGCTTCCCCTTTTACTCATCTGGCTGGTCCTTGCGTGTTTGTCCATCCTTTGTTAGCTTCCCCCTGCTTTCCGGTGTTATGCCGAAAAACGCATCCCTGCCTTAGAATGCATGCCGGTGTTCCGACGAGTTGAGCTTTTAAGGGTTTTTTGGCGGTCAGGGGTTTTTTAGGGGTTAGGGTTATGGTTTTAGGGGGGATTTGGGGGTTAGGGTTAGGGTTTTAGGGGGGTTTTGGGTCTTTTGGGGGTTAGGGTTAGAGTTTTACGGGTTTTTGGGGGCTATTGATTAGCACTACGCTAGCCTTACTCGACAAAGTAGCTCAACTCGTTTCAGATCAGAGACCAATCGGTCATTTAGAGACAGGCATGCATTGTACGGCAGGGATGCCATTTTCGGCATAACACCGGCATCTTCTGAGTCTCTGTCCTTGCTCCGTAACTCCTTTAAAAAGCCAGCTTAGTTTACACCCGGCACCCGGGTACAGAAGCTGGGGATACCCGTTTGCCTCGCACCTGTCCCATCTCTCTCTTTCCCTGTCCCTGTAACTGCAATCGCTGTTGTCCTGCAAATCATTAGCACAGCACCCCAGTATTTGTTGGGGTCATCGGCATCCACAGGAGCAGAACCAAGAGACCGTGGGGGGTGCCTCTGTAGCACTGTGCCCCCGACATGGTTGGGGTCGACAGCCCCCCGCTGGGTGAGCATGTGGAAAAACCCACGCTACACCACGGAGCGAGCTTCTCACGGTGCCCATGAGCTGGTCATACTCATTTCTGATGTGTTATTTTTATTGGAATCCCGCAATGACATCCCCCATGCCTCACAGAAATGCCCTCATCCATGACTCGGAACCGTCACACTTTTTACAGGTAGCTGGGGAACAAAGGTTCGTACATTTCACTTTGGGCATAGTCCTGAGATCGGTTAAGGAGCAGCGGAGTTAGCAGCGTGGCCCCGCGTAGTCCCAAAACATGCCTAAGGCCCGGTGTAATCTCGCACCATCTTCTCTAGGCGATTCTGAGCTATGGGAAGGACATTAGCGTTGGCGCGCTGACGTCCGGCACCCCGCTGCTTTGGCCCGTCGTCTCACGGCCTTGCTGAGCGGCAGCCTGTTAGATTTATTATTTTCTGTGTGAACTCATGGACATTTTCACTGAAGTTACTTCAATTGCCCAGAAACTGCACTCCCTCGGAGAGCCGTTGCAATATAAGTTGTCGCTTTTGTTGCGATTTGTAGTTCCATTATTCTAAGTTATTGCGTTTCAGTATTTGCGGTGCCCATGTGGAGGGATAGTGTTGGCACAGGGGGGAGAGACTGTGGGGGGCCAAGGAATGAGGGAGCGCCTCATTGTTTCTCAGCTTTCCGGCCCAGTAGGAATCGTTTGCAGCTTGGCCTGATGCAGTGTGACAGACGGCGCTTCCCAAGATAAACACAGAGCTCCCGGAATTAACCCCGGCAGTAATGAGAGAAAGAGGGTGCATTGGGGGGGGGGGGGCGCTTTGCTGACTCTTTACTGTGGATACAGCAAAAAACAGGCAGAGTGATGTTCCCATGTAACAAAAACAGTGTCCGAATTTAAAGGCGTCAGTCTGTTTATTTGTGTTTTGCTGGGATCATTAATTCCATGTGCCAACAGTCTTGGAAATCTCTACAGATAAAGAATGTGGACACACACGTCTGTTTGTGTCCCTGACGGAGAGGGGGGAGGTACAGAAAAATCAGCCTACTCGAAAATATAGAAAACATAACCCTCTTTAATCTTTCATAATCTGTAAATGTAAAAGCTGCCTTTGTTTATGAAACTGTTGTATATATTTAAAAAAATCTGAACTGTAAACGTACAATAATTTATGCCCTGGCATCCCATCGTGATGAACTTCTGGAAACTGGTTTTGTAGCTCACAGCAGGGAAAAAGGAAAATGGAACCCTGAACTACAAGAGAAAAGCGTTACATGATTTTTTTGTGGGTATCTCTATTCACCTGTCTTCACCCGTGTTCCTGTGTATCCCAGGATAAGCGTGCACTTGTGTGCACGTTTAGCTATCGGCTCGTGGTTTTTACTCTATTCACCTGTCTTCACCCGTGTTCCTGTGTATCCCAGGATAAGCGTGCACTTGTGTGCACGTTTAGCTATCGGCACGTGGTTTTTACTCTATTCACCTGTCTTCACCCGTGTTCCTGTGTGTCCGAGGATAAGCGTGCACTTGTGTGCACGTTTAGCTATCGGCACGTGGTTTTTACTGGCCATCTTTTCCATGCCACTGCCTTTATCAAATGCGCTAATGGCACAAGAAGACAGAGTCCGCGGTGAGGCTGGAGCCACATGCCCGTCAATGAATGGATGGCCTCATCTCCCTCGGTGGTCACGGACAGCCTTAGACATAACAAAGAGGAGATGCTGAGCTGAAGCCAATATGCGGCGGGGGAGAGACAGAGGCTGTGAGGCCAGTGGCTGCAGGGCTTCGTCCTGCTGACCGCGACAGCTGAAATCCTGATTACTCCCAGGTCAAAGGTCACGAGTTTGTATCGCATCGTGTGCACTGTTTGCTTAACCTGACTCGCGAAGTTCAGGTTCCTGTGGCACCATCCCGATGTGGCTGCGGCTCCGGGGGACAGGGTGTCCCGTAGGGGATTCCCACCGTCCTTGTCTCTGTTTCAGCCCAGAACTCCCTGTTTGCTGGTTTCCAGCGCTGAGGGACATGGGGGCACCCTGCTCCCCCTGACCTCCGGGTCTCGGAGGGGATGGCCCATCGCCTCCGGTGTCCGAGAGGAGCGTCTGCTTTAAAGAAAAGTCCATGGTGCTTTGCACATCTCCGTATCCCTGGACTCATCCTAAGCACACAATCCATTCAGGCTTTCCTGCTTTTACCTGGAAAAAAATCCAGTAGCATCATTTATCAGGCTTGGGTTTGACTGGTTACCAGACGATACCTGATGCCCATCCCCACCCCGTTTTGAACACCCCTTCCTTTCCCTCTTTTCCTGGGGGTTTAATTTGTCTGCCCTCATCCCATCTTCCTGAGCCCCCTGGCTGGCCACTGGGCTTGTGATGCGGGGTCCGGCTGGTCCATCCAGCACACTAGAAGAGTGTCCCCCCCTTGGGGTCACGCTAGAGCCGCTCTGGCCCCTGCTGGATGGGCAGCGGCTCCCCGAGCAGGCAGCAGGTAAACCTTCACCCCCATGCCAGGCAAAACTCCCCGACTGGCCTATACTAGGCACGGCACCAGCCCCCACCCCCGGCACCAGATGGAGACAGCCCTGCTCATGTCAGCCATCTGTCCCAGCCTGCATGTCATTTCCGTCCCCAGCTCCCAATCAATCCCTCTCTGAGTGTTAATTTTATCGCTTCTCCTTTTTCATGAGATATCATTTGTTCCCACTGTTTTTGTGACTATTCTTTCTGTCCACAATACTTCATCCCTCCATTTTCCGTCCTGGGTCCTTTATGATGAGTTTGCTTCCCCAGGGGTGAACCAGGCGGGTCTCCTCCCCAGTCCATTTAAGAAACCAGCTTGTCACCAGTACATCTGCTCTGCATTCTAGTATCAGAAAGCCACTGTGTTCGGGATTATGGACCAGAGGCTTTGCTGTATTTTGGGCTTATTAGTGCTCAGGTTTTGTCTTCCAGGCTACTCTGGGACAGGGTTCTCAGGACCATAGGGGCTCAGGTGCACATACAAGGTTAGGTTCTGCGCTTGGACAGATTTACCTATAGGGGGTAGTATTAGGACCCTGGGCATTTTGACCCTGATAATCCTTTGATCCACTGTGAGGGTGAATACTAGGGACCGACTACCGATCAAATACTGTATTTTGCTTGTTTTATGTGTGTAGGATCTATTACCGGTGACTGATACCAAACGTTAATCACACATGTTCCTAATCATGCACCTGGCGAGCTTTGGCCCTTTTATTCTCATGATTACATCTGTACAGTGCGCCCCTTGCTGGCCCTGTAAAATTTACTTGCTTTAATGGAGTTGCGAGAAATGTTTTAACGGCAGAAAGACCTATTAATTTTCTTCCAGGAATGCTGTCTTGGGGGAAGGGGAATTTTCATTCTTTTTTTTTTCTTTCAAAAAATAGTAGTGTGCTGTGTGAAGAGGCGTACACATTCCTGGTGCACACCCTGTGTGACAGTTTATGTGGTGAGGTCTAGGGAAGAGTGAAAAGTTTGTGTGTAATCAGATATTACCTTAATTTACGTACCCACCCACTCTGACTCCCACCCCCAGAGCGTTTTGGTGCATGTGGTTTTGTAACAGATCAAAACATCATCATGGGCAAATGGAACAGCAGTTCAACAGGATTTAAAGTCACTGTGGGGGAAGGAAGCCTGCATTACAAAATAGTTTTTCCTTCACGGTACATAAGACCATCTCGTTTCCCCCACCCCTGGACATCCGTCCGCCCATCTTCCATCACTTTTTCTCCGGTACATTATTGCTTGGATCCTGGAGCCTGTCGCCGAGAGTGTGAAGCCCTGAGGCCTGGATGAGATGCCTGGTCATGCTAATTTTACACGTGCATGAGAGCCAGAAGCTAAAAGGTCAGCTGCCAGTCAGCAGGTCCACGTGGACAGAGGTCCTCACTGTATGCACGTGTCTCAAAGGAGCTCAGGCAGCGCGACCGACGTGTGTACATGTCCAGCTGTGGCATCCACCGGTCGTTCCTGCCAAATACTTAACCTCCTGATTCACCCAGAAAGCTTTCTGATTTATCCAAGCCCCTGGTCCCATCTCTCCGTGCTCAGTGATTTTCAAGGAGGAGGAGGCTCCGTTTGTGTGGCGACCATAGCGAGGAGCAACGTGACCAGGGTGTGCGCCGTATGACCAATATCCTTGGACCCACCCGGCCTCATTGTGGCCCTGTTTATACAGGCATTGCATTTACAGTGACTCTGAATGAGAGAATATGGCTGATGCAGCAAGGTCCTATAATAAGTGCCAGTTTGTGTCCCGCTATCAGCTGCAGAAAGCTGAAGGTGCAGAGGAACGGGCGCGTTTGCATGTGTGGGAGAGACTGTTCGACAGAGATGTTCATGTCTGGGAAGGAATTTTATCTAAAACATTCCAGAGACAGCTGCTTCTCAGGGCCAAAGCAAAAACTAGTCTTTTTATTTAATTTACGGTTAAACATTTGCTCTCAACAGTGGCATAAATATTCGTGAACATCAATTATAACCAAGTAATTATTTGCACATTGACCTGCCACAGTTTAGATCGCTCTCTTGGCGAGCTCCTTAGTGTTTTGGAGCTCACGTCAGGCTCTGATGTGTTTTTTTTCCTGGTTGTGAGACATTTGGGCCAGTAACCGTTGGGGGGAGCATTATGTCTGAAGCGTCTTTAGTCTGTCCTCGCTCTCCGCCGACAAACGTAAACGGTTGGACTTGTTAAGCAAAAATTACAGAGAGCCTCGGCTCAGAATCAATGCAGCCTGTTATCCACTTCCTGCCTGCTCCGGCCCAGAAAACAGTATTTTCATGCCTCTCTTCATACGGTGCACACTGGCTTGTGAGGCGTCCAGAATTTCCTCTCAGCATGTTAGCGGCGATTAAACTCTTCCAGGTTAAATCGAGTCGTGGAGGTGTTCCAAGTTTCCAGTTGAATACATTTAGTTGGCTCTCCTTAGTCTAGAGGGGAAAAATGGCCCAGAAGCAAGGGCAAATGTAGTTTAATTCTAATAAATGCAGTAAAGTGTTTTCAGCAGGAGAAATTGACGATGCTTCAAGGATTAATGTCCTTGATGCTGGTGATCAGTGCTGAATTAAGGTCTTTTATGTTCCATAAACCATCACAGTAAATTTAAGTGTCAGAATTTGTAATGGTTTGTGGGATGTTTAGTGAGTATACATCTTAACTTTCTTTAAATCTATATTTCAGGCTATTTCAGCTGCATGTGGCCATAAGCTTTAGCCAAGCTAGGTCAGCAGATAAGGTCTTAATGCAATTCATTAAAATTTGATATTTTGCTTTGAGAGTCACATTAAATTTAATTTCTATTAAGCATCTTGTTAAGAGGTGGTTTAAATATTACATGTTATTTTAATAGAAGAGAGATAGTGATCCCCACTGGAGCACATTTGGGGGTGTGTGAGTGTAATAGAAAAGTACTATGAGAAAATGGGTAAATCGTGTATCATTAACAATGTCTGTTGAAAATTCAGGCCACACGGGACACGCTGAGTCGTCACTGCGGCATGCTGGGAGACGCCCTGCACAAGGAGAATGACACTGCGCTCATTATCGACGGCAAGACCCTGAAGTACGCACTGAGCTTCGGGGTCCGCACCTACTTCCTGGACCTGGCGCTGTCCTGCAGGGCCGTCATCTGCTGCAGGTATGACGAGGATGACCAGGGGCGTCCCACTCAACCGTGAGAGCCCTTCACCTCACCACGGGTCCAAGGCCAGATAGGTCACATCTCATGGTTGGGGTTGAGTAGTAAACGGTATGTTTCATGCTAACCAGTAAATACTACCAGAGGCAGACGAGTCTGCTTTTGGCCGGATCATATTCTACCTCCATCAGGCAGTTCAGATTCAGTCTCATTGGCCGCACTGCAAAAATGGCCTTTTAAATTTAAGATAAACCGTTTCTGTTTTGAGACATGATGACCTAAAACTAGCAAAATTATATGCCAGTGCAGTTAGAAAAATGTGCTTGGTAAGATTTTCTAAAATAAGACAATAATTAAATCTTAATAAATTAATCTAAATAATCTTAATAATCTTAATAAATTAATCTTCTTTATCAGATGTGTTGTAGTTTATTAATGAAATTAGAATTTTGTCTAAAATAAGAAAGATTTTAATTTTTTGCAGTGCAGCGATCGACTTCCGACCAAGTTGTTGGTACCCAGTTGTGTTATATACTGATAAAAATATTTGTATGTTATGTTTTTATTTATTTAGCCGGTACTTTTTTCCAAAACAACATACAATATTTTTTTTGTTTTCTTTGGGAAAGCAGAGTCAGCAGAGTCTGGCCAATCCCTGGAGAAAGTGGGGCCTCGCTCAGGGGCCCAATGATGACATCACTCTCTGGGCAATGAGATTCAAACCGGCAATCATCCAAGGCACAGGGACCAAACCCACTGAGTCTCACCCCACCCCCGATATGCTAATATTCTAATGATAACAAAAAATGTTTGATATCCAGAAATACTATTGTTTACTTTTCAACAAACACTAGATTCAGCAAGTAACAGTAGAGAAGTTTGTATGATACACCTGTTTTTTGGAGATGTATGCAGAATTGGCTGCTTTAATTACCATAGGCTTCTAAAGATTGCTTTTGTCAGTGAGATGAAAAATGTTGAAAAGAAATTATTAAAAAGCTTTGTGAAAGTTCAGACAGAGCTAAAAGACAAGATGGGCCCATTAGATCTATTCAAATCAATCACAATATTTGTTAATTTGCCAGGAAAATTGCTTGGCCAGATGGCTATGATGCAGTTAACCAAATAAAATGTCTGCCAGCTCTCGTCCTTGCAAATACATCGACGCGTCCCGGGATCATAAAGAACGGAGGCCCTTCATCTCATGCCGCAGTTGCCATACAAGAACTGCCTGATGACCCGTGCGCCACGGCTGTGCCTAACAACCAAAATTAATCAGAACTCCTAAGGAGTTAATTGCTGTTTTCCAAGGCAGATTAGAGCAGATTGTGCATCTGGTACCATGCAGCCTAAATACGCGAAAGAAAGGGTGAACTTTCAGAAAGCCGGGCAAAGTTTGCAAAAATTGATTTATGTACAGAACTTTCTCGCATTTGCCCTGTTAGCACTTTGAAAAGGCAAACTGCGTCCCAGGAAATAGAAGAGCAACATGCTCATGCAACAAATTCTACAGCTGAACAAACATCAGAGGGGACTGGGTGGGGATTAAGCTCGCTACCTTCTTAAATTTACAATTTAACAGCCAACCAGCCTTCAGTAAGTAATATTATTCGCCAGTACATTCCCCACCGGCCGGGTTTCAAAGAATGACCCGCAGGAAGATCCAGTGACTCTGAGGAGAGCAGCCGGCTTAGTGCTGACCTAGACATCACTAGGGGATGGCCTCGCTGCTGCTCCCTGTGTACCCATGCTAGATATTTATGTAAGCTGGGGGCGTCGTTAGATGGACAGATTGTGGGCTTCAGTGAGTGAAAGTATCTCCTGAAGCGGATTCTGTCGGCTTTATTCCCGCAGCACCCCTAGGCCATGTTTCTGAGCCGAGCGTCTTGTCATCCTCATGTTACCAGTAGAGCCTTGAGACATTAGCATGGCTGAGAGCAGGGTGAGGTTCTGCTCTGAACTGAGAGCGCGTTTGTTTCACCTAAATGTGATGATTGTGATGCATAAAAGACAGAAATAAATTGTGTATTATGTGTCAGTATCGCGGAACATATTAACTGAAATATGAGAGCAGCAGTTAAATGGCGAGATGTTCATTAGACAGTATTCAAAATTAAAAATGTTTTCTTAAGCTCTAAATGAAATTAAATAAGCTGACTGTTGGTTAGCAAGTGTAGCCCCCCTTGCTGGACCCTCACTAGAGTGCATGCATCCAGCATATCTTCACCGTACACAGGACTCTTTCAACTGACCCTGCGCAGAAAGGCCCAGCTCATCAGCCAGACCAGGCAGGATCATAACAAGCTGACGTTCCTTCCTTAGTCTGCGGAGAGACACTGCCGTGTCGTCAGTGTTGTGATTTCAATTAGCAAGCTGCCGAAGATTAACTAAGGCCCGGTGAAGCTTCTGATGTAAGCTGCTGTTCTCCTGCGTCTTGCTGCAGGGTGTCCCCTCTGCAGAAGTCAGAGGTGGTGGAGATGGTAAAGAAGCAGGTTCGCGTGATCACGCTGGCCATCGGCGACGGCGCCAATGACGTGGGCATGATCCAGACCGCCCACGTGGGTGTGGGAATCTCCGGCAACGAAGGCCTGCAAGCCGCCAACTCCTCCGACTACTCCATCGCTCAGGTGAGCATAGAATGTGGCCCCGCCCAGAGCAGGTGAGCATAGAATGTGACCCCGCCCACAGCAGGTGAGCATAGAATATGGCCCCGCCCAGAGCATGTGAGCATAGAATGTGGCCCCGCCCACAGCAGGTGAGCATAGAATGTGGCCCCGCCCAGAGCAGGTGAGCATAGAATGTGACCCCGCCCACAGCAGGTGAGCATAGAATATGGCCCCGCCCAGAGCATGTGAGCATAGAATGTGGCCCCGCCCACAGCAGGTGAGCATAGAATGTGGCCCCGCCCACAGCAGGTGTGCACAGAATGTGGCCCCGCCCAGAGCAGGTGTGCATAGAATGTGGCCCCGCCCACAGCAGGTGTGCATAGAATGTGGCCCCGCCCACAGCAGGTGTGCATAGAATGTGGCCCTGCCCAGAGCAGGTGTGCATAGAATGTGGCTCCGCCCAGAGCAGATGTGCAGGGTGGGAGAGGTGAGCCCACCTCATGTGGCACTATAGCTCTCAGTTCTTATGTCTCATGTAACATGTAGGCAGGTTTGGATGTAAGTGTGAGCAGGTTCTGTTAGGTTCTTTTCCTTCCCTTTCTACTCACAAAGAGCACACATCACATGCAGCGCTGGGCCAAAATCCAAAGTGGACCACCAAGGCGCCATACCGTGAGAAGGGCAGAAAATGTTTCTTTTCGAATCGGGGTTTCCAGTATGTGTTTCACAAGCCTCCCCAAAGACAAAGCGATGTAGCCTGAGGAGAAACGGTGGTTTTGTGAGGGCAGGGATGGGGGTGTGGGGAGGGGGGGGCGGTGGTCACTCTTGACTGCAGCGCAGGGTGTGGAGGCTCAGATTACTGTAACAAAAAACTCACTGGTGTCTTTAGCAGCAGTATGGCCCACAGGAATCTCTGAATGTGAACATGGGCTTTGATTAGAGACATGCTCCTTTGACAGAAGGCAGGACCAAAGACACTTTGACCTTGCCGCGCCTATTGACTGCTGAAATGACCCAAATGATCTGGTTGCATCTCCTTTATACATCCAATTACATGGCACACATGTATTGTGTGTGTGTGTGTGTGTCTGTGTGTCTAATGAGCCTGGTTTGAAGTCCATTGTTACTGTTGCTCAAGACTGGTTATCTTCAAGTGACACGGATGGCCCTGAACCCCTTTGATGTAACTGCAGTCAGTTGCACTCTCCTCCTGTACAAACACTTGGCTCTCCTTTAAAAGCCACCAGCATACTCTTTAACCCTAGGCCTTAAAATATGGCTCACAGGGGACACATGACCCATGAGTAACAGCCACAAGGATCTTCTTTGCAGTTCTAGAGGCCACTGAGCTTGTGGTGCATCTGAATTGGCCTAGATTTACCTACTGACCCCTGTGGCCCTGAACCAGTTGGTGTCTGTCAGTATAAGCCTTGCTGAGCCTCTTGGGGAGGAACTCCACAGACCTGCTTGACCGCCGGTGTGGATGCGCCTTTGCCATGCGGTCAAACGTTTGATCCCCTTTGAGCCATGGGGTCATGTCCCTGCGATGCTCTCCAGAAGCTAGGGAGTTCCCCACGCCTACTCCAGAGGGACCTCTAAAGCTGTATCCCGAGAGGTCCTGACCCAGGCACCCAGGTCCTCCTGGCCCCCTCTGTGATCCCAAATCGCCCCTGTGGATTTATATCAGGGGCATGCGGCCTTCCTGGGGAAGCCTCTGTGCCGCCTCCATGGGAGACAGTTCGACAGCCAGAATCCGGGGGAAGACAAATGTGGAGATGTTTCTAAGCAGACATCAAAACTCCCATCCTGAGTTGCCTCAACAGCTGCCTGACCCAGCTGCTCACCTGTAACTGCATCTTAGCAGCAACTATTCATATCGCAAAGCCCTGTAAGTCAACTTGGATCAATGTGTCAGCGAAGTGGACTCTTCCACGTCCCTTGGCTGCCATAACTGCTGTTCCTGTTTGCTCTGCAGAGTGTCAGCTGAGCAAAATTTTTTCCCTTGGAACAATTTCTGTCTGTTGATTGTTATTCCGATGGATACATTTGTCAAATGAATAATGCTTAACTTATGCAACCTAGATGCATTCGTTTAAAGCATCACGATGTGAAAACGTCACCATTTGTGTTGGGAAGTATGTTGGAAGGAGATTTACATATTTATGTTCTAAAACTTGGGCATTCTGCCTTCTTTCACTGCAGTTCAAGTACCTAAAGAACCTGTTACTTGTCCACGGTGCCTGGAACTACAACCGAGTGGCGAAGTGCATCCTCTACTGTTTCTACAAGAACATCGTCCTGTACATCATCGAGGTGGGTCCGGCCTCCATTTCAGAGCCTTTCAGATGGATACCAGGCCCCCGGGCCTGACGGCAGGATCAGACCCGGGCCGGAAGGGCCCTGACGGGCCTGTCACGGGGTGGGGGAATATTCTTATCAGCAGTTGAAGCCGCTCGGTTGATGAAAAAGGCGGCATCCTCTGTTGACGATTGAGTTTGTCGTTATTTACTTTTCGCTCTTTGTCAAAAGCAGCGTTCTGTAATTTAGTGTCGCTGCCTCTGTCGCAAGGGAAAACCATGTCCTTCAGGAAATGGCAGCTTCCTCTGTAATCCTGTGATAATTAGCAATATCCTACTATAAATTAACCGCTGCTGGATGACATTTTCCTGCGACAGGCGGACTTATTTTGGCTCATTCCAGGAATCGTTGTTATGTTAGGCCCATGCATTCTCGTCTCCCCTGACGTCGCCGAATCCAGCGAAAGCAGATCGTTCTCATAACGTTCCCATAGTCACGCCCTGGGCTCTCAGCCGTGACTGTCCCGATGGCCAATGGTGTGAGACTGCAAATAAGCAGCCCGCCAATGGCTATTTACGCAGTGAAAATCAAATTTGTCAGAGAAACTCTTTATTGATGTTGGATTAATGTTGTGCAAATACAAATGTTCAGATAGGAATATATTTATTTTTATGTGCATGTGTATAATGGAGTGTGTGTGTGTGTGGCGGGGTACTCACATTCACGCACAGTACTGTGCATACATGATGTCTTTTTGATGGTGCATATATCCGGATATAGATGAACATGGCATTGATGAATCACAATGCTCAAGTCGTGGCGCTAAACACTGCTGTAAGCCCGTGAACTCCTGACCCCTGGCATTCCTTCGCTTTAATGCATCAGTGTTATCACCGTGTCCTGGAGCAGCGTGGACAGGCGGGCGGTCAGCAGGGCCCACCGCCTCTGGAGTGAGACATCACGGCATTCTACCAGGGAATTCTCCTAGGGGGAGGCTATGCTTTAATAGGGGTGGGGGGGGGTGCCTTCATGAGAATGTCACCCGAAACTGAGCGGAGACAGTCACAGGACGAGGTGACGGATCGCGGAGCGGCTTTCGCCCTCTTCCCCACTTGACCTCTGATCACCCTGCTTTGTTTTTAGTTCTTCTGTAAACCAGCCAAAAGACCTCATGTTTCCTCGAGGCGAAGCCCACATCCATTTGGAGGTGTTCTGTCATGTCTCTTTTTTTCCAAGTTGACTTACTTTATAGAATAGTAGTACCCAATCTATCACTGGGTACAAGCTGGGTTAGTTAAGGCTGCATGTTTGGTCAAACAGGTGACCACTTCAACCTGTCAGGTTTACAAAGTAATTTACTGTCTAACCATTTGTTCCGGGATTGTAATGGTTTTATGACACATCTGAGAAAGAGCATGATAAAGTTGCCTGAATGTGTCAGGAATCTGGCCTTAAAGTGAGTATATGGGTTAAACACGAAGCTGAGTGATCTTGTGGCTTAGGATGAGGCCCCCGGCGGCCATAGCTGCCCAAGAATTGTGCCTGCCCCAAAACCCAGAAGTCACTTCCCATTAAAGCGTCAAGGTGAATAGCACTGCCAATTTCCACATAACGGAACCGAACATGAGGTCACTGTCCCCATTGCCAGGGTCTCTGCGGTGTCATCTGGAGCCCCGTTTGCCACACCGCGCGCTTAAATGATGTGAACACTCGCCCTGCACTTCATCTTCCTGTCACGCAGGTCTTGTTACTGTCTCTGTGTATCTTATTACTGGCTTGTTACTATCCTCCGGGGTGCATTCAGATTATTTTTTGGATTTTCTTTGGGCCCGTGCGAGGTTGGCTGGTTCTGTCCCTCCAGACTTGGCAGGTCCCAAATCTACATGAGGCTTTCCTTTCACCGGCATGCAGGCTCACAAAGACACTTCGCCTCTTTGTCCCATTTGATCCTTTGTTACGCTCCCAAAATCCCTCGTCCCCCCCCCCCACCCCCCCAAGCAGCGAGTGCCCCGGGGGTAACAGATGGATTTTTAGCCTGTTCTTACTGGATTGCTCTCTATCAAGCAGTCTGCATTGTACCGGTCTGACACCGAAGACACTTGCAACCATGGCAAGGGCTAAAACTTACATTTGTGCGGGTAATAGGTTTACTAGTGTATATGTGTTTTTATTTTCCACCCCCCTGCTCTCAGGCCTGGGGTATAATTCAGCCAGCACAAAGCGGATCTTAATTTAAATGTCTTCCCTCACAACTCTCAGGAGCGGGCGTTTATTGCCACAGAGCTCGTTTCTGCTTCTCCAGGACGGATGAACAGCCCAACTACCATGTCTGTAACAATATGCCCCCCTCCCTTTTTTCTGCCTCCTCTTTTCTGTGGTCGAGGGCCCTCCGGGCATCCCCGGGTCCTTAACGATGGGCTTTGATGGGGTGTAGGCGGGGGGTGGGGGTTCTGGACTGGCCCAGCTGCCTGACGAGACCATGGTCCTGCAGGGATTCGGCCGCGTGCACCAAGCCATCAAGGCGACCTCGCTGTAAACTTCTGAAGGTCAGGCAGCCAGGATTTGTTTCAAATAATGTAGCAAACATGGACGCAATCCTGACAGAAGTGTAAGTGCATTAACTGTAGACCAACGCACAGCTGCCATATATAAGGACATCAGTACAGTCGCCTGGGGTCTGTTCTTTAAATTTAGCAAACACATAGCATGTGTAAGGTAGTAATTTTATTTTATAGTTTTACAGCATGTGTTTTACTCATGAAATAACTCTTGGCAACATTTTTAGTGTCATTTTGATATTTTGTAAACAGAAGTTGTTTTGCAAACAGAAGTTGTTTTTTTACCCCCCAGCTGGAGCGCAGCCCGTCCCGCATGCGGCTGGGTGTCGGTGTCCCGTAACGCGATGCAGCAGGGGGGCACCGACCAGACCCCGCCTGACTGACAGCTCATCAAGGTCCCTCTGACTCGTCCCGCTGACAGACAAGTGGCGTTTATGGGCCAATTACAAGAGGCCCTTTCAGCTTCAACTTAGAGCAGTAGAGAAAGGGTTGGGGGGGGGGGCGTGTCGCGGGGGAGGGACCCCGAGGGGGCCCAAACAGTGCCGTGTTGTGAATGCGTCGCGATGGAGCCCCAGCTACCAAAACACGCACACATTTCCTCCCTGCTCTCTTTCCTTTTAGCCACTGTTTTCCTTTTCCAGTTGAGGAATTAGGTCTTATTTGCATTTTTAGGACAGGCCTAAGGAACAAAGGCCAGGATGTGGCAGGGACCAGTGTCACACCCCATGCATCATAACGCCCCCCCCCCCCCACAGACACACACACACCCTTCAGTACAGGCCAGAAATCATTGTTTTTCAATAAGCTGATGAATATGCAGGGCCCTTCCTTTGGCTGAAGCCTATGCATCCCCTCTTTTTTTTTTTCCTATGACTATACCCCCCGCCCCCCTTGCCTGTTTTCGAGGGGAGGACGCAGGAGAAAAAAGCCACATTTAATTTTCATCTAGCTCGTCACCCCGGGGTTTTCAGATTGTGCAGCAGGCGAGGAGGACCGCCACACCCCTCTGGCGTGGGGGGCTTAAAGGGACCTCAGGGTGGGGGTGTTGGGGGGAAATGCAAAAAAAATGCTGGATTCTCTTTCCCTAACTAGCAGACAAGTGTAACGGTCAGAGACAGCAGTTCGGAGGCTTTTCAGCACCTCCTGGTACGTCTGTGTTGTCAGCCCATCGGAGTGTTTGCACGGGGCTTCTTTAGCCCGCATCTTTAATCGATGCAGCCGTCTGACCTGTGCCGTCCATCACTCAGCAGGAGCTCGGGCCTCCATAACGGACGGGACTGCGTCTGGCTCCACCCGCCGCAGCGCTTGTTCGCCGGAGGACGGCCTTCTCTAGATAATGCGCAAAAATAGTTTTTGGGTGTGGCCCTGTTTGATTGGAATGAAGAACATGGTTTGGTGTCAGATTTGAAGACAAGCATGATGGGAGAGTGAGCTGGTAGCCCCCTCTTTTCATGGTCGGGGTGGAGTGGGGGGGGCGAAGGGCGGGTTTTTGTTGTGGGAACATAGTCACGCATTTGCTGGGGGCTGCTTTACTGAGGGTGGGGGGGCATCCCTGTCAAATGAAGAATTTGTAGCAATTCACGCCTTTATAATGAGGTTTAACTGAAGTGAGGAAGGGTCCAGTCGACCAAAAACCTGTCAAACCTTCTCTTGATAGCCCCAGTTACGTCACAGCTCCCAGCAACGAGAGCTAAGTATGTGTTCACATCGTATCTAATGCAGGCAGCACATTAGCTGCCCGTAATGTGGTATGAAAAATCAAATGATGCTTTATTTGCCATTTGAAAGTACAAATACATTGGAATGCTTCTTTGCACACATCCCATCATGCTCTCCTCTGATACATATATACACGGGTAAGACTGAAGGTTGGGGTCCATCCCAGGATCAGGCCATTTATCCAGCACCCCTGTAGCATTTTTTTGGGGGGGGATGGGGGTTAAGGGCCATCCTCAATGGCCCAACGGAGATGTGGATATTCTTCTGAGGCTTGAACCGGCAACCTTCCAAACGCAGGCAGAGAGGTTTAACCTGCTGAGCCACACACTGACACCCAAAGAAAGACTTAGGCGTTACATCAGCTGGCGGGACGACAGTCCAGGCCAGACCTGACAGCAAAGAGCGAATCGGGGAGAATCCAGGGGGGGGGGCACCTGAAGGCCCCAGGCATTGTGCAGGGGCTTTCTCGGGGCGGGGTTTGAATCGGGTCATCGCAAACACAGCGTGATCCCCCAGGCGGGGAGTGGGTCGGAGACTGATGATGTGCTGAACCCAGAGCTCATCTTCAGGTGTCCGCAGACGCTCAGCGCCAGTTAGCCTTGTTTTCACTGAGCCCCCCCTGGGACTGCAGGAGTCCTGGCAGCTTTCCTGATTCTTTATTCAGTGACATGGAAAATATGCAGGTTTTGAGGGGGGGTTGTGTGTGTGTGTACGTGTGTGTGGTCCAGGTATACATTACATTGTGGGGACATTTGGGCTCCACAATGTGATAAAAACGTGTTATTTTGATGTGGGGACCATATTTTGGGCCCCACAAGGGGAAATTCTATTTTATTCCCTTTTCTGCATTAAGTGAGTTGTGATTATTTGAAAAATGTAACAGTATAATATAAAATTGATAAAAAGGTACAAGAATTTCTGCTGTTTGCTAAAAAGTGATGGAAGTGTTAGAAGGCAAGAACGTAATTTTTGCTCCCACCTCCGTGCGACCTGAGGCCCTCTTACGTCCTACTCCAGCCGTTCCATGCTTGCTTAATTAACTCCGTTAATGAGATATCGATTAGCCAAATAGGGTGTGCTTCTCAGGTGACTTTAGTGGTTTTAAAATGGCTAAGCTGGCACACTTTGACAGACATAGTATTGTGATTTTACACTGACATAAACATAATTTAAACGTAATTTCTTTGGATCCCGAAGACTTTCTCAGAGTACTGTAGGTGTGTTTCATGAGCTCCATGGCAAATTTCAGGTAAGCTGGTTAGCAAAGGCAGCTCAGATTAGTATAACAAGGTTTTCATCTCTGGATACTTACCTGGTACCCACCTCAAAGCCTGAATTGTTTAAAAATATATGCTTTTGACCTTGTAATTGTGTGTGTGTGTGTGTGTGTGAGTGTGTGTATGTCTGTGTGAGTGTGCATGAGTGCGAGTGTGTGTGTGTGTGTTAGCATTTTTCCCATTGAAATGAATGAGCGGTCCCCATAAGGATATGTGTACCCTACATGTGCGTGTGTGTGTGTGTGTGTGTGTGTGTGTGTGTGTGGAAGGGAGAATTGTAGGTCTGTACAGCACATGCATTAATCATCATGGACTAAAGAGCATTAAAGGTACATCTGCAGAGTCTCATCAGGCTACACGTCCCGCTCTCCTCTCGGGAGATAACCATCGGCTTGCTCTCTCTGCTGCCCCCTGTGATAAGAAGCATGTGTCCCACCGGGGCGGAAGGGTGTGGGATGGAGGGCTGACAGGGAGGTAAAGGTAATCTCTGTGCCGCTTGTGATATCGCAGGCCACGGTTCAAACATCTGTCCCTAAAGGGTGGAAAAACGCTCACCAGGTCGCTTATGCAGGGAAGCGTCGGTCACACCTTGATGACATCACCGGCACCCTCATTCAGCATTCTCTGCTGTGTCTCTGTCTGTCTGCAGATCTGGTTCGCCTTCGTGAATGGTTTCTCGGGACAGATCCTCTTCGAGCGCTGGTGTATCGGCCTCTACAACGTGGTGAGTACTTACCCCCCCCCCTCTCTCTCTCCCTCATTCTACCTACCTTGTAACCTCAAAGCAAGGAACCGATTTCTTGCAGCACTCCAGAGACTTTTCTTTTACAGCTGTTTTGTGTCACTGTCATCCTGAGAAACAACGCTGCATTTATTTACAACCTACGAGAACTGGCCCACCCCCCCAATCCTTTGCTGAAAAGTACTCACCCCATGTACAAAAACAACAGTCCAGCCCCATCCTAAAGTGAAGTGGAGACCAGGGACCAACCATTAATTAATCAGCAGCCTTGATGACCCTCATAGGTCCAAGCTGTCTGTATCCCCATTTGAATTGGCAAGCCGCGGAGATGAAGGAGATGACGTGTAAATCTCCAGTGGACGTCTTGTCACAAACGTGGCTGCCAGCTACCTTGTGGCGGTAAACCGGTTTGATTTAGGAAGGGGCTGATTTATCATGGGAGGGAATAGGAATAGGCCATCTGTGCGAGTGAGCTGGATGGACGCGGGGCATGACGGCCAAAACCGGCCACTCTTAGCCAAGTGGAGAGCCGCCTCACAGCTTAACCCTCGTCCGACATGAGGCATCCGACGGGCTGGGGGGGGATGCACAATTTAAACAGGACCCAGGACATTCTGTACAGGCTCCGATATGTTGCTGCATGGGAATTTTTTTATTTCAAACCCCCTCTCCCTATATTGTATCAAATCAATAATGCAGTAAGTTCCTGAAGGTTTCTGAAGTGTGAGAGGACACACAGAGCAGTACTGTTTTTATACTTCGCCCATAGCTGAAGCGATGCAGTGATGTCATGTGATGCGTTAGGGTGCCCAGTTGGAAGGGGCCTGGGGGGGCTTGATCTGGAGTCAAAGGCTCCGCTCGCAGTGGTGTGTGTGTGTTTGTGTGTGTCTGTGTGTGGATTATGTTTGTATTACGGTATGGAGATCAAATGTTTCCCACAATGTAATAAGAAACTGTTATTTTGACTTTGTGGGGACAATTTTTCAGGTCCCCACAAAGACCAGTAAATGACACTACAAAGATGTAATTACAATCAGAATCAGAATCAGAAAAACTTTATTTATCCCGGAGGAAATTGCTCATGTTACTACAAATGGTCACACAGAGACACAGGACAAGAACATAAAAGAAAAATAATATCAGATGTAAGTATAAGAACTAAAATAAAATTAGACTCTGTGCTATATACCCATGATATATACAGAAACAGAAATACAATATATATAAATAGACCAGTTTCCTGGTCCCCATAAGGGAAAACTCTATTTTATAAAAATCTGTGACTGCTATGAAAAAACTAAAAATGCAAAAACTTGTTTGGTTACTTATGGTTATGGTTAGGGCAAGGTTGTCATAGTTAGCGTTAGCATTTTTCCCATTGAAATGAATGAGCGGTCCCCATAAGGATATGTTTACCCTACATGTGCGCACGTGTGTGTGTGTGTGTGTGTGTGTGTGTGTGTGTACGCGCACGCTGGTGTTTCCCAGCTATTTTTCCCTGCAGGTAAATTTGTCTTACCGATGTAATCCAGATGATTACATCATGGTCAATGCTGCTGTTCTTCTCCGTAGAACCACGTCGCAGCTGCAGTGATGCTAGGAACAACTTTGTTGGCTACGGTTTAGCAATAAAATCTTCATTTTATTATTAATATCAATAATATTAATCCATATTATTATTGTTATTGTTATTATTATTGTTATTTTGTGTTGTTTCATGACACTATAAATCAGGAAATATATTTGTATTTTCTGGCTAATATGGATCCAAATGAGGTTCCTAGAATTTTAACCTTAAGTGTGTCTTTTTGTGTGATTTTTTTTATTCACCTTTTTTATGTGGTGTGTTTGCTCAGTGGATGCCTTGATCTCTGAGTTTATTTCTGGAGAGCTCTGAGTCGTACTTCCATGGTGTCTGTATGGGACTCGCTGCAAGTCACCCCCGCAGAATGAGGCGTCTTTCACGGACCACGTGTCCTTTTCTTAATGGCTGACAGATCTTCACGGCGCTGCCCCCCCTGACCCTGGGCATATTCGAGCGCTCTTGCCGGAAGGAGAACATGCTGAAGTATCCACAGCTCTACAAGACGTCCCAGAATGCAATGGGCTTCAACACCAAGGTAACAGTCATACCCCTCCCCCCATAATGGCCCTGAAAAATGCAGCCCCTGGTTAAGAGGCTTCTATATCCATGAGCGTCTGCTGAAGTGCCTGTTATTTTCACACAGATTTCATCCAGCCTGTCTGACTCAATGTATTTTCAGGGCTAAAAGTGCTGAATTAACCACAGAGGGTTAGTCCCCATGAAACAAGTTACTAATGTAACTCTCTACCGGTGTTGCTCTTGGAGTGATATGGAACGTTGTGTCAGCGGCTTATAAACATGACCTATTATTAAGATGATCTACCGTCTCAGTCCTTCTCTTCCCTCACTCTTTTATTTCTTTTTCCTTGTTTCTCCCTCTCGCCTACAGTTTATGTGGCAATAAACCCCTCACACATGATTAGGGCTTGTCTTTTTTTCAGTTACCAGCAAAAGTCCAGAAACTGAGTAAGGAAAACAACTTCGGCTGATTTAATCCCTGTTAAACAGGAGACTGTTTCATGTTTTCGCGCGAGACGTGAAATATGGCCTTTGAAAAGTCATGCGTCCCAAAATCGAGATGTCAAACTGAAATTTCAGTTTTGCTCTTTATTGTTTCCTTTCTGCTGTTCTTTTCCTTGGCTCGTCGCTTTTTGTGAGTTCTGCAGGTTTTTCGTCTCCTGAGAGGTGCACTAGTTCCAGGAACAGGTTTTCTTGCTCCGGGCTCCCGGAGGCTCTGAGCCGTGCCTCCATAGCCTGGTGTCGCCAGGCTGCTGCTCTGCCAGTGCCTCTTGCTTCAGGGCTAAATGCTGATCCCGCTTTGGGTTTTGTTGCAGGACCCATTAGGTGCTTTCACACTGAAGTTCCTAAAAGTTCTCAACCTGGAACTTTTGTAGCTCCTGCCCACTTTTGTGTGTCGCTTTCATACTACATAACAGGGACTTTTATGCTAAGTGAGCATGGGAGACGCAAAGTGTTTGTAGGTTAAACTTCACATTTAATTTCATACAAAATTACATTGCCAGATCAAAACAGTGGACGATAAATAAGTCATTTTGTTATTTATTTGTTAGTTACTGGGGGGATCAATCTTGATTAAAATGAGACACATCCTTTTATTCATATTTTACTTATATGATCTGCAACATGTTCATGATTCTTACTAAATCTGGCCAACAGACCAATCTTTCATTTTCCACACAATAAAAACAATGTAGCATTATCCAGCTAATAAGCGCTGGCAAGTTTCGCCGCCACCACCGGCAATATTAGACGAAAGTATATTGGTTAGCGATCAAATCATCCGATGCCGAAATATGATGACCAAAGGAAGAAATATATTCATTGATGCATTACATGTAATTGGGGTACAAAAATACTTCCACCTACTCAATTTTTGCTCCTCTACATCTCTTTTCCTGCACTTTCGCGTAAGTTACATTAGCAGTGGTGCTTGTGGCCAACAAAAGAGCAAGCTATCGCTCTAACCGTCTCCCCAGCAGTTTGTGTTCAAAAGAAAAGTACTGAGTCTGGAGTAGGTACTAAAAAAGCGTTCTAGAACTGCCTCTGAGGAACTAAAATTGTGCCGAGTTCCTGCAGCATGAACACAACAAAAGTCCCCGGTTCTGGAAAAAGGTTCTGGCTATTGCTATAGCAGGTCTCTTTCTTTTGATAAATGCAGTGTCTGGGCCAGTGCACAGCCCTTCCTCCAGCCATCATCGCAGATTGCTGCCTACCAGTCATACTTAATAAAGTCACTTTCCCGTTCAGCCGATCCAGTAACCATAAGGAAATGGATTTTAGGCTTTCGAGGTGGTCAGGAGGCCCACAAAAAGGCCTGTCCAGAACTCTATGGCAGGCTGACTGAAGAGGGTGTCCAGTCGCATGTTCTGAAGTTTGTTTACTCAAAGCTTGCCACTTCAGTTTCATGCAGGGATGGGGAACTCCTCACTTATCCTGCAATGCTTCGTGGCTACTGGTGTGTTGGCTTCATAGACCCTGCTGGATCTTTGGGACCTTTACGCCTGTCTATCTAAACAAGATTTAATTTCTCTGGTATTATATTACTGCACAGGAAATTAGTGTAGGATCCTAAAAAAAGACTTTGCACTCATAACGAATCTGCCAAGTAAAATTTAGTTTGTTTTTAAAAAAACAGTCATGATGATGAAAATATGTTCTGAAAGGGGTGGGAAGGAATAGTTCAAATCAGCATACTTTCATCTGGACCTTGTTTTTTGGCAATAATATTATAATTGAAAATGTGAGTGTTTTTTCATACCCCCTCTGGTCTCATTGGGGGGTTTGGAGTTTAGTGGAGTTTTGCATGGAGGTGTAGAATATTCCAGAAGGTGTGGAACATTTGACAAAACGCCAGCTTCTCACTTATAATTTATATGATTGTTATTTCTGATGGTGAAGCCCCCCCCCACAGACAGGCAGGGTGGCCCCCAGCACTGTGGTATTTGTCAGGCTGACTTGTGGGGTTGTTTTTGTCCTCCCCCCCTCACTCAGAGCTGGGAGAGGAGGGGGGGGCTGGAAATATTTGGCCGAGTGTAAAGTACATCCTTTCATGCTTTTTTAAGCAATTAGCGGGACACAAAGGCCTTGGCTTGAGCCGGGCCACGGCTGTTCATTCACTGTGGGATCCCGAGCAGCCTGCCGGCAGACAGCAGGCTTGCTGTGACAAATGGTTATGAACGTTTACTGATTTCATTAGTATTCATTGGGGGGCAGTGGGGGGGGGGTTAATGGGAGGGGGCTCTTCTGGCAGCACGGAATGTGACTGCGTAGAGGAACGCCGTCCCTGTATCAGATCGTCTGGGCACCCCGGATTAGAGCCACTGGTGTGGGGATTGTTCTGCCTCATGCTGTGTGCGGAGAGGGTGTCTGTGCGTTTCTGGGGATGGGGGGTCCTGCGTCAATGTGCAGGGGGCTAATTAGGTTAAACGGTGTAATTTATCCAATCGACATAATAAATCACACATGGGCTGCAGAGAAATGGTTGGGGGGTGTCAGCTCCCAGCTAGTAGGCAGGCTGGGGGTGTGTGTTTGGAGGTGCTGGGGGGGGGTTTCGGGGGTGGTGGATCTTTTGGACAGGGACCTGGACTTTGTTTTTGTAACACAAGGGCGGGGGTCAAGAGGTCAGACCAAAAAAACCCCAGGAAGCCTAGCAGGGGTAGTTTGGAATAAGATAATATTGAGAGCCCCCACCTTTCTCCTATGAATGTCTCTCCCTGAAAACCCACTTGTAGTTCATCTCAGACAATGTAGTCAATGGTAAGCATACGCCGCACAGTCATGGTCAGCTGATCATCACTTTGAATGGTGATTGGCTGTGCCTCACATTACCCATGATGCAGCAAGGAAGTTAATGGCTGGGTTTTGCCTGAGTAAGCGTTTTGACAGTTTGTTTTGGGCCTGTCATCCTTTTCATGAATGTTGTTGTAATGTTGAATGATTGTGGTCTGTGGTGCATATAAAGGGCATGGTAATTCAATTTTAATTAAAAAAAAAAGCAGACTGAAACATTTGGAAGAAGACTGCATTTCTGATTCAACAGCCTTATGTCACTTTTGATCAATTTTAAACTTTTAAACCCGGTGAAAATACAAAAATAACAGGAGCGGAAACGTGCGGCGCAGTGGGCACACGTTTGACAGGGCGTGCTTCACAGCCGCGTCTGGTGGCTCCGCTCAGTGTTGTTTTCCTTGGAGGGTCCCGTGCATAATGTGCTTTTCGGAAGACCTGACTGCAGGGGTGCAGTATCCCATTAAAGCGCGCATCCAAAGTCCACAAGCCTTCGCACGCGTTCCTGCCTACATGCTGGGGCGTAGACGTGGCCCCCGCGCATCCCACGCTGATTTTCCGCTTTTTAATAAATGGTCCTATCCGGAGACCGGCACACACATGTGTGCATGCGTGTAACTCCTGCATATAGCTGTATTTGTGAGGAATTTCCATTGGCTGCCATTTAACTGTAATGAAAAGATTAAAACTGCTTATGAAAAAGGCATTTACAGGAGTCCTGAATGAGTTAAGCTCACACACACATACACACACACTGCACAGTCAGAGCCCCACGTCTGCGTTCACGCCCCCCATCCCAGAGACACAGTGGATACAAAGTGTCCGTCAGCGGGGGACCATTCAGCCTCGGAGGCTGACAAAATCAGCACTTAGTGGAGCGCTGAGCGGGGATAAAGGCACGGGGTCGGAGGTCGCGGGGCCGGCTTGGTCACCAGCAGCTTTCTCATGCCTCTCTCCCCCACTCTCGGTGGCAGGTCTTCTGGGGCCATTGTCTGAACGGCCTGTTCCACTCCATCATCCTCTTCTGGTTTCCCCTGCAGGCCTTCCAGCACGGTAAGTATCCTCCCATCCTCTGCCTGCAGCATTTTTTGTTTTTTGGTATCCTATTCAGCGAAAGCTAGCAAAATACTTACCTCGTCTTAATTGTCGCCCCCCTCCTCTCTGCACCCGCTGTGGGCCCCAATGTGTCTCTCGGTGCTCCATCTGCTCTCACAATGTGGTGGTGTGTGTGGGGGGGCACAATGAATTAGCAACAGCAAGAAATGGAAGTGCTCAAAATACAACCCCCCCGTTCATCGGGATAATGGAAGCGGAGGGGCAGGGGTCTGTGTATTGCAGATGTAACGGGAGGGTTTGCCGAAAGACCACACAGAATCAGGCTCGGTCCCCAAACGAAGCAGGAAGCTCTGTCCTTTGATTGACAGGCTGACAGGAAGGCCCTCCTCACGCAAGCCCTCAGCCTGGGAAAGCAATAATGGTGGGAAATACATTTTTCTAGAATAATTACCTCCAGTTACCAGGCAGTCGCAGGACCCGCACTAGCAGGCGCACCCACGCATCGGCCGGCTGGACCATCGGCGGCAAATTAATAGGCCCCTTTGTTCGGCGGGTGGGACATGGCTGAGCGCTTTTTTGCTCGCGTTCCGGGTTTTTAATTAGTTGCATTTTGAGCTCAGTGGCATCAGTGGAGCCGAATTAGTGGGGACTGGCCCAGCTGGCTGCGTTGAGCGTAGCGGTACATCTCCGTGGCCTGTCCCTGTGCTCTGCACGGTGCACATCCCCAATGTTTACTCTGCACATCCCCCACCCGTGATTTCCTCTCTCTAAACGGAATGCTTTCAGACATGAGTCCAACAGGAGGAAAGAAAAGCCAGATATTTGACTAAAAGCATGTTGATCCTTTCCACAGATACAGCCTTTGCAAACGGACGGACGGCAGATTACCTCCTCCTGGGGAACATGGTTTATACAGTAAGTTCCTGGGCGCAGTGTTAAGGTCCGCTCAGGAGGAAATGCTCGTATAGGGATGGGGGGGGGGCATGGCTCAGCTCCGCAGGTGGTCTGCCTGATTTCGTTGAGGATGTTGAGATTTTTTATTTTTTTTAAAAAGGGAAAACCTTGACCAGACAAATGGAGGAAATTGACAGCAATTACACATTTTAAAGATTCGGTTTAATTTCATAAGTGTTCTTGCAGTGGGTTTCTGCGTGTGATTATCTTACAGACCACAAAGACCCCTTTTCGGCTTTTAGGTTGTTTATCAGCTATGGGGTCACACCACTGATTGCTCTCTGTAACCGTCTTTGATTCCCAGTATGTGGTCATCACCGTGTGCCTGAAAGCCGGCCTGGAGACGTCGTCCTGGACTATGGTAGGTCTGGGATGTTCTGCCGGTCCTGCTGTGCTCTGCATTTCCTCATCCCTCTACTCAGTTTTAACTTTTCACCTGTCCCATCCACGTCCCCAGTTGCCATGGTTGCCCTGTGTTGCCATGGCTGTGAATTCCACGGGTGATGTCACTTTCTGCCTGGCTCTGCTCTCTCCCACAGTTCAGCCACATCGCCATCTGGGGCAGCATTGGCCTGTGGGTGGTGTTCTTTGGAGTGTATGCCTCGCTCTGGCCTGCTATCCCCCTGGCTCCAGACATGTCGGGTGAGGTAAGAGAGACCCCCCCTCTCCCCCCGCCACCCCGGATTGGTTAAACCATGTCTTTAGCTTAACAGGGGGGGGCGACCGGACTACAGCTGGCTCTTCTAGTGGTCTTCCATCTTAGGCCTGGGGGACAGATTATGGTTTTAAATGCACCTGAGCTCCTAATGGTGTAATTAAAGCATTAAGCATGTTACTGTTGAGAGCTCAGTCGTGCGTGAAGGCCAGGCTGTGTGGTATCTGCTGATGGAATGGCGGAAATAACTGCAAGTAAACATCTATCCATCTGTCCATCTTCAGACCACTTAGAAATAAACACTGAGCAGTGTTTTCCAAAACATGGTCCCTGACTAAAATGGCACTCAGTGCTTTACACGAGGGGGGGGGTGGGGCACCATCTGACAGAGGCGGTCATCTCCTAATCCCCCCCCCCCCCCCCCGGTATAGAATGAAGAGGGTGGCTCTCTGAGGCCTTCTGGGGCCCTGTGCCCTTTCCTGCAGGAGCCTTGTTTATCAGGAGGGAAGGCCGCCAAGGACAGCTGGGGGGGGGCATGGGGGGGGTAGCAGTCATGTAATCCCTCCTGATTGGCTGATCGTATGACTGCTCCCAGAAAGAAGGTGTCGCACAGAGCTGGGGCCTTTATGCCCCACAGAGTTAATCTAATTGCACCAGACAGATGCTTGCACATTTTTACAGTCCCCACAAGGGGAAACTCGATTTTATAGAAATCTGTCTATAGTCTATAACAAATGTCAAAAGTCTTGTATTTTGTTTGGTTACTTATGGTTAAGGTTAGGTAGGGGTTAAGGTTGTCATAGTTAGGATTACATTTTTGCGCACAGAAATGAATGGAGAGTCCCCACAAGGATATAGATACCTAATCTGTGCGCACGTGTGTGACTGAGCCAGATGTGGGAAATCCGGTGTTCATCGGCAGAAATGTTAAATCAGGCGCACTTCTCTCTGTTCACTTGACACTTAAGCATAACGTATTTGGTTGGCGACAAGCGGCGTGCTGGAGCTTCATAGTCACATGCGACTCGTAAAAGTAAGGAACCCTCGCGCTTTCATCATCACGCCATTATCTCCAAGAAGCACTTAATCCTGAACACAAGCCGTGCAGATTAGATGGGAAGCCATTCCCCGACCACAAAGGCCCGCACTCCTGCTGGTCTCGGCAGCTCTGCGGACACAGCCGAACCTGAGCTGTCATCCCAATGCTGGGAGCTCCTGGCTCGTAGTTCTATGTGGACCCCCCACCTCCCTCCACCCACTCCTGCTCCTGCAAAACCTGAAGGTACCGGGAACTCCACAGAGAAAAAGACACGTTGCTGATTCTCCTTAAACCGCACAAAGCTGGCATCATAAAACCTTGTATCTCTGCTTGACTGAAAGGTACTTTATTACCATGAAGAGAATTTCAGTTAACTCCAAAGACGAAAAGCTGTCTTATACAATGTTACATAGTGATATGTCTCTTAATTGCATGGTCAAGGTTGCGGGGGGTCCTGGAGCCCATCCCAGGCAGTAAAGGGCACAAGGCTGGGGTACACACTGGATGGGATATCAGTCCGTAAAAGGGCACAAGGCTGTGGTACACGCTAGATGGGATATTAGTCCGTCACAGGGCACAAGGCTGTGGTACACGCTGGATGGGATGCCAGTCCGTCACAGGGCACAAGGCTGGGGTACACGCTGGATGGGATATCAGTCCGTCACAGGGCACAAGGCTGGGGTACACCCTGGATGGGATGCCAGTCTGTAACAGGGCACAAGGCTGGGGTACACCCTGGATGGGATGCCAGTCTGTCACAGGGCACAAGGCTGGGGTACACACTGGATGGGATGCCAGTCTGTAACAGGGCACAAGGCTGGGGTACACCCTGGATGGGATGCCAGTCCGTCACAGGGCACAAGGCTGGGGTACACACTGGATGGGATGCCAGTCCATCACAGGGATGTATCTGTATGAGTAAATCAATGAAACAAACATTTATCACAGTGATGCAGAATGAAAACTCATGTTTTCTTTTAGGATTTATCATCTTTCTGTCTCTCCACCTTCAGAGAGCACATAACCCTTTATGATCATTTATTTTTGGGAAACGCTGGCCCTGGGTCAGGAACACGGCATGGCCTTCATGATCCATATGGGTGCTGTGCGTGGTAAAGCTCCTTCTCCTAGATGAATGCCAATGTCAGCCTCTCACCATTTTTAGCAATATAAACATCCGTACATCTCAAAGCATAAGCCATGTGTAATTATCAGGGTAATATATCACTTTAATAAGACAATTAAAAAAATGACGAAAATAGTGGTAACACTTTATTTAAGGCTTTGTTTTTGGTAACATAAACACATTCATAACAAATGAATGGTTATAAACATGGCTATAAATATTTATCAAAAGGCATAACACATTATCACCATGTTTATTATGCATTATGAATGCTTTAGGAAGCTCTCATCTAAAATGCACTATAGATACCTTTATAGTGCAAGATAATGGTTGGTATAAGCATTAAGGATGCTTTGTACTGCATCATAAAGGTATCCATCAGTGCATTATAGATTATAGAGTGCTTCTCAAGGCAGTCATAATGCATAATGAACATGGCTATAATGTCCAATGCTTTTTTTAAATAGCTTTTAAGAATGCATTATAATTCATTATGCATGTGTTCATAAATTACTAAAAACATGGCCTTAAGTAAGGTGTTACCAAATCAGTTAATTTGACTGCAGTGGAATGGTTTTATATATGGAAATAATTAATGCAGAAAATGAATTGGGTATGCTTAGGAGAGCGAGAGTTCAGTACAAATGACCATGTTTTGATAATGACCATGGGGGTGGGAACAAATTACTCTGAGGAAGTATTGTTTAGGCCAAACAACTACTGCTTTTGATGGCCGTCGACCTCTTTTATTTCCACAAGCTCCTCCCCCCTGTAACCTTTGACCCGTGGACCTCGGTAGTTGACTGGCTCTGTCCTTGACTGACAGCTCTCGATAATACCCTAGTATGTACTGCAGTCTTTCACACCAGGAGAGAATTTTTAATGTGGGAGGCCTTTTGATGAGTTTTTTTTTAATTTTAGAATAATGTGTAAACGGGTCTCCGCGCATGTATTCCGTATGGGTTTGGTTTGCTCAGTGGAAGGTGGAGCTTCGTCCTGGAGCTGCTGAGAGGCAGGGTGTTTTGGTTGGGGGGGTGGTTCATGAATTGTGAATTCTGCTCACTACAGCCACTCTGGTGACATATGGGAGGTTTGGGGGGGAGGTTCTGCTCCCCGTGACGGGCACAGAGTCCGGCCGCACACCTCACGGGTCCCGCGAGGGGCAACCTTTTCTAAGGCCTTTGTAACCAAATCCTTTTGACAGCGGCAAACTCTGAGTTGAGGCTCGTAGGGGTGGCGGTGGTGGGGGGGGGGTCAGTCTTGGCAGAGGCCATGCATTCGAGCCAACCTATAAATACCCCTCCCCAGTTGCCCCAGCTCATCTACCCCCACCCCCCCATAAACACACACACACCCTGATCCCAAAACAGGCTCCCCATGTTCCGTTCCATTGTGTGGCCTCACTGGTCTGGCTGGGACGCCCACGCTGGGGCCTTCGCTCTCTCCGGGGGGGGGGGGCCTCAGGACCAGCAGGCCCCTGAGGATTTAATTTCTCCTCTTTATTTTTCTTCTATGATTCAAAATAAAAAACTGTCCCACAAAGAAGCCTTGTGGCTGTTGGCTTCACGTCTGGGAAGTTTGGATTAGATATGCTAAATAAAAAAAGGGTGCCGCTATCTGACAGGCTTTCAGATATGACTTGGGGGGGGGGGTGGCTCCCCCCACCCTTGCCGTTTGTTTCCAAAGGCAAAGGCCCAGGCTGGGCCTGAATAGCAAGATCCAATTGTCCTCTTTTCATATTTACCATCACAATGGTGGGAATTAACATTCCAACACCTACACTATCACTTCTGGATTTTTTCTGCTTCCAGGCATTATCTCCCAGATGCTTGTGTGGGCTGCCCTGATTACTGTATCTCCCCATCAATCAGGCAGCTTTAAACGATCGCAGACAGGGATCAGCCTCGCCGTTGTTGTGTTTCACGTGAGAAAAAGTTTACCGGCCCGGCCTAAATTTATTTAACAGCTTGCTAGGATGCGTGTTATGTCCCCGTAAGCTGACTCGTTCCTGTAACCCCAACAGAGCTGCTTCTGGGGGGGGGCTGATACTCTAATTTAGCATTTACTGCTTTTTTTCTTCTTTTTTTCACCTGGTCTTCTCACTAAAGCTGGGATCGGGGATCAAGGGGGGTGTTCTGAAGTGAGAAAGGACAGGTAGGGCCCGAGCCGGCTGCACAGGTAGGAGGTAGCGGGAAGGTAGGGCGTGTTACCCTGGGTGACTGTGAGTGGCACTATGCAGGCATGACAGTATGGAGCCAAACCACTGGGGGGGGGCATGCTTCTCGTTTGAATGGGGGTGTTTAATGGCTACATTATGGTACGGCATACTGGCTGTGATCCAGAGGACCAAGGAGGGTAAATCTTTATGCCTCGTCCCACAGAGGCGAGTCTCTTTCCTCCGTTCTACCAGACGGGCTTTGTTTTAGAACTCGAATAAGGGAAGTGAAAGCAGAGATGTGGAGCAGGAAATAAAGAGACAGGTCCCTGAAATACACCTCCGAATCATGAAGTGGGACGGCACGGCCTTTTAGGCTGGCCTACGCTGACCGGGATCTTCAGGGTGCTGTCAGCACCCTCACCAGGCCTGCCGCCGCCGACCGGGTTCTTCGGGGGCTGTCGGTACCCTCACCAGGCCTGCCGCCGCTGACCGGGTTCTCCGGGGGCTGTCGGTACCCTCACCAGGCCTGCTGCCGCAGACCGGGATCTCCAGGGGCTATTGGCACCCTCACCAGGCCTGCCTACACTGACCAGGTTTTCCGGGAGCTATTGGCACCCTCACCAGGCCTGCCTACACTGACCAGGTTTTCCGGGGGCTATTGGCACCCTCACCAGGCCTGCCTACGCTGACCGGGTTCTCCGGGGGCTGTTGGCACCCTCACTAGACCTGCCGTCGGTAAAGGTGGGGAAAATCCTGACTCTGAAGGCCATAGTTACACACACGCCCCCAGTAGTAGCCCTACCCTCTGTGCCAGAGCAGTGTTTATTAGTGTAAACTCTCGTTGCGCCCACCTCCCCCCCCCTCCATGGGTACCCATCCCATTTTTGTCGTACGGACATGACAAGCTCTTTCCGCTGTGTGTCCCATTTAAGGATAAATAGAAGATGATGGTCTTATCTGATCTGTGTTGGATCATTAAAACAAAACATTCCTCCTATGAAATACTTTTTATTGTTATTTATAACCAGGGACAGTACGTTTTATTTTCCTTATTTGTCTTTGCAAGGATCAGGTTGAATGGAAATGCATTTGAAACAGGTTAAATTCTTTCCTTGTTTAAATCACTTACTTTTTTAGTCAGTAATTCTTTACATGTTGGATAAAAGATATTCAATATATAAAAAGTTTATTGATGTAATTTAACCAAAACTAAATTTTATTTTATCTTAAAAATGTGATATATTTTTTAAATGATTATTATTTATATGTTTAGCCTGTGAATTCCAGCTGTCTTACAAATGTTCTCGTCACATGATCTAATGCTGTCATAATGAAGGACTTCTGAACACCTGACACCCATTGATACCTGTGACACTGATCCTTTTGCGTGTGACCCCCCCCCCCGCCCTCCTCTCCAGATATTTCTGTTTCACATTAGAAGCAGGATTTTGTCAGCGCTGGGGTGCAGGCGTGTGGTAGATGTGAGGGTGTTCCGTAATTTGCAGGACGTAGGATATGTTTTTGCTCTTTGACATTCCAGTGACAGACGGCTTCGGGGCCCCACCGGGGCCAAAGAAAACAGGCCGGTGAGCCGGCTGCCGGTGACGTCCCACATCAGAGGAGGCCTTTCTGGCGTTTAGCGGCTTTGTTTAAACAGCCCAGCTTATCCGTGGCGTGATGAATTGTGTATTTTTTAAAAAGGAAACTGCAAGGGAAAGAATGCCTTAGCAAAATAGCGTTGCTGCAATCCCTCGGATGTCTCCGGCATGCGGTGGCGTGCGCCTGCGGTGGCGTGCGAGTGGGAGTGATGGGGACGGTGTTTGGGCTGTTCTCTGTGCCTGTGGCTCCTTTGGTAGCATGGTAGCCTGATGTCTCAGTGCTTGTGGGTTTGAATCCTTCATCCACCCTGTGTGTTTGGAGTTTGCATGCGTTATGTGGGTTTCCTGCAGGTTCTCTGGTTTCTTCCCATGGGCTGGGTGGCCTCTCTACATGGCCAGAGGTGTTTGCATGTGTGCCCTGTGATGGACTGGCTTCCTGTCCAGGGAGACCTCTGCCTTATGTCCTGTGCTGCTTAGAATTGCCCACCTTGGGACCCTGACCAGGATAAATGGATGGATTTAACTGGATGTATTGGTACCGCATTTTAAGAAGACACCCCATATTGAGGGAGGGTTACTGTATGATCTTTTTTTTTTTTAGTTCTTTTTTTGTGGCTGCCGCTGACCCTCTTTTCAGACACCATCTGCTTTTAGTTCTCACCACTGCATCCACAGTGAGGGTTGGTTATCCTTATTGGTGCCAAGAGTCCGACCCACACCTTTTGGATCTCCAGGGAACAGCTGGAGGTCAGGGGTGACAGCACTGGGCAGTGTTTGAAGATGGTTGGGGGTGGGGGTCAGTGGACTTTGTGGGGAGGGCTGCAGGAGTACGCCGTGCGGCGAGACAACCCTCACATGCATGCCCCCCCCCCCCCAGCTACGCACAACCTATTTGCCTTGTGCTAAATCAGCTGCCTTCCACGCCACAGCCTCTGTTGACCTCTGGCTCTGTCTGGCAGTGTCCCCCATCCCAGCCGAGCACCGGTCAGAACGAGCCAAAGGACCAAAGCGGAATGAACGCTGTTATTTTATCATTATCAGTGCCTTAATGGAAGGACCCAGGCTAAGCCACCCACCCCACAAAAACATGGATGTGGCAGAGGCGTAACAAATAGCGGTGGATCTTTGAGCAGCGCTGCGGTTACCTTGATGGATCTCATCGCCTTACTGCATCCGTTCCCATTTGTTTGTAAGATAAATGATGAGATGACACCTGAAAGGCCTCCTGCGTCTCCTCTGATATCAGTTTACTGTCTGCTAGTCAGATTCTACGTTTCAGCTGAGTTATCTGGGTGGGGGGGTCTTTTCTGCTCTGTTGCAGGCGGACATGATGTTCAATTCCGGAGTCTTCTGGATGGGCTTGTTCTTCATCCCTGTCACGTCGTTGGTCTTTGATGTGACCTACAAAGTGTGAGTCCCTCCCGCCGGTAGCAGCAAAGCTTCAACACCTGTAGGCTGTGCTTTTGCCCTTTACTCTTTGGGCAACAGCCATGGGCTGATGTGGGTGATGCCATTCTCACCCATCCAATCACTGACCTGCTCAGCCTTCATCAGTTGTCCCTTGGTTATGGTCTCTAAGCATCACTAGATACTATTATATTTTGTAATTCTCTAGTAAGAACCTACTCCTTATGGTATCTTTGATTTGAATAGTTATTCTGTCAAGTTCTTCGAATGTACTACATAGCTCTTCTATCAGTGCTAACTTGTACTTGTTCCTGATCATTCATTCGGAGCTCAGTCTAGGTGCTCAGTCTAGATGTACTACAACTCAATTTCCAAAAAAGCTGGGATGCTGTGTGAATGTAAGTAAAAACAGAATGCAATAATTTACAAATCACATAAATCCATATTTAATTGAGAATAAAACAAAGACAATGTATCAAGTGTTGAAACTGAGAATGTTTTATGACAAATAAATGCTCAATTTGAATTTGATTCCAACAACACGTTTCAAAAAAAGGGACAGGGGCTTGTTTACCAATGTGTTGCATCACCTCTTTTACCAACACTCTGTAAACGTTTGGGAACTGAAGAGACCAGTTGTTGGAGTTTAGAAAGTGAAATGTTGTCCCATTCTTGACTGATATAGGATTTCATCTCAACAGTTCTGGGTCTCTTTTTTCTTATTTTTTGTTTCATGATGCACCAAATGTTTTCAGTGGGCACTAATGCACCCCCACACCATCACGGATGCTGGCTTTAACTGTCCGCTGATAACAAGCTGGATGGTCTGTCTCCTCTTTAGCCCGGAGGACTGTGTATACTGTGTATATTGTCCATGATTTCTAAAAAAAAGAATTTGAAATTTAGATTTTTTAGACCACGGGACAGTTTTCCATTTTGCTTCAGTCCATCTTAAATGAGCTTAGGCCCAGAGAAGTCGGTGGTGTTTCTGGATCATGTTTAGATATGGTTTCTTCTTTGCATGTTAGAGTTTCATCCTTCACTTGTTCACAGACAATGGTTTTTGTCATGGTGTTGCTGGCATCAAATTCAAATTGAGCATTTGTCAAAAAAACTATAAAATTTCTCAGTTTCAACATTTGATATGTTGTCCTTGTTCTATTTTCAATTAAACATGGGTTTATATGATTTGTGAATCATCGCATTCTGTTATTTACATTTTACACAGCATCCCAATGTGGTTGCAGTTGGCTCCTTGACAGCTATGTGCTTGTGTTATACAGACTGCCTCCCTTATACGTCACTTTGGACAAACATCTCTGCTAAATAAATGAATTTGAATGTCACACACCGTCCTGTGTTGTACAGGGTGAAGCGGGTCTACTTCAAGACCTTGGTGGATGAGGTTCAGGAATTGGAGGCCCTGTCCCAGGACCCTGGAGCAGTGGTTCATGGGAAAAGGTACATTTTCTGCTGCCTGTGTTAATTAACATCCTCCCTAACAGTTCATGGGGGGTGCTGCATGTTTTTACTTCTTGGTGTGAACAGAATAGGAATTGACACTTCTGCCAGAATCCCCGTCAATTCTGTACATTTTTTGTTGAGTTTATTCTTTGATACCGTTCCTCCAGAGCAGTTCAGTAGTAACTGTAATGAGTTTGTGTTTGTCCAAAAGGATTTTTAAATCCAGTTTAACCGAGCTGCGCATATATGAGTGTGTATATACGCCAGCTGGTTTAATGCGTGTATTCAGCTTGCTTCATCATGCGAAGCACTGAGCCCACATTCCAGAACACTGACATTTCCAACCCCATTTTCGAGGTCTGAGGCCTCCTGTATCAGCCTGCATTCGGCCTGAGGGCGGGGTCATTTTTTCCCACCTCTGTCAGCGTAATTGATGTCATTTGTTTTGTGCGCGTGTTTTTCACAGCCCATTTGTAAGCGTTCACTCAGTAGGGGGGGGGGGTGTCTAGCCAGGGGCGAAGATTGAGTTGGGGGGGCGTGGTTTGGCTGGAGACTAAACGAGTCTGTTCCAGCCTTTTATAGGCCGACGAATTTGACAGACCTTCACTGATGTGTTGACTTTCGAAGACAATGAAGGATCGCTGCGTTCGTGTCGGTTTAGAACATATCCTGCCAAGAGGACTCACTGTGTTAAATATGTACAGTGAAGTATATCATGACAGGTTTGTTAGTCTCCTCATGGCAGATGCAGGAATTGTACTGGATAAGGTGACGATAAGCCAGTGTTGGCCCAGTGCTGGTGTTTCGCTGGTGCGGTCAGGTGCTTCTCTAACTTAAACGGCGGGAAAATGGCTGAGTTTGTCCCTGAAGTGCTAGTCTCAACGGGTATGATTGTGCTTTGGTCCCTGGGCTGGTGTTGGGGCTGTCGATATGCCAGTATGAATTGATGGAAACCCAACATTGTAGACCAAAGCTCTTTAGCCTTAAGCTAAAAGTATCATATGTGTGATTGATGGGCAAAGTATAGCCTTCAGCGGGACGCAGAAATGATGCGTTTGGATAAACCAAAAGCTCTGTGTATATTGTCCATATACACCATAGTCTCTGTGGTTCTACGATCTAACAGGCCTCTTCTGTTTACCTGCTTCAGCCCACTTTTGGTTGTAAGCTATTACTTCCGCAGCCTTTGAAATCAGAGTCATCCATACATGGGGGGGGGGGGGGGGGGGGGCTGTAACTGCAAGCTAATTAAGGCAATCAGGTTTCTCACCTTAGAAATTATCCAACCCAGTGGCCATGATTATTTTATTATTGCTTTTTAATCAGCCAGATATTCAGCTTAACCCCAGGGGACAAGCGCTGGCGTGCTTTAGACTTTAACATACCTGTATTGTATTAATGAAATGCGATCTGACGGTGGTGTCCTGGAAGATGCAGAGCTCCAATCAAACTGTGATTTTTTAATGTTATAAGGCATGTTCTTACCTAGTTATACTGTAACATACCTGTATTGTATTAATGAAATGCGATCTGACGGTGGTGTCCTGGAAGATGCAGAGCTCCAATCAAACTGTGATTTAGAATGTTATGAGGCATGTTCTTACCTAGTGGTTTAACTCGTGCTTTTTCAGGGACGGTTGGGTGTTTGTCTTTATTACTTTTTATGGTGGTGGATTTAAAAAACATCTATGTACACATTTAACCTTTTGGGCCTTTTAGACACAGATATGAATATTCAATGTAACGCAGCTGTTTGAGATGGTTGCCAGAGTAACTGGTCAGAGGATCTGCCCATTTGTAACCATTTTTTTTTTGGTTATATGGAAGTATCACCCATCCCTCTAAATATTTTGCATCACATAAATCATGACAAAAGCAAAACATACTGTGTTTTTGCAATAAACTTGAAATATTAACCCAGTGTTTTTGGAGAGGCGATCAAGCCAGATGACAGGATGCATCACCAGTGGCCTTGAAATGATTTCACAGTGCGTGCCTCCAGTGCGTGCCTCCAGTGCGTGCCTCCAGTGCGTGCCTCCTGTGCGTGCCTCCTGTGCGTGCCTCCAGTGCGTGCCTCCAGTGCGTGCCTCCTGTGGACACCAGCAGCTCACAACCACAGATTAATTGAGGGGGCATTCTCTGGACTTAGTGTGTTTTTCCAGGCCGTAGGGGTAGTGTGGGATAACAGTCATCCAGTTTAATTACGGCTAACACTGCTTGCTGCTTCATGGCTCATTGAAACCAAGTACCTCAAACGCACGTCCTTGAAAGATGGATCCAATCATGCCAAAACTGTAGTTGTTCACACAAGTTTATTGGGGAAGGATCAGAGCAGAGGTTGGGCCATGGGGTGGTGTGTGTGCATGCCGTGGGGGGGGGGGGTATCCTGGCAGGTCCCCAAGCACAGCTGGTTAGGTTGTCCTGCAGTAGTTCAGCCAGATCTTACTGCATGTCTCCGTGTAGCAGGAATGTGGGTCAGCACCCCTGCGGTGTTAGGTAGGGAGGCTCGACTGAACTACTTAACAAGCCAGCGCAATGCATGTGTGTGTGTGCTTGTGTTTGTGTGTGTCTGTGTCTGTGTGTGTGTGCGTGTGTTTGTGTGTGCATGTGTGTGTGTGTATGTGTGTCTGTGTGTGTGTGCATGTGTGTCTGTGTCTGTGTGTGTGTGCGTGTGTGTGTTTGTGTGTGCGTGTGTGTGTTTCCTGCAGTTTGACCGAGAGAGCCGGACTCCTGAAGAATGTATTCAAGAAGAACACGGCTGCGTACCGCGCTCAGTCCATGCAGCATACCCTGCTCCGTAAGTACCTGCTTCGCTTGCACATATCACACACCAACTGCGCAGACTCGCAGCCACCTTTCCGGCGCCCTCACGCAGCCACGTTGGCGGCGCCCGCCTGCATCAACCTTTAGCCCTATAGGAGACATGCCTGTCAGAGGCGATTTGCAAAGCATGTATGTGCAGGCAGTAGAACAGACCAGAGGTTTCGGAGGTACTGTGATGTCTGGTGCGTGTAATTATGGGAGACCCCTGGCTGGTGCAGACGTGTGCAGAAAATCAGTCTCACACGTGTGTAGCCCGTCATGCATGTCGACGCCCCTTTTTGGGACACAAACCCAAAGAATGATGGGACTCTGCTGTCATCACGTAAAAGCAAAGACTCGTCCTCACCTGTTTTTAAATGCGCTGCACTTGTGCCCTCGGTCATGTGAGTGATCTCTTAACTGCAATTATTTGAATCCCGACAAAGGAATAAATTTGGGTCAGTTGTTACCAATGCAGTTGTGAATAACCGTGCATGTCGGCGGCGAGTTCCTCCTGCTCACTTACTACAGGAAGCTTGTAGTTGCAGTTATCAAACAGTTTTTGAGTGTGAATTACTTTTTCCACATGAGGGCCCCAAATTTCCCATCCATCCATTTCCCAAACTGCTTATCCTTCTGGGTCGCGGGGGGTCTGGAGCCTATCCCGGAAGCTACGTGTACGAGGCCAGCCCATCGCAGGGCACACTCACACACCAGTCACTCACACATGCACACCTATGGGCAATTTAGTAACTCCAATTAGCCTCAGCATGTCTTTGGACCATGGGGGGAAACCGGAGTACCCGGAGGAAACCTCCAAATTTTCCAACTTTTAAGAATCATTTTACACTGAAGTAAATGTCAGTTTGTGTTGTTTGTCCACCCCTTGTGCAGTAGTTAGGTTATATTAAAGGTGTGGTAACATTCACTGTCGAAAATGTGCAAACTCCAATATATAATCGGAGAAAAAGGAAGCGCTTTAAAGAACTGTCTGATGTAACTTCCATGCAGCCGTGCAAATATGGCCGGACAGCTTGGGAGCTTAAGACCTTGAGAAGTAACCTTTAGTACTGGGGGTCCATTTACAGTCTCCCCTGGATTGTGTTGGCTTGACAGGGTGTGAAATGGCATTAGGTTAATACCTTCAGTTTAAACAAGGGGAGACGGTGCACGCACAAACGGAGACAGGGCGTAACACGACTGCTGCTCAGACGCACGACGACTGGCCTGTGTGTGCTGCCGGGAATCACTGTCCGTGCCTCGTCGCTGTTACCTTACTGCCGCATCGCGTCGCCTGCACACTCACATGTGCAAATGTACATCAGCACCACAGCAACCCCCCCCCCCCCGAGAAATTTCCCCCATCAGCCTGCACTGTACCATTCTTGGATTGATGTATTTCATTATCATTTTGTGCCCTTTTGCTTGGCTGTTTTGCTTGTTTTTTTCTGATCAGGGAGGGAGGGGTCGTCATGAACGTTGCCCGTTGTGTCTTAATATCCCTGCCCTTTGACATATCTTTATTCCCCAAAATGCCCTGAATGAATATTCCCCCCTCCCACACCAATACCTTCTGTTGTGTGCTAAGAGATGTCACATATTTTAATATCATTCCCACAATGCTTTGCTCTCACCGGCTTTCTACATACACCTGCAGCCCTGCAGGAATTGACAGAGTCACAACAGGTGTGAAGGTGAGTCAGGTGAAGGGAAACCTTCTGTAGTCACAGTGGTGGAGGGGAAGCTGTGTCTGAATGCAAATATAATGAGCTTAAGAAAGAAAGGTCTCCATTTTACAGTGAATCTCAGTTATATTCTTTTAGCTCAGCAAATTCTCCAAGCCCAGCATTCAGAGGTTTGGCTTTTATGGCTTTTGGTAGGAATTTACAACCTGAAGCTAAAAAATGAATCCTACTTTGCTAGTATTTTGATGGTTTTTGGTGAATTACAGCTCAACTTTTAGTCCAGTTATGACGCTGAGGAACTTGACAGACCACCCAGGCTGCTGCTTTGGGACTAGATATGAAATGAGTCCAAGACTGTGTAAAAAGTCATGGACGTATTAACACTGTTCCCTGTATCGCCTGGCTTATTAGTATGTATTGTGATTTAATTTCTGTCCTAAGGAATCTGAACTACCATTTTTAGCTAACATTTCAATTTGTTTTATTAATATGAATTTCTTTATTGAGACTGGTTTAGCTAGTAATTTTATCTGTCTGCAGATGGATACGCCTTCTCGCAGGACGAGAATGGGGTAGTCTCTCAGTCGGAGGTCGTCCGGGCATACGACACCACCAAACAGAGGACGGAGGAGTAGTGAAGCTCCGCCCCTTTGGGGGCCGATCCTCCACGGGAACCCGCCCACTCCCCTGGCACACTGGAGCATGCTGAAGAGTCACACCAGTGACTGACGAGGAGCTGCAGGAGTTCTTTTTATTGGGGCCGTAAAAACATCGAACAAAGATTTTAATTTGTATTATTTTTTCTGCAGCGAGTTAGCTGCGCTGACACTGTGAGGGAAGCCACCGTGAGCTTCACCTGAGTATTCAGGGCTCCTGAGGTCTGACAGCCCCAGCTTGCCACAGAACTGTATGCAGACCACGGTGTCTGCAGACCAACTGATCCCAGGGAACGGAGGGAAAGACCGCCTTTCATACCATAAAATTCAGACGCTGGAAGACACAGCACAACAAAGACTCCTGGATCTCGCCTTAGAAGCGATCGTGACAGGGAGCGAATCCTTTTAACGATGACATAGTGTCGATTGCCACTACAACACAACCAGCCGTGCGAGAATGTAGCTTGCCAATGAGACACAAATGTGATTTTATTCCTCCCTGTGATTCCTGAATGCCGTTGCAGCTGAAACATTAATGTATTCGGTTTTATGTACCGAGGGTTAGCAAGTCATTTTCACACTGGAGCATACTATGGGTATTTTACAGACGAAGGCTTTCTGCTAGGTTTAGGCTGGCGTGTGTCTATAGGTTCCTTATTTCCTCTCATTATCCATTTCCCTCCTTCCTAATTTTTTTTGTCTTCCACAATTCCCACGCACTGCACACATTACCCCCTCCGCACCCCTCCGTAGCTCCTCTTTCCGGCCGAATGCATTTAAGGTGTGGCGGCTGGTAGGCCTGGCTGAGAGGGCCGTCCATCAAACGCATCACTCACCCCATTGGCCAGTTTCGGATGAAGGTGGGCTTTGGGTCTGGGGGTGGGCCTGTGAACTGCTGTCAGTCCATCAATGCATCATTCACACTCCGAGGGGCCAAGGTCAGAGCCTAGTGGAAAGGGTGGGGTCACTGCATTTGTAGATTTTCTTTTCAGATTTTTATATCCTGGAACATTTATTACATGAGAAGTAAGTGCCATTAGCTCAAGGGAAAGTGATTTTTAGCCAGTCAGTCGTGGTGCTTACACTGGGACAGTAACTGCGTTCGTATTTTTATATTCAACCAGTAAAATGTAATAAATCTTCTGTTACTAGATCCCCCCCGGACAGCTCATTTAATTTTTTTTTTTTTTTTTTTTAATGTGATGGTTATATTTAATTTATAAGTAGCATTGCAATGTTTTTGGGAGATTAGTTGTGCGTGTGTGTGTGTGTGTGTGTGTGTGTGAGACCCTCTCCCTGCCAGTGAGGTTCAGGTGTGCTGGGCACCGCACCCATCAGCGCCTTCCTGCGGGCTGACACGCGGCTGTGTGGTGTGCTGAGACTGCTACTGCGTGCTCTGGTCCGCTTTCCTACCCGCCGCTGCAGGTAGCTTGGCCCGGATTTGTCTGCCACTGACTCCGTACCTTCACAGCCCCAGGAGCCCTCTGGGTGTCATGGAAAATGTTGTATCATGAGCTTCCAACTCCGAAATCTCAGCAGAGGGGGTCCAGCTCTCCCAGAAACTCAGCGGGTGCTTCTGTTATTGCATTTTAACTTCTGACACTGTCCAAACAGCTGCCTTCTCAGTGTCCAACCAACCAGCATCCAGGATGACAAACTGCTGTCTGTTTATAATAAAGTTCACTGGTTTTGCTCATCTTATTTTGTTCCTATTCTTCTTTTATTATTAAACTTCCACCTGCTGCCAGAATCCAACCTTGGACACCATCGCTTTTACACGAGGGGTGTGCGAGAGAGTGTATGTGCACAGGGCACGCCTGTTTGTCAGCTGTTGTCTTAGTGCTGTTGATTTTTATATCCTTCGTGTTTACTCTGCATGCAGGGACTGCACCTTTATACTCTGTCTTTTCTTTGGTCCTTTTTGCCAGCAAATAAACTGCGAATGTCGGGGAGAGCGACGTGTTTGCAGGCTTCCGTACTGTTCCTTGAAGGCACAGCACTCCTGATGGTGCAAAGCTGAAACATCTGCTGCCTCCCCTTCCTCACATACGAGTCTGTTTGATATTTAGGGCAGGAGTGCAGCTTGAAATGTGGTGCAGTCCTTCTCAGTCATGCTGAAAGACTGCTCACAGGACTTGTCACATGCTGTCCAGTCTTGAGGCTCATTTATTCAAGCCCGTGAATGGAAACACTGAGTGAACTAAAGGTATTTCTTGAGGTTTATATATGTCGCTGGAAAAGCTGTCCCCTATAAACCAGTGGCCAAGCTCACTCCCATATGCTCCTACTTAGTGGAACTGTGAACTTAACTAAACTTCGTAACACTCACAAAATAAGATTTTGTGTTCTTAAATGTGTGAAACATTTCCTTATCTTTACAGTACCTGTGGTTTCATTTTTATAGGTAGTTAGGCCAATTAAGATAAGCCGCTTTGTGAAATATGCAAATAAACTGTTAGCTCTTTTTGCCTTGTATATGAAAAATGTCAACAAAATGCCAAAAATTATCCCTTGTATGATTATTCCTTGTATGTAAGTTTGCATGTAAACAGGGCAGATCGATTCTAGCTGTCATCTGTCCCAGGAACTAAAATCTTGTCCAGATGGGACGTAACATTGAATCTTCCCTCAAAAACATTTGCCTAGCCTGAATGATGAAATGTTTATTATTTGATACACTCAGTTTAGTCAGTGTACGGTATTCCTAAATGACCCGGCATCCACATTACATCCAATCAGAGGAATGTTTTCGGATTATTTAAATAGCCCAAGAGCGTGAATGTTTATCTGGGTCGGGCCAAACAGGGCCAGGACCTCCTGAACTTCTGCTTTACCCCCATGGCCTCCGTATGGACAGCTCAGCTAAATATGAGGGAATATGAGGCAGGAACAAGACAAAGAATAAGCATGGATGCCCAGGATATGCTGGACGGCGTGTCAGACACCAGGCTGCTCACACAGAGATAAGGGGGGGTTTACGGTTATTACTTAGATACTATTTATTAAACAACTCTTATTTGCCAGGCCTCCCCAACTGTAGTCCTTCCCTGGTGCTGTGTACCCCCGCATGTAAAACCTATAATTTATTGTTATTATAGATACATCAGCATCATGAACATTCACAGCCATACTGACCAAACACAAACGTTCCATTTTTTCAACATTCAGAAGCAGGACCCCCGGTTTGAGCCCTGTCCACTGCACATTTGTCCACCTGTAGTCACTCCTGCTGCTAAAGAAGGCACTTTGAGGTGTGACTCTAATTGAGATACTCTTGTAACCCCCCCCCACTTAATTCCCATCCCCTTATCTGGCCTCATATCCAAACCATAATGGTGTCTTGAGCCCCAGAATTTCCAGGTCTGTGGCCCAGACTTGGAGACAAGTCAGAGTGAAACGGGCGGTCCGATCGCTTATCGATGTATTTCCACAGAGTCCGTGAAGTGACTGATGGCGGACTCTGCCCCAGCCGGCTGGCCCAGCAAAGCCCACATACTTCATCCACTTTCTATGGACTGTGTTAAGACTAGTATACCGTTTGAATTAAGTCCTCTATTCATTTTTCCCTTTTTTACGAAGGCTCGAGATTGTTTTCAATTTATTTTTTGACACCGAAAATCCATCACCAATTCAGTTAACTCTGAGGCTCAAACAGGTACCTAGAGTGTAAATAAACCCACAATTCTTATGTATCTGCTAAAATGGGAAAGCAGAAGAAAAGTCCTTCTTGAATTATTTTCTCCTTCCCTGGAAAAACAGGGGATGTTGGTTGAATGTTGGGAAGAAAAGAAAAACAAAACTGAAGAAGGAGGAACCGACGGCACACAGCAGAATACGCCTCCCTGGTGTCGCTGTCCAGTGACCCCCCTGCCAACACCCCGTTTGCTCTAGAACCAGACATCCAGCAGAACATCTCCCTGCAGGGTGACCAGCAGCCTGTCAGAGTGACACCAGTGTCCCCAGTCAGAGCTGGTGGACCCCAGCTTTTGTGTTTCTCATCTCAGTTTGTCGACCAGCTGGCAGAGAATCCCGGGCTGGGCGCCAAGGCGTGATCTTCCGCAAGAGCGCCACCTTCAGGAGAGGCACCGCCTCCGTCTGTCAGCTCTGCCCGAAATCGGCAAACCCTTTGCCGGCGGGAAACGGCTCCGGCTGCAGGGGGAAGGAAAAAAACTGCTGTGGAAGAAGGAAGCCACCGTTTTGGGAGGGGTGCAGGGTCTGGTGTAGCTGCAGTGGGGTGTGGCCATGAGAGAGGCCTCCTGGGACGCAGGCCGGGGACGTGTAGGGCGGCGGAGGGGGTGCCGGTAGAGGCGGCTGGGTTTGGCCTGGGGGCAAGGCCGGGGTGGGCACCAAGCAGCCTTGCTGTGTCTGCGGCTGGCCAAGCGCGGCGCCGTCGGACCGGCCCAGGGAGAAGCGGCGCGTGGAGCTGCCCCCGGCCGCCGAGCCCGAGCTGGTGGTGGCCGTGCTGGACTGGCGGGATGGCGTGCGCAGGCTGGTGGGTGGCACCGCCGCCGTCAGGATCATGGGGATGGTCTCGCCCTGGCAGCTGCGCAGCGAGAAGCGGATGGGCGGCTGAGCGGGTTGCTTGGGCCGCAGACACGTGCAGCAGTACACGGCCACCAGGGAGCCCACCACCACGAAGGCCACGAAGATGGAGCCCACCATCAGGAAGGGCACGTAGATGGGCTCTGCGGAGAACACGGGAAGAGCTCATCAATACTGATTACACGATTCTCACCAGGTGAACTTAAGACCCTCTGAACCCCACCCACCCATCATAATTGGCAAATAATAGCCCAGGTGGGAAGGACACACTATAAGTGTTATTATTTTAAAGTAGGACTCCATTGCACTATGACGTAACAGCCTTTCCATATTGTAACGCTTTCCTTTTAAATATTTACTCTCACTAGCATCGCTTTTACAACCGACCTCAGCTTATTTTAATGCTAATGTAAACGTTTGTCGTTCTGCTAGATTTGAATTTTCCAGCTTGACTTACTGAAATCGAAGAAAAACGTCTTACTTCTTTTTTAAAAACCGCGACAGCACCACTCGAACGGTTTAAACATTTCAATTGTTCATAAACTATGAAAAATGTCCCGTGTTCTGCATTATAATATACGGATACTCTACGATGTTTGTAACTTAAGTAATGCCTCAAGATTAAAGTGCCAAGATCTGTTACATATCAACAGCAGATTTGGAAAATATTGGGAACACGACATGCTTGAGTTATGTAAAGCTAAATAGACAGGAATGAAAATCGTTTTGCTGTGTGTTAACTCCCTGAGAAGGACATGCATAAAGTGTCCTCACCTGTAGCCTTAATTTAGTGCTTAATTCCGGTAAGAGTCCGGCAAGGACAAAAGCTGGATCGCTGAACGCCCTTGTCCGCATCCAAGTGTTTAAATCACATAAAACTGGGTGTGTTACCTTCGGCCGGACGAGTCAGAGCTGTCATGGCTTTTAAATTGTCGTATTTTCTTCCGAATTACTTTTTGGCATCTTCAGAGTCTGATCTGTCGCGGTTAACTATATGCATTTTTATCGTCAATATACATTTTCATAAGGAAGGTAACAAATTATACGTGCGCAACGAGAGACAAGACATAGGCCCAAGTATCATTTAACCAGCTAACTAAGGCGTTCCTAACACATTTTCTCGATTTCCCAGAAAAATTATTGTCCTTGTATTACCATATGAGGAAATAGAAGCTTTCTCATGTCCCACGTAACTATAGCGTGTCATTCTGCAATATTTCGCTCCAAGGTAAGTTAAGCCTTTTAAGTGCGATTGGTACTGTCTCATTGTACCCTATTAATTGAACTTCACATTTGATTTCTAAACCATATTGCCAAATACAAAAACGTATAGCCTGAATGATTAGTGTGTACATTATTTGAATCAGAAAAATATATTGTATTAATAAATAGTTAATTCATTAAAAACTGGCAAACCTGTAGAGTAAGCAAATATAGGCTAGCTAATATATCCTATTGCGTGTCAGAAACATTAAACACATAACCAGTGACGCAATTTAGTCTGTTTAAAAGTTACGGTAGTAATTTACGCTTTAGCATGTTTTAATTCAACTACACAGTCTACACATTTTTGTAACAAAAAATATCACTTATCCTCTGGTCTTTCGGCTTTCTTCTGCACGTTTGCCACTTGTTCACTTGTTTAATTGAAATATAAAGCGATGATTTTATTACCAATTCAGATTAGAAATATTATTTAAAAGTCAGGATTTCGGTATGCACCCGTATGTCGCATTTTGATTTATATAGTTTTATTTTTGGAGTATATAGTGTAAGTTTAGGTATGAGATGATTCTTCAGATACATCGTCCGTCTAGACCACTTTCACGTCCTTTATAGCCTACTGTGCAGATGCCAAAAAGACCAGCGTATATCCAGATTAACCGCCTGAGAAAGGTCTCTTGTTAAAACAAAACTCCATACATAAAAAGCTTCAGGCAACTTCACCACAAGAATAAAATAAATCATAATTCCATTCATGTATTTATGCGCAGCCTTTTTTTATATATATCAAAGCATTTTACGAGGGATCAATCTAAATTTTGATTTATATAGCATACTATCTGGCCATGAACTTTTTTTTGCCGTAGCCATATAACTGGTACACCGTTTGGAATTTTATTAAACAAAAATATGCAGTCTTTTGTTGTCTATTTGAACAAGTCGTTCTATTTTGACACAGGGAAACCAATAAATCTTGTTACAACAGCGTGAAGAGACGTCTGGTCATGATGACAGTCATGATATTACCTGCTTCATGCCTTTTTTTGGACACATTTTCAAGTAACCCGAAGCAATCGAAAACATTTAAAATCGTATAATTACTGCAGTTTATTACTTTTGACAAGCGAGTAGAGTCATTGTACTTGGACGTGTCCCCAGAGATGTCAGCGCAGAAATACTCTTCTTCGTAAAGAGTTTAGTGCATCACCGGCAAACCATGTTGACACATAGTACGGACTTTGGCAGCGTATTAAGAGTCAACGACCAGTGCATGGTTAAGATGATGAGAATTTAGTTAGAATATATGACAAGTTTGCAAAGACGGTTCTGTGTTCTGTGCGATTATAGCCTACATGTAGCCTGTTTAACGCATTTCCGATATTTTACAGTGTCAGTAATAACATGCCATAAAACATGTAATTGAAGAACCCGGACTTTGGCTACAAGCTGTCCATAAACCTGAAATGATTCTAGCAGATAGGCTACTTCGCTACGTATTGTGCATAAACCTGAGTCTGTTTCAAGCAAATATTCATATCCAGCGATGCAGAATTAGCCTACGTAGAATAAAACCAAACGTCAAGTACAGACGTGTGTTTGGGGGACCTACGTGCGGCGAACTCGGTGTTTTCTGCTTCTCTGTCGTTGGTACAGCTTCCCTGGTCCAGTCTGGCGTCCACGGCCGCGCAGCAGTATCTCAGAGAGCAGGATCCGCAGCAAACAGTCGCGTCCATGGTATCGAAGTCCTCTGGACACTGGAAGCCGTCGTGGTAGTTCCCAGAGGCGTCCAGCCAGCCGTGGCAGTATTCCCCCTGGGCATCCGATATCCGCAGGTTACACGTTAAGTAGCCCAGCAAGAGGCAGCTGAGCAGGCGCGTCATCCCGGGAGATGCTCCGGCTTCTCCGCTAAGCAGTTATATGCAGCCGATGTCCTTTTCCTTGCGGAGATTCTTGTAATTTGCGTAAAAGAAATATTATTTTAGATCTTAATCTCTTGAACGAAGGTGGTGGTGACTCTTTGGATTTTATACACTGAATATTAAGAACAAACTGACCCTGTGTTATGTAGATGTTATGGGGAATAGTCCGGGACACGCTAAATATAGTCTTTTGAGTTTAATCATATGTCGTCCCATCTCCGCGTTTCGGGGATTTTCCATAGACTGTAAGAAATTTGGACGGAAAAGCCACGATCCCGTCTTTCAGTGACATTTCCCATTTATGCATAAGATAAGCAATTTTGAGTTAGAATGTCCTCGATCTTGCGCAAAGATTTTGACAGATCGGGTCAAAATAACTTCCACTTGCTCATGCTGACTGGAATTAAGGTTTGGGTGTGCAATGAGAGCGGGAGACGATACGGTCCTTTTCTTATTTCTCACCTGTCTTATTCTGAAACTGGAAAGTCACAGTGCCTCGTTTATCCAGCGTAAAACCGCGGTATGCCCCTGCGCCCGGTGCGGAGCGACGGTCCTGTTGTGTTTCTCCGGCTCCTCCTGCCTTATTATGAACCCCGAGCGACGCGCACGCTGCGCACTTGCGCGTTCACGTCGGAGGGGAGAGTGAATGTCCTACTAATTAACCCTGATGAGACGGGAAACCACGGCCATGGTAGTTTGCTTGGTATTGCGAGTCATTAGATCTTATATAGTTTAGTTCTTCAGACCATTTAAAGTCTATGATTTACTCGAATTCTTTAGGCTATGTTGCTCGTTAACGTATGCATTGATGTTACCATTTCGAGGTATTTTCTTAGTCAGTAAAGCTTTCTTTACACCAAGCAGCCGACATAGACCTATATACTTTACAATAAATAGGACATTCATGGACATTGCGTTAAAATATTAAGTTTAGCGTTAAAATAGGCGATTAAATATTAAAAACATTAAAATATACATTTATATTGTTCACGTTACATCATTGTGGCAGCACTAATTAGGACGTTAGTTTATTTTAAATTTAGTTAGTAATTAGTTTGAATCATTAGGTTATATGAGCATCTTCATCGTGATTAATGTCGTTTATACGCTTCACTCAACATTTGGGAGGCATAATAAATATCTAATAGTAATTCTATTAAATAGACATGAATTTTTACAAAATTTGTTAAAGAAACTATATGAGAGGACGTGAAAATGAATGAAACTTCGGGTTTTTCTTCTTCTTTTTTCTTTGTTTTTTGGTGTTGTTTACGTTACATACATTTCAAGAATATCCCAGATACGATTATCTAGCTTCCAATACGAGCAGAGTCCTCTGCAGAGATCAGCGTGGACTGGAAATCATCCCTAAATAATTGCATTACAACACAAATTGTTTGGTGGCCTTCTAAATTATTTAAGGCTGACTGGAGCTGAGACGCGTCTCATTGACCATTCAATTAGTGATCTCTTCAGTGCACATGGCAATCGTTTCTGTAATATGTCGAGAGGATTTTACATTTTGTATTATAATTATGATGGTTTACTGCCCTCTTGTGGCGAACCAAAAATATTTAAATTATATGATGCATGTTCCTCCCGTACCAGAAAAAAAACTAAAAATAAAAAAAGTAATTTTGCAATGAACCCATTCGTCGAACACGAGACATTCGCCTTCTTATTAAATGTTCCGGGGATGTGGACTTTAAATCAGTGCTTTGTTTGTTGATTTATTTAATTTCTATTTTAAAGGTCGGATGTCTGCGTATGCCATTTGCGAAATTATGTGTACATGGAATCTCCAGGTTCATGAATGTTTACTGAAAACTAAGTTTATTTTGCCGTTAACTTACACAGCTGTAAATACACAGTTGTCACTCACTTTTCTTCTAAGCAACTCTACTTCTCAGTAATACTTAAACTGCATCCAAGCAATTTACTTCTAAAACATTGACAGAATGATCCAGAAATTTGACAGACACCCAACTGTAGAGTGACTTACAATTTTAAATATGCAATGAAAACTTCCAGAGAGTCTGAACAACTTTAAAATAGTTCTCGTTTTGTTTTCTGGATATTTGTTCTATTTTAGCTTTATAAAAACCCAACATATCTTGCATAGTCATGCAGACCGAAAAGATTGTGTTTAATATAGCGACATGGAATCCTGAGTGAATAATTTACCGTATTTACCGTAAACTATTTACTGTTTTAAGCAGTTTAAGACGTTTTTGAACGCTAAAATAATCATATGAGTATATACGTAAACATCACCAGTTTTTTCTTTATGTCAATCATTTCCTGTCCACTAAGCTAGTATCTCCGGTCGTTGATGATTGGTAAATGACATGTATTTAAATCTTTCGCTTTGAGACTGGACTGTGCACATATAAATACATTAGTTGGCTTCTCAAAAACTTTAAATAAGATGAGGTAACATTCATATATCATGAGGATTTCCTTAAAACTAAAAGCATTTGAAATGTTTATTTCCTGATGAATTAGTGAATTACATTTTCCGTGTCAAGCTTCCTGGTAATTGTAGTTTTAGAATTAGAAAATTATCTATCTATCTATCTATCTATCTATCTATCTATCTATCTATCTATCTATCTATCTATCTATCATCTATCTATCTATCTATCTATCTATGTATGTATTTATGTATCTATTTATCAAGTATAAACATTCAGTCAAATTCATTTAAAACAAATTAAACGGACTCTGATTTATAATGCATGTTTTACCTATTACATTTAAATTTGAATCAGGAATACAGCGAAATTCTGAAAATGTCTGTCAGTGTCCCTCATGTGTTGTTGGGTAGTAACTCTTGAATTATGAGGTGTAGTCTGATTGTATCTTCGGTGTAACTTCTGGTGGCGCTGTTCACGCTCGTGAAGCAAATTCTTATATACTATGTTTAATATTTTGCTATATATACAGAACGTTTATTACATTGCAACGCTCACTATAAAGAGTAACTCCATAATATGTGACTATTATATTTATATTACTCAGCTTTCAGCTTTGACATTACTCATATTTAAAATTTGTCCTGATTTATTTTTTGAATGACAAATTGTTGTTTCTCTTTATTACAGGGCTATCCGTCGGTCCCGATTAGTGCACTGATTAATCCACTACTAATTATCTCTACCCCTTTACATTTTAATCTATTTTGACGTCTAAATATGAGTATGACGATGTACTAAAATCGTGGGATAAATTGAATTGAAATGATGAATGTAGAAAATGCTTTTGAAGTTGAACAAAGTACGAATTCGTTTCCCTGTTGACATCGGAAAGCTGTCTGCCCTTTCTTTTAATTGCTGTTCTATAATTAAAGTAAAAACATCAAACACATTTTGAACCTTTAAATCCCAATTCCACATGCAGCATGAATTATTTCAGACGTGTTCCCATTTCCCTGTCTTTACCATTGACAGCGAACTAATAAGTGCCGGAGACACATGGATGACATACAGCACGCGCCGTCCGACGCCTCCCCCCCCGCACGCCCTTGCTGCTAAACCCGGCGCCTCCATATAGGCATTGGCCCCTAGGCGTGTCAGTTAAGCCAGCCTCCCCGCTCAGTCTCTCCAGTGAGAGTGAGTGAGAAGTGCCGTGCATTGAGTCAGGCGGTGAAAGATCCGGGGGGGGTGGGGGGGGAGCTGGGGCCAGAAGCTCACCGATCCAACCACACGCAAGGGAAAACGAGAAGAGACAAGCGGTGAAAGTGATCCAAGCAGCTGAAACTCACGGCGATGGAGGAGGACATGCATCTGGCGGACGAGGGACTCTACGTCCCTAAAATATGCAGACAGCGGAGTCCCTACAGCGCCCTGAAAACCTTCCCCAGCAAGCGGTCGGCGGGGAAGACGCGGTATGAGCGACCCACCATGGTAGACATCCCGCTGCTGGGAGGCGGCGGCGGCGGCGACGGCGGAGGAGGAGGAGGAGAGCATCCTAACCAGAATCAGCACCATCAGCATCAGCAGCATATTCAGCCACATCAGCCGTCCCTGATCAGCAGCAGCGATCATCGCCACCCGCCGCAGCGCTCCCCCGGGCCCGGCTTCCGCGTCGCCACCTCCACTTCGGCGACGTCGGCAGCCACAGCATCCCTCGGCAGCCCGCGGAGTGTCGGCGGCGCGGCGGGGCACCAAACCTCCGGGCATCCAGCCGCCAACTCCGCTCTCTGTCACGACTCTCCAGACTGCAGCCAGGGGCTCAGCGCAGGTGCGTCCGTAGTTTTTCCATTATATATAACCAAAAGTGAAACCTACACCAAAAAATATTGTATATTAATAATTTGGATATATTTATACCACGCTGTTTCAGAATATGTACCATGCCCTTAAGCAGAATCTATAAATATTATTTGAATTAATGTAGTAAATAGTTTATAAAAGTGGCATGACATTCAAGCAGGGTGTTTACAGAAGGAGAGATGTCACATATAAGCCAGAAGTCCGGCGAAGTTTGACGTCCTAGTTTGTCCGATTTGTGTCACTGTCGCACGACGAACACGCGATTTTAAAATAGTGTTATTTATATGAAGGGAGCTAATTATCAGACACCGGAATTAATTAACTTTTCCAGCACCATTTTGCCCATTGACCGCTCACGTGAATAGAAAAAAAGATACACGCACATGTGTAAAATTTGATAGTTTTATTTGATTTGGTCCTTCTTAAATTATTGGAAATGTGATTATTTTGTCCTGTGCTGATGATGAAAAGTGAGTGCAGAAGACCCCCACCAAACAAAGGTACGGCGATGATTCCGTCTAGATAATAAGGTAAATATTTGAAGAGGGGGCGCGATCAGCTGCCGACTCGGTGGCGGGGAGATGAGGGCGAGACCAGGGCTGTCCGTCACCGGCGGATTTCTGTCAGGCCGACGGGACGCAGACATAAGCACAGCGGCCGTCACATATGTCAGCTGTCACTGACTGTAGGTAGGATGATGGATGTGTTAGATATGCGAAGGGTCCGTTTCCAGGCCACTCTGCTATTTTATTTAACTTAGTGGTGTCCAGCTGTATTTCAATAAGACCAGTGCATGCATTCTGGTTATTGTTTTTGTCCCTGTCTGTGTGCACATTGAGGCTTTGGTGGGCACATGTCTGAACATATCCACACGCGTGTGCCTCAGTATGGGGGGGGGGTGCTGTGTGTAAGGCTGGTGGTGACAACCAGGGTGACTGGTGTTTCTCAGCAGACGGTGGTGCTACCTGCCTGGGGAGGGTTTACAATTGGGGCATGGATAGCTATGGAGGTACTTTACGGAGGCCCTTGAAAACATACAAGTATGGAATTATATAATGGGTGGGGGGCCAAGCTGACATTTTATCAGGGGGCCCAGAATTTCAAGCTGTACTCCTTATGTGACAACTGGTCAGTCGCTTTGTGAATTCTTGGGTTTTTTTTGTTTTGTTTTTTTTTTGGGGGGGGGGGTCATAATAGAGAGTCCATGGATATTTTGACCACCCCCCCATGACCTTTGTACTTCTGTACCTGCTCCTGGCACTTCAAGATGGGTCGTGTCCCTGACGAGAGGCGTCTCCCCGGTCCGTCTCAGGCCTACAGCTCCCTCACGCCCACTCGCTTTTGGGTGGGGCCGTCGATCCCGCGCCCTTCAGCAGATCCTCATCCCTCACGCCCACTCGCTTTTGGGAGGGGCCGTCGATCCCGCGCCCTTCAGCAGATCCTCATCCCTCACGCCCACTCGCTTTTGGGTGGGGCCGTTGATCCCGCGCCCTTCAGCAGATCCTCACCCCTCACGCTGCATTTTGCTGATGGACCTTGGCGATGGCTGCCGAGTGTGTCTGGAGAAATGGCACCTCTGTTAGCCCCCCGCCCCTCCCCCGCCCTTCTCTTCCCCTCTCCCCCTCTCGAAAAAAATCAGCTTTAAACAGATTAAACGCATATTTCAAAAGCATCAGCACCACAAACGGCACATATAATAGAATTCTGTCAAACAAAAAAATAATTTTCCTCTTGCTACAGCTCAATCCGGTGATTACCTGCAATGTAATGCATCCATCTTCCCCCCTTTCTCTCTCTCTCTCTCTTTCTCACTCCCTCGCTCATTCGGCCTCTCTCATCTCTCCTTTCATTTCCTGTGATTGATATGATACCACAATGGCATTATGCATGAAAAAGGGGGGAAAAAATGCCCATCGCTATCATTATTTGTTTCTGTCTCTCGGTCTCTCTCAACCTCGCCATCAACGTCACGCCTGCCTGCGTGCGCATACATCTGACTGATTATATCTGACGGCTCTGGGCGTCTGCGCGCGCACGGGGCTGCGTGGCTGCGGCTGCACGTGTGCACCCGGTTCTCGCACTGCGTGCATGCTCAGCTTTACAATGAGAGGGGAATTAGACTTTGTGGGGAAAAGGCAAGGAAGTTCCAAGTTCTCTGGGCGATTCCGACACTCACAGGAACCGTGATCCCCACAAGACACCCAGGGCCCCCTTATCTCCCCGCTGGCAGGTGGGCTTGTCAATCCATCCCAGGACCTTCAACTGTCCTCAAACAAGCATGCAGGTCTGTAGATAGGAGGCTTTCATCTCCTCCATGGATTATGGGCCCAAGACTTAAGAGCTACATTTTCACTCTTTATGAGGGCGGGAACAAGTGAAGGAGAGACAATCTCAGACACCTCGTCTCTCGGATTTGGAAATACAGAACCAGCTGCTGATCAGGAAGTTTTATTGACCTTTTCTTCCTGTCGAGGTCCAGTGCATCCAGTCGTCGACACAACATGGGCCTTCTGTGGGCCTTCTGGCTTAAGCTGATGTTTCTTACAATCACCCCCCCCCCCGGGCGGGATGCTGCATCCTGGGTTTTTAACGACCGGTGGAAACTTCTCTCACTGCTGTGAGAACATAGGAGAAGGTCACGCTTTTACCAAGAGCTGGCTTGTGGCCATAATGTAGCTGTAGTGGCCCTTTAAGAGTTTTTGTTTTGTGATGTGAAACGTCGGGTTTCCCTGATGGGAAGATTTGTGGAGCGGAGGGAAACTGTCCATCCGGATCAGATGCAGTGTCTGCCAGTTGGTGATCGCTGCTGTAGATTATGGGTGGTGTGGTTGCTCAGTGGATAGCCTGTTCTATAGTGAGCCCATCCAGGGTGTCCTATGCCTGGTACTCCCTGCTAGAGGTTCTGGCCTTTGTGGAACCCTGGTTGGATAATACAGGAAGGGAAACTGTTTTGAAGTTCATCAAGCGCCATGTTGAGGCATACAGGAAAGTGCAGGAGAGGCAGGCGAAGTCCGAGGTCTGGGAAAGATCTGAGCTTAAATCTACATACCTCTATTCCAACAGTCACAATGGGCTGAGGTGACACCTTGTGGGTCATGTGACACAGTGTAAACTAAACAAACATAACCCTGTCCTCACATTTCGTATGAATCCATCTATGTTAAAAATGTATGGTAAAATATTGGATGTGAAGGCAAGAGTGATTCCATACATGTTAATACATTGCTGAGAATTTATATGATTAAGTTTTTAAGCTACAATGATGTTTTTATTGATGTTTTTATTTATTACAATGATGTTTACACAGCACATCTTATTCCTAAAATGTACAAAGAATATGTCAGTACATGGAGTATAGTGGATATTATATTACAGTAGTATTTAATATTTGTTAAAGAGTATGTAGTATGGCGCTAGGTGAGAGGCAGAGATTGGAGCCTCCAGTCCTCTCGGCGATGTATATACGGTTCGGCCGCTTTGTAGCCCCTTGTAATAAATCGTCGGTCTAATTCGGGGACTTTCGGTTCGGATGCGAACCGGAGTCCGCCAGTTGGTGACAACCGCTCTAATCACTAATGTCGTCGCGTCTCATCAGCATGCACATCAGCGGGCTTGAAATTTCTTCGCTTTGGGACGATATAACGATTAAAATGCGGCGTTAGAAAATGGCACGACAAAAAAAACCATCTATTCGCAAATACCGCGTATCTGATCAAAAGTCTTTCCGCGGGGTTCCGTGTGGTGTATTGAAGTTTACCGACTTGGTTTGGGTTAACAGAAATGCACGCAAAATGAATGCACAACATGTCTAAATTCAAAACATTTAAATGTGATATTTGCATATCAGATTTAATGTCAAGAATGACTGAAAACAGCATCTGTCCTAAAATGAATCATCTTAGGTTATCTGGGTATTAAAAATGTGTTTGAACGTTTGTGCCAAGCCTCTCTAATCAGATTTATATATCTGATAGCAAGGCATCAGTTGGGGGGAAAATGAAAGTGAACTTTCTGGGACTTGGAAAATATTTATACAGTATATGGCCAAAAGTATTGGGACACCTGCTTTTACATACACATGAACTTTAATGACATTCCATTCTTAATACATAGGCTTTAATATAGAGTTGGCCCACCCTTTGCAGCTTTAACAGCTTCAGCTCTTCTGCGAAGGCTGTCCACAAGGTTTAGGAGTGTTTATGGGAATGTTTAACCATTCTTCCAGGAGAGCATTTGTGAGGTCAGGCACTGATGTTGGACGAGAAGGTCTGGCTCTGCTCTAATTCCTCCCAAACTTTACACTTGGCACAATGCAGTCAGACAGGTACCGTTCTCCTGGCAACTGCCAAATCCAGACTCGCCCATCGGATTGTCAGACAGAGAAGCGTGATTCATCACTGCAGAGAACATGTCTCCACTGCTCTAGAGTCCAGTGTCAGCGTGCTTTACACCACTGCATCCGACGCTTTGCATTGCACTTGGTGATGTAAGGCTTGGATGCTCGGCCATGGAAACCCATTCCATGAAGTTCTCTACACACTGTTCTTAAGCTAATCTGAAGGCCACATGAAGTTTGGAGGTCTGTAGCTATTGACAGTTGGTGACTTCTGCACACTGTGCGCCTCAGCTTGCAGTGTCCCCACTCTGTGATTTTACGTGGCCTGTCACTTCGTGGTTGAGTTGCTGTTGTTCCCATTTGCTTCCACTTTGTTTTAATACCACAAACAGTTGAATGTGTAATATTTAGTAGCGAGGAAATTCCATGAATGGACATATTGCACAGGTGGCATCCTATCACAGAACCACGCTTGAATTCACTGAGCTCCTGAGAGTGACCCATTCTTTCGCAGATGTTTGTAGAAGCAGTCTGCATGCCGAGGTGCTTGATTTTATACACCTGTTGCTATGGAAGTGATTGGATCACCTGAATTCAATGATTTGGAGAGGTGTCCCAATACTTTTGGCAAT